TCCTTTTTTCATAACAAGGATTATAAATTTAAACTAAAAAAATTGCTCTGAGCCCTGCAATTAAGCCAGAAACTGAAAACCTCTTCCTGTATAATCAACAACTCTGCCTGAAATAATATACAGTACAACTGACAGGGCCGTTTGGGAAGTATTAGAGTGTGTGCATCCACATGTGTTTGGTTAGGCAATATTACATTTGGGACCAACAGCATGTTACAAAATACTTTGTGTTTTTAAGGCCACACTTATTTTTGAGCTGCATATTCTGAGCTTTTTTAGGATGCTTTTAGGTTGCTCAACTGGTAGATTTCTCTCTAGCACTGTGTTAAGTGGCAGTGCTCATTTTGAAGCCCATTAAAGAGCAGAATCACATACAGTATGGGCTGATGGTGGGTCTGTCTGCACTCAGCTCATTGGAACTGTGTTTCTAATCTAGCTAACAGTTTTGATGTGAGTGAATTACTCAATCAAACAGCAACTCCTGCTCTTCATGTCTTGTCTTGGTCTGATCATTTACCCTTATGTAGATTTACTTTATTTGTCAGATCTAGATAGCCAGTGCAAACCCTGGCGAACTGGGTAGTTTTTTGGAAAGGACCAACTCTCGTTTACAGCTTAGAGCTGGAAAAAGAGAACATAAACTTCTTTCTGAGAAGCACTTGGAGTTTTCATTGAACCTGTCATAGACAGACAGAAGTTAATAAACATGCTACTGTATGTCATGTAAATGATACTGAATATGAAACATAAGAAACAGATTTTCTTTAGAAATATTACATTGTTTTAGACTTAGTTACATATGACAATTAGGTTTGTATTATGCCTGGCTACTGTGAGGTTGAAAACTTTCTGCAGATTAGACTATTCCAAACCGCCTCAAAGAGTGTAATTAAAAGCCTTACCATTTATTCACAATGGTTGTATTCCATGATCTAACAATCACTGTATTTTGACTGTGATCCCTTATATACTTCCTATTTTAAGTGTTCTTCCGTGGGAAGCGGAAGGAAATGTCATTAACTTTTTGCTTTAAAATCGAATTCACTTGTCTGTGTTGGCCAGGTGAGTGTTAGTGGGTGGAATCAGGCGAAGTTGATTCTGTGAGAGCCTGAGGTGACAAAATTGGAACGTGCAGAAATAAAGGCACAGAACTGAGGAACCGGCAGCATCTGTGAAAAGTTAGGAGGGTGATGGGGGTTCAGTGGAATCTCATTCTGACTTCTGGCTGCAAATCACCAGAACCCTGCTGGGACCCGATGACTGTGCGTCGAATCTGTCACTGTCTGTGGCGATTGGATTCGCCAAGCTATTAAAGTCTCGCCACACTTGAAGGAGTTCCATTACAGCCAGAGGCAGCCTGAAGCCTGTGAATAGAGTTATACAGCAGAGTGCAGACCCTACAGTGAAGAGGGGAAAAAAGAGCTGAGGGGGATGAATCTTAGATGTACATGCCTATTAGCCTGTCTGAACAAAAGGGTGTTTGAATTATTATGGCCATTATCCTAAAGTAAAAGAGCTGGCTTTAATTTTGAAGTTATATGTTGACTTCTCTCCAGCCCCAAACAACATTTTGCACTACATCCTGGCAGTGATATAGATTTGATGGCAAAGCTTGGCTGCGAGCATTTGACTTATCGAGTTTGACCTGAGAATGTCTTTTCGTTGTGTTTGAAAACCCACGGCACTTTATTTTTTCTTAATAGAGATGAATCGGAAGGAGGGCGGAGGGGATTGTGGGATTGAGCGCAGTAATGCGGACGCTGCCCCGAGCCGCGGTGATGAAGCAGGAGCTACTGTAAGTTTCCAGACAAAGCTCTCGTTTTTCTGGTCGACCTGCGGCCCCATCCTCACCTATGGGCATGAGCTCTGGGTAGTGACTGAGACCAAGAGATGGCAGATACAAGCTGAGGAAATGAGGTTTTCTCTGTCAGGCTGCTGGGCTTTCTCTTCATGGGGGGGGGGGGGGGGCTCGGCAGTCTTGGGGGGACCCTGGAGCAGAGTTACTGCTCCTCCGGACCGAGAGAAGAGAGTTGATGCCTATCCCCCCCCTCTTCTGTCAAGCTGCCCCCTCTGTTGGTGTACCCGGCTCAGCCCACTGGGAAAAGCCCCCTGCTCTGGGAGCTGGGGCAGGAGGAGCTGGAGGCTGTTGCTGGGGAAAGGCCCTGCCCAGCCAGTTACCATCACGACCCTCACCATCATGGTTAGAAAATGGTGATGATGAATCATAGCAGCTCTGCATCCATGTTCCCAGATTGTGTCCTGGCTGTGCCAGTTTTTCGGGATAAAGGGTACAGTCCACTTCTTTTACCCTGGAAGGCCACATTGCGTTGCTGTGAGTTTCAATATACTGTACAGCCAGAGCTACTGGCTCCAACTAATTGTAATCACTGCCCCCTCTAGGATCAAAAGGCAAAAAGGGAAAGAAATCAACAGCAGCAATTTTCCCAGTAAACTGTACGGAAGCATTTGTGTTCCGGTGTGATTAGTAAAAAGGGTCAGTAGTCACCCAAATAATTACTTTAATGTTTTAAACGCTGCATTTAAGTTTACGAGATATCTAGACTATTGTATATACAGTGCCTATTCATCTAGAGCTGTTGAGGCCTGTTAACTCGTCAGGCTTCAAAATACAGACTCTGAACCATACTGAAAATATGCAAACAGGAATTTAGTCGTAGGTGGATTGCTTATTTGCTTCATTAAAAACATGCACGCATGCAAAACGGTTTATTTGTAATAAATGTATGCTGGTGTGTTTGTTTACGTGCTTTAAATTACATGCGCTGCTTCCTGGTTGAGGTCCAGCTTATCCCTGTGACTCTCGGAGGTAATCATAGAAAAAATTGTCTAGACGTCCCCCGGAAAAGGACTGGGCTACAGCGGAAATCATGAGGAGATGCAGGAAAATTAAGGCTGGTGATATTTTCCTCAACGTATCTACAAGAAGGCTATAGGGTCATATTTGTGGAGATGGAAGCCCATCTGAGTCTAGCCTGAGGTCGATGTCTGTGCCTTCAAGATAAGAAAATCCCAGTTTTAAGGCAAAGAGACTGGCAACATGTCATGCAGGAGGTGTGTCTTAAAGGGAGGCACACACATGGTTTATTCCAGAGGTCAGAAAAACAAGAAAGTATGTTAATGTTAGTTTTGGCTCCAAGCGGCATGCATTATTCTTCAGAAATTGTATTACACTGTTAGACATAAAGAAATTAACATCTGATTTAAGTGTTACAGTTCTAAATTAACATCTGATGCTTAATCACTGCACACAGCATGATATAAAAATTGTTATTTCTTTTTTTCAGTTTCCAATACGTTAATAAAACATTATTAAAAGATTAATAGACATTGATACAGAGTAATATTGATCATCATTAATCTGGTCAGTGGAAGGAATAGTGATTCGTTGATCAGTGTACTTGTTTATCTATACTGTCTACCATGCCACATTGTATTTTTAGTTTCTCACTGACACTTCTTAAATATTTTGCTGTAATATCAGACCAAAACATTGCCCAAGTGTTGAAAGCTGGGGCGAAACAATGGATAGCCAAATAAAGGTATGACATCAGTCAGAAGAGACAGACTCGCCCACATGTTGACTTGGGCTGTTTTTCCATGTGTGAAAAGTGTTTTCACTTGACATTGTTCACTTAAACTGCAGACGAAGTGTTAAAATGTTCTTAGTACTGTACAATATATGTTTTTGCATTTCTGTATGAGAGCCTGACATTGTGGGATGGCCAATTGTTGGAAGATTAGGAGGAAAAAGCATTTTGTAAGAGAAATATTTGGCGGTCCCTCCCTTAGGCCTGGAACATGCCTGTGTTCTGAGTCAGGGTCATGGAGTCCTGGGGCTGGGTGATTGTTCACTTTCAGAACCTTTACTCCAGGGCCACCCCACCTGGCTCAAACAGTAACCCCCAACATTGAGACGTTGCAGGGCCATGCCTTGCCCATGTCATTAACCCCGTTGTGGCCTAGATTCACCAAGGAAAGGAGGGTGCTGAGGGTAGGAACTGGGACAAGTCAGTAAGGGCTCTCTCCACTCCTACTGAAACAGTGACCCCTGCAACTTCACCGGTGGCAGGCAGGCCCCCTCCACCCTTGTACCCTTGGATCTCTTGTGTGTGACCCTGTAGCCCCATGAAAAGGTCAAAAGCCAAAGGGCGCAGAGGTGGGCGGGTCAGAGGAAGCTGTCCGCACTTGCCACTTCCTCTGAGAGCCGAGATGTGAACATGCGCGCGGCTGGCTGTTCCAAACCGAGTGGGTGGCGTAGCAGAAGAACACAGCCCGGCCGCTCTCAACTGTAAGAAGAGAGCAGGGAAGCAGGCAGACGCTTCCATGTCTCGCTTCCTGTGTGGAAAGTTATGGTCGGTTCTGAAAAGGCTCCTGTAAAGCCAAAGTGCCCTTGAGCTGGAGGCCATCAAGCCAGTTAATGGAGCATGGAAGTTTATTCCTGCTGTCCCCTTATCTGTCTGCACGTTACTATGGGAAATTGAAGGAAGGCAAAGTAATGATCAAAACCAGCAGTGTGTTCTCAGCAAAATGGCTCTGCTGGGCTGTGTCTTCCAAACAACAGTAACTGGTCCTGGTGGCAGAGATGCCACTTGATATTGGGCTGAGAGGGCATTAAATGTCGGTGTTGACCTCGAGGCGTGAAGGTTTGTGGTCTCAAAGTGTCGGGATAAAAAACGATGCGTGGATTTCTTTGTGCTTTATTCATTTCATTTTAAAATTCTTCCTGAGCGTAAAGGCAGAGTGAAGTGTGGTGAAGAATGATAAAGGATCTGCAGAGCTTGTTGAATTAATGTGAAGAGGACAGTGTGGTGCAGTTTAATACGTCCGTGGTTATAAATATGGTTAACCCAGGGGAACGGCTCAAGAACACCATGCAGTTGTGGTAAGGATTTAAAACTGAAAGAAACAGCTAGATTTGAAGTCTTTAGGAGAAGCTTTAAAATCTAAAAAAACCCTGCATATTTGTTTGTATTTCGTAGGCTAGAGCATGTATTGTACTTGGTGATCCCTGGAGCAACTCCTGGACTGATTGGTGTGATTAGCAAAGAAAGTACAACACAGCAACTACTGTATCTCCACAGCCGGTGTTGACGTGAGTCACTGATTCAATTTAAAGCACAATAAAAAACTGTTTTTGTGTTCCATTAAAGGGAAGTGTCCCTCTTTGTGTTGGGCTTTAAAGTAGGCAGGAAGTTTTTTATTGTTGTTGGCCAGGGCTTGCATGTTGTCTGCACTCTGACTTCACCCCCGATTAGATTAATGGAAGGACGGCATCACTCACAATCTCGGGGGTCGATCCCTGGAGGTGAAGAGTTCAGGGCAGCAGACTGCTGGGCGGTCTTGGTTACACACGCACAGGGGAACATGGTGTGACGGCCCCACATGAGCAACAGATGAGCTTCACTCTGATGAAAGAGCACGGAGGAACGGTCAGTGGGGATCTGAAACACCAGCAGGCTCTATCGCGGGGCTCTTCCCTTCTCCTGTGGAGTTGGAAGTTTACATCTGAAATGCCCCCTTATTTATCTCTGACCTGATTCCCACACAGCTGTGTTTGTCTTTCCCCTTTCTGAGGCTGGGGTGACTCTAAGAAAAGCCATGAATTAAAGTATCCATGGCTCATTATCATAATCATTCTAATGCACACATCGCTGCTCGTTTTATTCAAAGTCTACGAATAAGATTGTCATGGGCTGAGGTGAGTTCAGCTCTCTGATCCAGGCATCAAGGGTTCGAGCCTGAGTCATGTCACTAGCTGACTGTGACTGTGATTCTCCAGCTGCTGGCACACGATAGGCTGATTGTCACTGAGTGAAGGATGCGATTGGTCGGCTAGAACTCTGCTATTCCCGTCCACTGAGCACTGAGCTTCCGGTACTGTGTAGGCTCTGGTGTGTTGAAAGAAGAGGGGAGGAAGGTAGGCAGGTCAAAGTAATCTGCCTAAAATTTCTCATTCTCACCTGTGTGGTAGTCCTAATATTCTTGGATGGAGCCAATAGAGCTTGATTACTGTCCTTGATAACAGTAGGAATGAAGGCCAGAAGACTAAAGGCAGTCCAGGACCAGGGCTGACTTAATTCAACCTCAGCTACTGTACATACCGACAGATCATCTTCTCCTTTAATTCCATCAGTTGATTATATACAGTACATCAGTCGGCCCAGAGACAAGTTTAGCTTTCTTGCTAAGCACAGCTCCCAGTGCATTGAAGTTCTTGCCCATGGTCTCAGCCTCAAGCCGAGATCTGGGGAATTCAGCTGTAGGCTCTTGGGCTCTGCGGGCAGGTCCTTGAACAGTATAATCAGAGCTTTGAGGATCCCAAGGTGGCGAGAGGCGGCTTTGTGAGAAAACCTCCTGTTAATGAGGAAAACAATGGGGGAAACTGGCAGTCGGAGGGAGTGAGGTTTCCAACTGGCTAGTCTCTCCATGTGCCAGCTGTTCAGTCAGCCCAGGTGTGCCGTTTTCTTCCTCATGAACAGGTGGCACGAGGATGTTTATGGAGTATTTAGACATGACGAGATGTGGTTTAGCCCGCTCGGCTGGGGGCTGGGAGTGAACCAGGGGTCACTGCAAGGAGGGGGCTGGAGTGGAGGAGGGGTGCGTGAGGGGACTGTGACAGTACAGGTGTGCTTTTGGGGAATGGGGTTAGGAACGATTAGGAGGCAGGACAGCTGCGGAGAAAGTGAATTGTATATAATAATCGCTCCCGAATTTTCATTTGGTCAACAGCAATTGAGGCTTTTTATATTCATTTCAGATCCGGTCCCCACCAAAAGGGCTGAAGACATGCTGGTACGGCTAATTGACTTCTGTAAACGGGCCCTGGTGTGAGTGTTTCTGTCCTGCGATTGACTGGCTTGTTGTCCCACGTTCCAGTCCAGCGTTTGCACGACTGAGTGAGTGGGATGGCAACTTCCATCGTCTTCTCTGGAGGGACTTGGATCTTACGGTAAATGTCAGGTGCTCAGTCCTGCCGGTTATAGGTCTGTTCACTCCCCAGTGCCCCGCTGAACCCCACTCGCGCTGGGATTCCTGCCCTTTACTTGCATGTTGAAGGTGAGCTGCTTGCTTTTATCGGCGGACCACGGTCAGGTCTTTGTTAAGGGCAGATCTCGCCTTGTGCCCAGCGCTTCCTGGCCCGGGACAGGCTCTGGGTCAGCCTGGGTCAACCATAATCGGATAAGCGGTTATTGAAAGTAATTCCAGTGGGGAGCTGCGTCTGCGCGCGCAGGCTGCAAAGGAACAAGTAAAGGTTTATTCCGAAGAAAACAGAAGAAGGCTCCACAGCCATAACGCTGCGATTCTTTTCTTTTCAGCACGGGACGAACCTTTACTTGTTCCTATTAAAAGTAATATATTGTGTCCAGACAGGGCAGTGTGAATGTGAATTGAGTGAGGATTTTCAGCATTCACGTGTGATCTGGGTGTTTTCAGTGTTTATAAAGTCCTACAGAATAGTGAATGTCAGGTTAGACACCAGTTGAAGAAAGATATTGTTCAGCTTCTGTTTATCTGTGTTAATAAATTAATAAATCAGGCCGCTGTAGGTGCTTACAAAGTTATCAAGTCTCCGTGGGTTTATGAGCGACTTTAAAGTTCAGATTAATAGTTTACTGATACGTGGTGCAATAAGTTATAACGCAATTTTGGCTGCGGTGATGTTTTGCAATGGCCTGTCAGCATATTCAGCATGCTTTATGAATGTATGTATAAAAAGAATATCTGTCAGCGTTTAGACAATATGTCTTTGCAGCACAGGAATGAAATAAAGGTTTCAGACGAGAGCAGGGCACTGGTCCCATCTAGCCCGTTTGGTGGGATCATGAGCTTGCGAAGCTGGAGAACAACCCAACACTGGAAAGGCTGAAGTTGAATGTGTTGACAAAAATACTGCCTCTCAAAGGAATAAAAGGCAAAGCGTTGCAGTCAGACACGCCCAGGAGCTCATGATTTATATTTTTAGTATTTGTCTTGATCTTGGGTAACACTTGATTATTATGTAATAGGTTAGAAACGCTTTGTAAGTGGAATTTGATAACTCTAATCTAAAGCAATATATAAGAAAATGAGATAAGATCACTTTATCAGCCATATACAATTTCTTGCATTAGGAATTTGTCTTTTCGCATACCCCAGCTTGCTCTCCAGGAGACACACAGACAGGGAGAGAAGCGTGAGGTCAGAGCGCTGGGTCAGCCATTTATATCTGTCCATTGTAACTGCTTCTTCCAATTTAGGGTCACAGGTGAGCCGGAGCCAATCCCAGCAAGCAACAGGCACGAGGCAGGGACACCAAGTCCACCACAAAGCCGACACACAAACACTGACATCCACACACACTCACACGAGGGCCAGCTTCCCCAGAGGCTCATTAACCTAGCAGCATGCCTCCGGACTGTGGGAGGAAAACCCATGTGAACACAAGGAGAACATCCGCAGTCCACACAGATACTGTAGCTCCCCAAGTCCGGGATTGCATGTCCAGCTCCAGGACTGCAAGGCAGGAATGCTGACCGCCGTGCTGCAGTATAACACCCAGCATGTATCCCACCCGCGGTGAAATAAGACCACACCTTTTGGAACAGAGCACAGCATGCATTCTAGAATGTGTTCAGCAGGGTTTACAGGACAAGCTCATAGTAGAATTCGGTTTGCCTGTTGCCGTTGGCAAACGATCATGAAAAATGGATGAAAGTCAGGGTCCATTACAATGAGTTTTGAAACTTGGGGGAGTGATTCGTAATTTCCTAAGAAAAGAGGCAAGAACGTTATCGACCGGTGCTGTGGAAATACTGGAGACGCCTGTAAATCAGTCAAGGAAGCACAGCAGAATCCCAGGCAGTACCATTGATCCCACCTCACAGAAGCACAAGCCCCAGGGAAGAGAAGAGTTTCCAGCTGTGGGACTGGGATAAATGCGGCACATTAGGGGTTTTGCCCTGAATGTATGGACTGGGGTGCAGGGACGCCGCTGTGAAAAGGGGTCAGGCTACACGGCGTTCTGTGAACAGGTCATGTTTCCCTCTAAAACCCCGACTAGCAGGAGGAACATACAGGACTGCGGGCAAGACGACTGGACACACGTGTGCAGATTTCAGGGGAGCGGAGAGCTTGGAAAGCAAAGGTGGAAAATGTGAGATGGGCTGGGAAGTCCCGAGAGACCTCTTGGGCAGAATTCAAACTCCAGCCCACAATCAAAAGACTCGAGCTGGAGGTTTTTTTAATATAGTAGAGGAGAGAGAGAGAAGGAACTGGCGTTGAACATGGAAAGGCTTTAGTTGACACGTTCAGGGAGTGTTCGGTAGCTAATCAGTACCAAACGGGCAAGATGTTCTGAACAGCCTCCTTTTGTTTGTAACTGTTCGGGGTCCTGACTGAATATGGAATCGAGGAATTTAAGCACCTGGGCACTGTAACAGATTGCAAACATAGTTTTGGTACATAAATCTCCATTGTTAAGACATGCCAACAATGTACATTCATCTCTCACGAAACTGAACTATATTTTAAAACTGAGACAGCTGAAGGTCAGGGAGTTGGTCTTTTATAGGTGTTTCATCAAAAGCTCATCAGGATCATCAGGGTTCTAGTCTGGTTGCCTCAGTGCTGGGAATCGAAACCTTCGGAACAGTGCAACGACCCAAAGGATCAAAATTGTGTATGTTATGCCTGAAAACCTTGAGGATTTCTTAAACAGGTACACAATAAAGATGTAGTGGTGGCTTCTGATAAAGCTTGTTTCTTTTTCTTCCTTGGGGATGTAGATTTCACTCTAAAAAACGAACACGTCTCAGTAGTTGTGTCATTTGACCATGCTGTTGAGAGCTTAATGTTTGAGCACATTTTTAATGTGTGTGTTTGTGAATTACTAATGGCTCCCCATGTGAATTTCACTTAAGGGGAAATAAGTGATGTTATCTGGTTTGGTTTCATGTTTGCAGAGTTAAAAAAAAAAACCCCACACACACGCTCCCGTTTCAAGAGAAAGACTTGCTCTGCTGTACATCCAAAGCAAATGTGCTGGGGCTGTTGCCTCCTGCATTTTTTCTCTGAGATTGTTCCCTGCCAGGGGAACTGCAGAAACACGCCGAGAGGAGGCCAGGCCAGCAGGACTTGTTTTTTTCTCTGCTGAAAAGCGTAGCCTTGAGGTGAGCACAACGCCCGCCGGCTCACTCAGTCGTGCCACGGCTCCGGTCTCTGTTGGGGTTCCCGCTTTTTTTTCCCCACCTTGGGAAGCAAGCAGGGGAGAGAGACGGATTCCCCGCGGGGATCCCTGCCAGGAGCACGCCTAGCGAGGAGCCACGTTCACAAACGCAGAGCTGCGCTCTTTCTGCATGGTCACTTAGGTCAGACGCTGCGGGCACTACACCCTGATTGGCAGTTCTTGTTTGCACACCCCAAAAATGAAGCACCATGTAGTCATTATTGCAAATAGACACTGTAATTAAATCATCCCTGGCTTCTACAGGCCTGCTGCTCGCACTTCAGGAATGTGTGTGTGTGTGTGTTTTTTAACCAAATGGGTGTAGGGTCGGATGGAGATTTCGACTGCCGAAGGTTAAGGTTAAGTTTGAACTGGGAGTGCATGAGGGCACAGTTAAAATATCGGGTGTTCTTGAAAATCTGCTTCAGTGCCGTGAATGCGGTGTGTAATTATTTGTTTGCGTCCGTGCAGTAAAATAATCTCTCTCCAGCGCCTCTCGATTCTTGGTTTTTTTTTCTGCATTAAACACCACTCATTTGTTGTTTTTTTTAATAACCCTTTCCTTTGAGTTTGAGGTTGAATTCTTTTTTCAGCTCTTTTTTTCCTCACTTCCTTTGACACATCACGAGCTTGATACTCGATTAATCGATTGGCGTAAAAATACGCTTGTGCGCATTATGGAATCAGTGGATTTTGGAGAGTGTTGCGTTTCATGTTTTTTCTGCGTTAGTGGTTCGGGATGGGTTGGCACGGTTCTGGACCTGGGGTGCTGTCTATGTGGAGTTTGTATGTTCTCCCTGTGTTCCTGTGGGTTTGCTCTGCTAGCTGGGATAGTCTCCAGCTCCCTCATGACCTTGTACTGGCTAAACTGGCTAGAAAATGAATGAATGGATTTTTAACAACATCTTATCTTTATAAAAATGTTTTTTTTTTCCATGCACGCATTTTATTTCTTGTATTATTCAGGACCAGGTGCCATCTGGCACATAGGACACAATAAATATTATAAACCACTAAAACATTTTTTTGCAAATGGTGTTAATGCCCCTAACCCTCCCGTTATTCCTAAAAATATAATAATAATGAATTTATTTTACACATAAATACTGTATGTACTAGTTCTGTAAAAACATTTAAACTGTTTCCACAGATTTTTATATTAACTTAAAGATTGTAACTAAAACATACATGAACATATTGTAGAAGTTCATGTACAAAGGAGAGTGTAAAATCTGTAACCCACGACGCATTTTAATATAGATTGTTTGAAAGATTTGATCAGAGCTGCAAAAAAAGGCGCGAATGAAGACGTCACGTGACTCGCCTATCCCTACATTCCTGCCAGACCTCCCGGTACTGGACAGCGACATGGCGTTCAGAGACGAGCCAAAATACTGTAAAATACTTTATTTTAGGCATAAAAGTGTGGAGTGGAGGTACAGACGTTGGACTACGGGGTTGTCGGTTCAAATCCTGGCCGACATACTTTATACTTCTGAACAAGGTATTTCATTCATATCGCTATAATAACAGGTTAAAGATTGTCGTTAATATTATATACCCTTACCAACATCCTTATCCGTGTGTGTTGAGGGGAAATTGAAGTTTAAATGGATTGCTCGTATAATTTATATCTGCCTTTAATAAAAAAAACGGAAGTTTTCTGTTTTCCAAATATTTTTTTTTTATTATATACGCCAAACAGTTTGAAAGTTCCTGTTGTTTTAAGACGTGTAGTCTTATATCACCTGGAGGTGATTTCGGCACTGAGCCGGGAGAATGAGTTTTGTGTTGAATTATTAAGTCTTAATAATTGTCAACGCTGTGTTGTCATAAAAATACCGCGTACCACTCAAGAATAAAAACGTCATGTACAAATTCTGGATAGAGGAAATAAAATGAATGTTAACTGCTGGCCTGAAAGCTGAATTTTGCAGCGGATAAAGAAGATTTTTTTAAAAAAAATTGTAGACAATATTGTTTTGAACCTGAATTATTTTTTTTTAAAACGAAAACAGACCTAGAGCTGTGAAAAAGGCTGGTCGCCACCGTACCACACACTGACAATACACTGTATTGTGCTGCGCTGCATTGTTAAAAAAAGGGAACAAAATGAATTCGAACAATGATGCTGTCTTCTGTGGGCATTTCCAGAGGCAGTTTACTAAATAAAATATTCCCCCCTTCCACCTTTGTAGGCTGGGAATTGCTAAAACAAAACAAACAAACGAGGATGCCAAGGAAATTCGTGTCGGCAAGGGACAGAGGTCAGGTCTGAAACATTGCAGTTTGTGTATTTAAGCTGCCCTGCTGAAGACACTGTCCAGGCTGATGCCTTGTGGGTTTGAAACCAGACGCATCGCAATGGCTCAGAATGACCTCAGTGCTGAGGTCAGTGTCGTACGAACCGTGGAACTGCTGACAGAGAAAGGTCAGAGATGCTCTGGTATCATTGCAGCACCCAGGACAGATTACAGTGTGTTGTGAAAGGAAATCTCTTTACACCAGGAGTCTCCAAAACCAGTCCCAGAGGTCCGATATCTCTGGGGACTGCAGGATCACTGGGAGTGTTTTCTTCCGGTCCAACTCGGCTCTCAACAAGCTAAACTGGCTTGACTGGACCAGTGCAACAAATTCTCTCAGCTCTTCAGGTGATGTTTCTTGAAAACCTACAGTTTTTGTACCGGTTACAAAAAATGTGTATTGCCCATTGTCGACCCTGCAGCCCTTATTATCTCAGCCTTGGGCCTGGCTGTGGCACAAAATCGGACAAAATCAGCTCCATACCTTTCTCAGAAGCATTGACACAGGGACCTGAGTGTTAGGTATTTTTGTTACATCTTCTACATCTAATTATTTTCCCAAACAGTTTTCAGTTTGCTCCCACTCTTACCTTCTTTTCTTACTGAGTTGCTTGAAGAAGCATTTTGGGTTAGTCTTTGTAGCGCCAGAAGCAGTGTGTCCCCAAGATGGCCCTGGAGTGAATTACAGGGGGATCCTCAGGACAGATTGGGGAATCGCTTGGCGAAGGAAGTGGCCTTTCTAGAGAGGATGCATGTCATGCACCACAGGAGTGCAGCAGTCGCTGTGCCTGTAGTCCCACTTCATTCAGTCAAGCGAAGAAGTGAGAAATAGCATGACTGATGGATTTGAAAGGGAAATCCAGAATGTGTAAACCCAGAGTGAAATTTAAACAGTAGAGTTTACCCCCTAGTATTAATCGGCTATGGACTTTATGCTTCCTCTTACTCTGACAACACTGAGTCAGAACTTCAGTCATCCGAAAGGCGGCAACTTCTGCTTCCTCCTTCCTCCAATCCTCCATATTGGGGCATTGGGTAGGAAGTCCCTGAAGGAATAGCACTAGTTGTACTGATCTACCAATACCATCCAAGGCAGCAACATGATTTTCCTTAGAGGTCTCCCAGCCCAGTACTGACCAGGCCCATCCTTGCTCATTTCTGAAATCTGAGGAGAGCAGGCTGCAATGGGAACTTTTAGAATATACTCTGTTAAACACAAGTACTTTGGTCAGTGTCCCACATGTATTGAAATACATTATTAATGCAATGGAGCATATATTCAGATTGACAGTAGTACACAACTTTCCAAAAGGAAATACATGTAGTCATGTAGGAGTCATGTAGTGTGAAACAGTTTGTTGCCAAGTATTACCCTTTACGGCAACGTTTTCTTGAGTACAAGTCTAATAAATAAATAAGCACTCCAAGCACCGTACTGTGAAAGCGTAGCACTCAAAAAGGATTGTTTATACAAGGACATCTGCAGGCAGGTTTGTCCTAATTCTCATAGTGTGCAAAGAGTCTGTTATGGTGACATCCAGCTTTTTGGGATCTCAAATGTTTTCAAAGGGGGGTGTGAGGATGATCAGACTTACCCCTCTGGGTAGTACTTCCGGGTCCTTTATCATCGGTTGTGCTGCAAGCCCCATACTGCCTAGCAGGAGGAGCAGTGTTTCCTGGAAGAATGACGTGTTTTTCTTTTGTTACTCCCTCCAGTCAGTTCAGAACCGTCGGTTGTCTAACCGATTTAACACTTTTGAAGTTACTTAAAAACTTAAGGGACTTAAGTTACTCGGAGACAATACTGCAAGTCTGTCACTGTTTTAGAACTCGACTGGTCTTTGTGGAAGGAGGCACAGTGGCGCAGTGGTTAGCATTGTTGCCCAGAAGCGCTGGAGCCCTGTGTTGAATTCCCGACCTAGGGTGCTGTCTGTGTGGAGTTTGTTCTGCCTGTGTTCCTGTGGGTTTCCACCCGGAGCTCCAGCTTCCTCCCACAGTCCAAACGCATACTGGTGCGAGTGTGTGTGTGTGTCTGTGTTTGTGCCTGTCTGCTCTGTGTTAGACTGGTGTCCCATCCAGGGCGTGCCCTGCTTTCGCCCTTTGCTTGTTGGGATAGGCTTCAGCTCCCCTGCGACCCTGTATTTAAAAAAAAAAACGGTTAGAAGATGGATGAATAGATGATGTGGAATCCTCATTTAGGTCATGGTAGATTATCTGTGAAGAGGAGCTGAGTCCATCGATTGTAAACAAATCTTTGCGACTCGCTGAGGAACATCGTCAGTCATTATGTCACCGAAAAGATATCGGACGCCAGGAATAGTAAACATGTAACTGGAGTTTCGTTTGATAAGTAACTTCTTCTTTTCACCCCCTGAATCCCCGCGTATTCCCTCTCCTCTCGCTCCCCTCCCCTCACTCTCTCACTTTCTCTTCACCCACAGCCGAGGGACAGAAAATCGGGAGCGCGAAGCATGAAGTCCCCCGGCAGCTTAAGAGATATAAATGAGGCAGCCGCACCAGCCAAGGACGGTTTGTAAAGCTTATCTCACTACTGCCATTGCAACAACTCCGGGGCTCTGGGAGAGGAACCTGTTCTCTTTTCGCTCTTCGCCATTCTGATCGTTTCTGGAGCTGATGAACCAGCGAGCTACAGGCAGGCAGGTACAGCGCGAGTGGGGAGAGAGGGAGAGAGAGAGAGGGAGGGAGGGAGGGAGGGAGTGACAGAGTGAGTAGGCTCTGTTATCAGCTTGGGCTAGCTGAGGGAAGGCTGCAACAGAAGTGTGGGTTGGGTTAAACCAAAGAAGCTGACACTTATAAGGAGCTGGCTGTGGCTGATCATCATTGTACAGCGGGAGAGTGGGAGAAGGGAGAGTGTCGGGGGATCCAGGGGGGCACGCCAGACGACCAACACGAGGGTCAAGGGAAGAGGGGAACAGAGCATCAAGACCTTTTCTGTCTCCCATCTCTCGCTTTCTGTTATTTTCCTGTTTTCCTTAGTTTTCCTGTATTTGCCGCTGCGGCAGGACAGACCTTGGCTGGCATGCTTTGGGTTATGTGGGTTGTGCCCCTCTTTGGGCTCGCTCATTCTGTATTCTTATTTGAACTACCGGGGGATTACCTAGCCAATGAGACGGGGGCGTTAGATTTCGTGAATGACTACAACACCTCAGCTGAGCAGGTTTTCTTCCGCAGCACCAGTGCCAGCTGGACATACAACACCGACCTGAATGAACATAACCAGATAGCACAGGTAAGGCAGATCTGATCTGTTGGTTTACCTTTTGACGTGCACAGAGGTATGGCGCTGTTGTCTGCGATATAGTAGGGTGGCAAGTGGAACACAAGTGCTAGTTAGGATCTCTGCGTTTTAACAACTATCGGTCAGTTTCAAGAATATGTGTTTTTTTATTCTTGTGACAGGGCAGCTGATAGGAGTTAGGAGCACATTTTGGTCTTTCCCTGCTTCCAGGCTGCTTAGGCCTGTTTGTGGGCATCTCTAACTGCAGCTCTGGGCTGGGACTGGCTGAGTTGAGCCCCATTTTATTGTGTCTGAGCAGCTCAAATAAGCTATAGTTTTGCTTCATAGCATGCAGAGTGCACCCTCTAATCCTTGGTTACCGCAGCCCTACGTTTCTTATATACTTAGATGAAATGATGTTGTGGCTTGGGCGTGACTGAAGGGCGCAGGAAATAAATCTGGGCTTGTGTTAGATGAGTTAGGTTTGTAAATAAAGGGTGCTGAAAATTCAGTGGAACAGATTATGTCTACTGTAAGTACCCTAGCAGTGTATGATGAAATGAAGAAAAGATTGCATTACAGAGATGCAGTCCAATGTAAAAAAGTGGCATTATATCACTTGGATTACCATGGAACTGAAAATGATATCCAGTTTCTTTTTTACATACTGTGTTGCATGCCTTGTGATTGATGATATTTCATATTGTAGCTCATAGAGTTGCAGTTCAGTCTGGTCAATTGTGTAGAGAGATAAGATGGTATGTGAAGCTGTTACCCACATACCAATCACATTATGCATGGGAAGCTAAAGCAAAAAATAAGCATAAATCCATCCAGATGGGAAGAAAAGAGCTTTAGGGTGGCAAAGAAAATAAATGTACAGCAGTGTTAGATGCAGGCATTAGTTTTAGCACCATATCATTTGATAAGGAACAGTAACTGAAACAAAACCTTTGAAAAGGAATCTAGAAATACCTTCAAAAGATCTTGATTTCACTGATACAGTAAATTACACATTTAGGTTGCAGGTTCAATGCATTCTTTTAAAAATCCCATCCACTTTTGCAGAGAGATTTGGAATATCCCCAGGCGTATGCTTTCATAGCCCAGTACTGTCAGACTCTGAAATAAAGTCTGACTTCTGTGTCTTGATCCAAAACAGGAGATGACTGTGTTGGAATAGACTTGGGAAGAAACAATAAGTTAGCAGGCACTGATTGCCTCTTTTCTGGGTGTCTGCTGCCTAGGGCTTCAAACATTTATATAGCCAGCTATTACAGACAGCAGCACTAACACAGAAAGCCCACACTTGTGCTTTCTGTAATTGAAGAGTAACATCAAGAAAGACACGGGTCAAAGCATTTGTTGCCAGTGGCTGTTTGTTTTCTATAATTGATCTTTTAAATTTGTGGCTGATGCTGTGTTAAGAGAACGTAAATGTTGACTGAACAGGCTTGGGCAAAATTATGTTATTTTTTCTGTCTGTAGGGCAGATTTCCAATCGCTATTCTCACAACAGATAGATAAATAATTTTTCACGAATGTATGCGTCTGATTGGGTTCCATTTTCATCCTTCTGCTCCAGAAAGTATAAAAAGAAAATACACCGTGCCCCATTGTTGTATATGCAATTGTTTGATAAATGTAAAATATATATAAATACTGCTAATGTGACACCACTTACCTCTTACACCAGGCACGAGAACTTAAAGGTTTCCATAGTGGTGGCTTGTGTAGGAAACACAAAAGAATCACATTAAAACATTAAATTAACTCTTTTGAAATAAAGGAAATTGATAACTAATGCAAAAAGGAAAAACCTGAGCCCTGACCATACTAATGAAAGATGGTATTGCAGTTGAAACCTGAAGCTCATTATACTGGTGATGCCAGTGGGAGTTGCTCTTTATTCACGTAGAAATCAGCTGCACCTAATTGTAAGGGAGAATTCTACCTTCGACCTCTTCTTCTTCTTTTGCTTGCTTGGACAGTGTGTGAACAGGCCGCCTAACCATTGGATAGAAATTAATTTCGTAACCATTCTAACCACTGTAGGGCTTTTGGAAATTTTGTCAAGAGGGTAAATAATCAGTATCTAAAAATAAGCCACTTAAAACGGCTCCACTCGAGGTGGGCAAATTGACAATCTCGTCAAAACCTTTTTAGCAGTTATAGAGCTGAGGGCCTGGGAAAAAAAGTCAAGTTTTGCTGTTTGGTGATACCATTTACAGTGTTCCGCTTTATAATGTGCACGTTGACTCCCAGCAGTGCGAGCTGAAAAGAGCTCCGTGATACTTTCAGGGCTAGTGCACATCACGCTGCTTTGTAGTGTTTTTAGCTCATTATGTAGATGAACCTGGAACCCTTTCCGATTCCCAGAATGCATCTTGACTCCTGCTAAACGCATACGGGCAAAGGTAAAGACTGGAGCCGAGCATAGTGGCACACAGGGCCAGAGCTCATTCTGGTTACTGGTCTGTTAAGCAGACTGAGAGCATGTGACTCCCAGGAGTGTCTGCAGAGGGAAAGTAACCTGTTAGTTCTGAGTTCAGAGTTTACAGTATCATTATTGTTTATGTTAAATGTCTCCCTAAAGTCTCTAGCAAACCTTTTACTCATGATCATCTGTTTTAATTAGAGCACTGCATCTGTTTTGTTGTTATAATCATAAGAATAATAGGATTAATTGGAGTCTTATTCAGTATATGGAAACGAAGACTGATTTATTTTTAAGCTTCTGGGTGATGTGCCAGAACACAGCCTGAATTTGACGACCTGAATTAGCATTAATTGTTTAAATGTTTTATGGTTGTTAAACAACACTTGTCTTGCAAAACACCAAAAATAAAAACTCTTTCATTTTTCTGGTGTCTATGATTTTTAATGAGGAAACTGTAATTCAAACTGCAATTGTGGTGGAGCTACTGGAATTCAAGTACTGTAAAGCAGAATTAAGAGACTCTTAGAACCACTTCCTAGGTCATCAGACATTCATTTTTTTAAAAGAAAATTTGTGAGTATTTTTTGCAGTTTAGGAAGAAGCAGTATTTCGTTTTTTATAATTCATTCCTAAATATTATTTTTTAATACCATAAAAACAAATACACAGTAACATTATTCTTTATTTGGCCAGGGAGAGAACAGGTTGTCAGGGCTTCTGATTTATTTTTGTCTACACTGATATGCTTCTCCTAGTTTCCAGCATCACTGAAGATGGGCTTTGTGTTATCTGTTCTTTGGAGAGCTTGTGGAGTCAAGACCTCATATATAAAACTCTGTTATCATAACTTTTTGCAGGAAGCATTTTTATGTACTGCAGGGGCCTAGAGGACATCTCATATCTTTTGTCATATCTTTGCAGTGTTTCGTGAAGAAAAATTGGTAGTGTAAAAAAATACTTTATAAAGGTGCCAAACCAGCGCTGAAATCGAAAGGAGGTCAGTGTGAGGTGACAGTGAGGTGGAAAGATAAAAAACACTTTTGCTCAAGTGCTACCAGCTGTAAAGCAGACATGGGGGTTAACAGACAATGTTCTCTGATTGCTGCTTGAATTATGGAAACAGCTACTGTTGGGGAAGATATTTTCTCTAACTGATGTAAAAAACACTGCAGATTTAGAATTCAGTTAATACCTTCAATGCTGTTTCAAGATATTTATTGAATTTAAATCAATTTCTCAAGAGTGTGTAAAAATTTAATGGGCACTACAGTGTTTTAGCGAACATTCTTGATAGGTTAGTGATAGATTGCAACTTTAAATTCCATTCATCTATCAAAGTGAGATCTTTTGCAGCAAATGGAGTACTTCTCTTAGGTTGTCATGTAGAGGGTCTGTTTTGGCCACAAAAGAGTGTGTACTGATGTAGTGGAGCTGTTGGCAAGGTGTTTTCATCATTCTTATTCTAGAAAACACTGAAGTGTTGAGTATATTTCCTGTCAAAGGCTGGAAGAGCTGTCTTGCAAGTCTGACAAAGGCTCAGTGTTCAAAACTGTGATACTGTATTCTTTTTCTCTGTGAACTATCTTCAAAACAAACAAAAAAAAATGCACCTGTTGGGCTGCCAGTACCTGTAACAGCTGTTGCGTCACAACTTTCTTTTAAAATTGATATTCAAACCATCCTTATATAGTACAGATGCAGCCATTCAAAACGAGCCACGTATGCTGTGGTAGAACACAGCACATATATGTATAACGCTGTATTTATATATATATGTATAGTATATACCGGAATTTATAGATTATATAAATGTGGGGAGATGCAAAAGAACAAGGAGAGCTTAATTTAATGTTAAAAAGTATAATAATTATACCTTTGTCATCTTTGCCATAAGATGTTTATGAAAGAATCCTTCATCCAGCTGTGTCCTGATAAAGGATTAAAATTTTGATGTTGAGCTTAATGTGTTACTTATTCATCTCTGCGGTACAAAAGTCAATTTGAAAAGCTGCCGAACTGTGCAGTGTTGAACTCAATAATTTTGTGTAAGATAGCACTTAGGCAGAGTTTAATGACATGCAATTATGTACTGTATGCATTTAAATTATCTTTAAGGTAGGAGGTGATCGGGAGGGTTTTGTCTAAGGTGTTTTCTGTAATACAGTGTATGACCTCCAGCAGGTTAAATGCCTCAAAGTTCTTGATGCAGAAACGGATTCTAAAAAATGATACTGTATTAAAACAGGAGAAATATGGTGATGTTTGATATATACAATGTAAGTAGTAGTTAATGCTCCTGTCTCACAGATCTTGTGTCTGGGTCCAGACTTTCTACTCTTCAGTGTTTCCATGTCTTCCTTGTGTTCCTTCCCACCCTTCCCACCTTCCCACCCTTCTAAAAAGCATGTGGTGAAGTTATTTGTAATTGGTGTCTAAATTGTCCATGTATGTGTGATTGCCTGTGATGGACTGGACTGTGTACCTGACTTGTGTTCTTATTGTGAATAAGCAGCTTTCAGATAGTGCCATATCTTAGGTCTTATCTTCGACCATTCTTTGATATTCTTTCATGTTTCGGTAGGGCAATGAATGTTGATGGTACTCATTAAGAAGTAGGCTTTATACTGAAGTATGTATTAAAGGGCTCTGAAGTAATGGTCATGTTGCAGACCCTCACCTGTCCCTGGCCTGGTTTTGATTTCTGCAGGTTAACGCCTCAATGGAGGAGCAGGCCTTTGTGGAGGCCTGGGGAAAGAAAGCCAAGGACCTCTTCCCCACCTGGGTGACGGACACCTTTAACGACATTCAGCTCAGGACCCTCATAAAGAAGATCAGTGTCCTGGGAGCAGCTAACCTCAACACCACGGAGCGAAAGAACGTGAGTGCACGTGCAGTGCATCACGATGCAGCGAGAGTGCCGGTTCCCTCACTCCGTCGAATATGTAATTAGGCCATATTGGTCATTAAAAGTTATGTCAAAAATACACATAGCATATTCATCATTGGCTTCTGTAATACGTGTCGAAGCATTATAACCAATGGGCTAAATTTATTTTCTGTGCATAAAGAGTAAATTACGGTTTATTGTTTCTGGTGGAAATGCAGGTTGCACACTCTTTAGAAGTTTGTGCTTGAGCAAAGCACTGCATACATCCATAAGGGTTTTTAAATTGCACTGGTTTCTGTACCAGGGCTTGGCATGGAAACAGCTTCTGATGTCAACTTTTGCCAATGGATGCAAATGCTCAATGTTTTTTAGTTTAAGCAAATTCAGATTTATTAAACATTTTTAGCACTTACCTCTCTTTATAAGGATCAATACAGAATGTTGGTGAACAGTCAAGATGTAAAAGATCAGATCTTTTATCTTTTGGAATAAACATGCATTTAATATAACCGCCATGTACACAAACCTAAAATGTTTTACACTTTCAATCTTGGATCCTACTCACAGTAACATTTTTCACCCTTTCTCACTTGAAAGATTCAGCTTGAAGTGAAGGTTTTTGATAGGGATTTTGAGTGAAACGTTAGTTACATAACAATTTTGTTTTTTTTCCAGTCTTTGATACCTAGGAGAGATTTTTTTCATTTTTTAATGTTTTCCTTTAATGGCATCAGAAATCCTTGTTCACATCTGATCCACTAATTGGCAACTGAAAGTTGTGGTTTTCCTACGAATCAGGCTCTGGATGTTAATGTAATCATAAGGCTTTTAATCTGAGAATCTCATCAAGCCACGCATTAAAAGAACTTCTTGAGCCCTTTTCATATACGGATTCCTGTCTTGTTATACAGTCATGTAAAAACAAAAAAGTTTGTTAAAAACCGTGAACAAAGTGCATTGTGGTCTTGAAAAAAATTCTCAGAGCAAAGTCACATTTGTCATTAATGATTAATTGAAGTCTAGAAAACACATGGGTCACAATTATACACAGCCTTGCTAGTATCTTCTGGCATGGATTACACTGACCAGATGCCTTGTGAACTGCAAGGATCTGGCACTTCTGAGGGCGAATTTTGACCTTTTCTTCAGGTAGAATTGCTCAAGGTTCATGAGGCCCCTTAGTTTCCATTTGTTAACTTTTGGATTCGGCATCACCAGTGTTCAGTTGGATTGAAACTGTTGGTCTAGAATATTTATTTTGCGTGCAGTTAAAAATTTCTTCATCCCATTCGATGTATTATATAAACTGTACAATCCCAAAATGTACACTGTTTTTTTTAATTAAAGAATTGAGGGTCAGTTTAAATGACCCAAGAAACCATAGGGTGCAGCAAAATGGTATTCTCAGAAGTATGTTGATCTGTTGTTTTCTCTTTTTCCAGTACAACACCATCTTGAGTGACATGGACAGTATTTATTCTACTGCTAATGTGTGTCCACCTGGAGAGAATATTAAGTGCTGGTCCCTTGAGCCCGGTATGTACAGCCCAGTAGCCGCTTGACCATGTGCTCCTGGACGGTTCACATAGTCAATTCAAGTATAGAGCCTTTCACTCCTGTTGTGATACTTGCTGGGGTCTTATGAGCTTGTGCTGCTGCTCACTTTCGAATTCAGAAAATGGGTTCAAAAATTAACTTATTTTTTTATTTTATTGGGTCTTATAATATACTTTCTCGATTTTTCCTTTAAAAAATTCCAATATGTGTTTTTCACATCTGGTGCCAAATATTTTGTTTTAACTTAACTTGTTTAAGTTGTTTTAGCTCTTGTTCCTGCACTGAACAGCACTGGAGGGGAAGGTGGTCTGGGATTTTCTTTGTCCTGCTTATGCCAACACATGTGTTTGATGTATAAGAATGAACTGCTTTGTAGTTTGTTAGCAAAAATTTGGATGGCCGTTTCCTGAATGTAATTCATTTACTGTGTGCTATTTTAAAAATAATGTATTTTGTTTTCTTTTGTCAGGCTGTAACATCACAGACAACTTTGTTTTATCTGTGCTCCTGTGTGTGTTTGTAGTCTGTGATGCACCTTCCTTTTTTGGTATTGGAGATTGTGAATAAAAACAGGGTTTGATAAAATAGGAGAACACTATATGCTGAGATAAAAAAAGGAGATAGAGGGTCGGGGTCTGTCAAGGGTACTTTGAGTCTCAGAAGTGCTGGAAGGTTCATGGACAGGAAGATATTAGGGATGAATAAAAGGAAAAACAGGAAGAGGAAAATTCAGCTCTGGAAGTCTCAGGGGATTCTTCCTCTTCTTTATCCAGCCTTGGGATCTCTTTGTATACAGGGCTTGAAACTCATTTAGGCTCTGCAGCTCCGTTGACAGAGGCGTGCCTATAATGGTGAAATTATTCCAGAGATGTACAGACGTGCTACTTGAGCAGCTTGTGAGCATGTGACAAGCACTCTTTCTAAAATTGATTTTACTTATTTATTTACAGGAGAGATTTTTTTTTAAATTTGGAAAGACATATTTTTTTTTTTGTTGTACACCTTCCCAATTATAGAAATTTATAGAAATTGGCAGCCAGTTCCGGGTTAAGCCAGTTCAATACTCCAGCGGAGACTCCCGTTTCAATTGGGAGAAAATTTGACAGTAAAAACACCACTGCAAGCCTGTCAGAACCTGGCAAGTATCAGGACCTTCTGTTTACCAGCATGCTGAGAGAGGAATGAATGACAAGTCCTGCCCTTACTCTGGCAGCTCACTGCCAATAGTGGGCCACCCCTTAGGGACCTTTGATTACTGTAGGTTAAGGACATGACCCAGGTGTGAACTGGTGGTGACTGGGCCATAGCCTACAAACTTTTCTTTTGATACTTCCTATGACAATCAAGTCAAAAGTCTTATTGCTCTGCTCTCAGTGTAAAGTAGGGATGAGTACATGACTGCTTCTTTCAAACCAGTTTTTAAAACTGTGAGCCCCACCACACTTACAGTTTTAAACCGAAGACTGATTGACCTCTCACTGAAACAAAACGCAAAATAACAGGAGCCCATCAACCCAGGGAGACTCTGACTGGCTCAAGACCAAGCAATCCTTGGCGTTCTAGCAGTGCATCCTCAGTGAGGGAACATACGTGAGGCACACACAGCTGCTGAATCAATCCTAACCCCTTAAATGTACATTTGATTTTAAAGAATCATTAAAACACGATATTTGCACAGCAGCTTGCACTACACAAACCAGACTTGTACCAGACCTTTCCTGATGAACAAGCACCTCTATATTTCAAGAAATGTGACTAAAATGACATGAAAAGTTTATTTCCCTTTGCTTTTAATGTTGTCCATTTTGCTGGTATCAATGCATAACTGCACACTGTCTGTTATGCGTCACTAAGTGTCACTGGGACGCTTTACATTTCTCTCACTCCTGTTTGTGTGGTGTAGATTTTTTTTTTATACCAACTATAAAATAAATCTTGTTCAGATCCCTTATTCTATTCCACTGCCAGTTCAGTTGGTTGTCCTCTATCATATGATGGCAAATTCCTGATTTAGCCAGTCCTGTTTGTAGCTGTTCTAATGTGTCAGAAGAACATCGAGAGGCTGCAACGACTGGGATTTACGGGACTTTGTTTACTTGCTTTGTTATTTTTTTTCTGCTGTTGTGGATGCATTTGATTAAGTTGATTCGAACTTTGCCAAAGTAAACAACTTAGGAGGTCATGATTCCTGACAAATTGTCAACATCCGACTCTGTCAGTACTGTTCTTATACAGTATACACTTCCAGGCTTGGTTTGTTGTTGCTTTCTCTGTTCTTTGCTGTTGTTTTCTTCATCGTCCATCGTGTGCTATTTGTGATATTCCGTGTCCGTGGTATTTTGATTTTTATTATTCTGTAATGATGATAAGAGTTGCTGAAAATGGGGTGATTGCAACACTATTTAGCATGATTGCATTTTAAATGCTGTGGTCATTAGGAGCTTTCATCATAAACAATCCCCCCACCCACCTCTGGATGTTGTCCCAGGTTTGTGTTAATCACTTACATACGAAAAAGGCTGATCTTCATCGGTCAAGGTCTCTCAGCACATTGGATTGTTTCTGTTGCTGGCTTCCTCTTTCTAGGCTGTGAAAATATACAGTGGAAGCCTTTGTTTCTCAGTGGTTTTCTTTATGCTCCACAGCAGACTACTGAAAATAGGATTTGGGTTTACCTTCATTCTTCCTTTTTTTAACTTATTCTTTTTCTATCCCCGCTGTTCAAGTGCCACTGCAATGCATCAATTTTTGGTGCTCACCAGCCACAACTGGTGATTAGTGATCGTCCCATGGGATTGTTGACATACTTTTTGTGTTACAAAGGCATGCCTATAAGTGCAGATAATATTGGCCCTTTCTTCTAGATAAACCCTTAATCCTGAGTATCTGGGTGATGCGAGAAAGCCGCACTGAACTAGAATCTTTTAGATCTATAGCATGTGTGTTGGATTTTCCTCTTTATGACAGAACTTTTTTATTCAGGTGCTTGTGTGTCTTTAGGACACTGTTGTGTATTGTTGGGGAAACTGTTTCCCAAGGCATTAGTGCACTTCCTGTATCCTCGTGCTTATCGTGTGGCTGTGGGCTTGACATTGCAGACATCGTAGACCTGATGGCCACCTCTCGGAACTACAAGAAGCTCCTATATGCATGGGAAGGCTGGCACAATGCTTCGGGCATCCCGCTGCGGAAAAAGTATCCAGAATTTGTGGAGCTCAGCAACAAAGCTTCGCAAATGGATGGTAAGATAACGCTAGCACCCTGCTAGATAACGGTTTACCTTTAGTTGAAAGGGTGGAGCAACAGTCAGAAATTATGGTTTATATGATAGTGAACAGAATTCAGGTTCTCTCCAGGTGCTCCCCCAGATGACTTGGAAGAAGTGCATGCATCCCTCTTCTGGCAGCTATATTTTAATGGGCCATATTTCAAAACTGGTTATTCCGTAAAATACAGCTAGAAAAACAGACTGACAGACAGAAATAACTACTGTGTTGTGGTGGTGTTGCTTAGCACTGTGTCCCTCCCTCAGGCTTTGTTGACACCGGTGATTACTGGCGCTCCTGGTATGAATCCCCCACCTTTCAAGAAGACCTGGAGACAATTTATCAGCAGCTACAGCCTCTGTACCTCCATTTGCACGCCTTTGTTCGCCGCAAACTCTACCAGCGCTATGGCCCCAAGTACATCAACCTCAAAGGACCCATTCCTGCACACTTACTTGGTAGGTCGGCCTTTTCACTGACTTGAGTTTTCAATTGTGCACACAAGCTACAGTAAGTTTTTTTATGACTGAATGACTGATAGATTGGTCGATTGTCCTTTTTTTTTAAGAGATATAGGTCAAGGTCTGTTGTCCACCTCTCACCCCAGCTTTTGAATCTTCGTCTCTCCCAGTTTGGAACAGCCGGGTTTAAGTCTCCCAACTTTGCATCCAGTTTGTGGCCAAGAAATAGGTCTTGTGGGGCAGTGAGTTATTAAAGTCAGGGCTAAATAGTGGTTGAGTAAACATTGTCTGTGATGCATTCGGTCAGGTGTACCCTAGAGAGCTTATAGTCTCCTATCCATGGGAACAGGGGTGTTATTTGAGTGGAAACCATAAAGTGTGCCCGCATCCCCAATCCAAATCCCCATGCCAGATGATGAGATTTAGTTTAGTTTAGTGGAAGGCATCCTCAAGTTGTGACTGTACATGGGAAGACCCCCAAAGAGCTGGCATCACTCCTTGGCAAGCAGTCGCAAGGTCCAGGTTATGGTTTCCTCTGCTGACCTGTGTTGGCTGGGACTCGGGCCCTCACAATAACCTGGAAATCCTCTGAACTTTTATGTTCTAAATCTTGCGGTTCATTAGAGAAGCTAGCTGCAGACACAGTCAAAAGTCTTACATTAGCACACATCTTCACCGGTGCAAGCGTGGACTGAATGGAGTTGTGTCTTGATGTCTTTTCCAGGAAACATGTGGGCTCAACAGTGGAACAACATCTATGATATGATGGTACCCTTTCCTCACAAGCCCAACCTTGACGTGACACAAACTATGGTGAATCTGGTGAGTGGACCTATTTACAGCATTATTGTTAACAGTATACTTAATCAGGTTTTAGAAGCGCAGGGTGCGTTTAAAGATTTGTGGCTTTACCGTTTGTAAAATCTGTTGGAACTTTTAAAACGACTAAATCAGTTGATTAAAAAAAACAGACTTTACTTTTGGAGACTCTTTCCTGTCAGTTAACAATTAGCTAACCTTTTACCCCATTGGCTGGAGTCAGAGCACTAAAGGTGCTGAATTCTCTAACATGGGTACTGTACATTGACCCCAATATTGAATCATATTTGGACAATAAGGAGCAAAGGAGTAGTAATGCAAAGTTGGCCTGTTTTATGTTTTTCCTGGAATAAAAATCATATCAGGCGTGATTTGTTTGAATAAACCGATCAGTTGAAGAAAAACGCAAGCATTTTTTAAAATTTAAATATAGTAGCTGCTTTGACACACTTGCCCCAGATCAACATGATTTCCCAAATTTGAAATTTTGCCACTGTAATTTAAGTAATTGAAGAGGAGGTCTGTCCGGGAGCTCCCATATATATGACGCTTTCTCTCTACCTTTGTAGAAGTGGAATGCGACCCACATGTTCCGAGTCTCCGAAGAGTTCTTCACTTCCCTAGGCCTGATTGCCATGCCACAGGAGTTCTGGGACCATTCCATGCTGGAGAAACCCACTGATGGCCGGCAGGTTGTGTGTCATGCCTCTGCTTGGGACTTCTACAACCGGAAAGACTTCAGGTGAGGAGACGTAATTGCCTACATACTGTATAGAGATGCAAGGAGTCATATTGCAGTTCAGTGGAGATTTGAAAGAGGTTTATTTTGTAACGTAAAGTCCTCCTGGAGATCATACTGACAGGGTAATTCTCTATCTGATCTACTTACTATTGCTTACAATCACTTTTTATACTTGTAAAACATCCCTAAGTGCTCTAAATGTCACTGGAGGAGCTGGCATTTTAGGATCAGTATATTTAGATCCTTCCTGCAGACTTCCATGTTTGTGAGATAACGGTTTGCTTGCTCAGTTTATCCTTCAGATCCTTTGTGACAATAACGGGTGTCTAAACAGCATGTCCTTCACACAAGAAGACCCTTCATAAAGAGCAAATCCTACCACCAGAAAATTCTACAATGAGATATATTTTTGCATTTTTAAGCACACTCATACATGGAAGGATGTAACTCATAGCTGCTTTTATTTATTCCTGAAGTTTCAATTCGATTGTGCAGGTTGACTTCCTGTGGTTAAATTATCTTGCTGTTCTCTGTATAGGATTAAGCAGTGCACCACAGTGACCATGGAGCAGCTGTTCACTGTGCACCACGAAATGGGCCATGTGGAGTACTACCTGCAGTACAAGGACCAGCCTGTCGGCTTCCGCAGTGGGGCCAACCCCGGCTTCCATGAGGCAGTGGGGGACGTCCTGTCTCTGTCTGTCTCCACACCCAAACACCTCAAAGAGATCGGCCTACTGAAATCCTTTGTCCCGGACAATGGTACAGTACTGCACACAATGAGTACAAATCTTTCTTTTCTTCATGGTTTCCAATTCACTCTTTTTTTTTTTTCTACGATGCCACTGTGGTTCAGTGGGTAATACCGAGTCCAGATCTGGCTCTCTGTGTGGATTTTGCATGGTTTTTTTTTTATGCTGTGGCTTTCTTCTCCTCCTGATGGATGGAGTTTTAACTGGCGTCTCCAAATTGCCCCAGCATGCATAAGTGCCCTTGGTAGTGAAGTCCTGCCTCTTGCCTTGTGCGTTCTGGCTTAGGCTCTGCCTCACTGTGACCCTCTAAGGATAAAATAGATCTTTGTTTTCATTTCTTTATGTTTTCTTTTCTATGCCTTTTTCCTTTTTGTCATTTTTTCATTTTAATTGTGGTGTTCTTTCTTTACTTGCACATAGCAAATAGGATAAGAAATATCCTTGGTTAAAGGATAAAGAGCACTGATTTCAGTTCCCTTCCAGAAAGTGACATTAACTACCTGCTGAAAATGGCCCTGGAGAAGATTGCCTTCCTGCCCTTCGGATACCTCATCGACCAGTGGAGGTGGGGGGTGTTTAGCGGACGCACCCCACCTGAGCGCTACAATGCAGACTGGTGGTACCTGAGGTACAGTATGAGGGGCAGGCAGACGGACAACTGGGCCATATGGGAAATGTGTGCTGCAGACTGACAGAGCGTGTTGTCTCACAAGTGAAAATTGGAACGAGTCGACAAACTGTCAGATTACCCACCACAGAACAGTACAATAACAAAAAAAAAAGGCAGACCAGCCTCATCAAAAGTTGTCTTTATGCCATGGAATGCTTTTGAAAATGCTTGACCGTATTTGACTGTTTTCGGCTATATCCATTAGGCATGCTGTGTTTACGTGTGGTAGAGGTTTTTCTGACGGAGACCAGTTGTCTGACTTCAGGCTGTTGTTTATGTCTTTTAAACTCCTTAAGAACGAAATACCAGGGGATCTGCCCACCAATCGAACGCAGTGAGGAGCACTTTGATGCTGGGGCCAAATTCCACATTCCAGGAAATACTCCATATATTAGGTAGGAGTTCCACTCTTCCTGAGTAACTTCACCTGTGCACAACAAATTGATATATACAACTGAGACCGTGTCTAGAGGCGTAATGGCACCTTATGTAAATAAAAAGCCACAGACTTCTTATAAAGTTATTACTTTCATAAAGACCAGCATAAAAAAAAACATATGCTGTGTTAATTTGTCCTCTCCCTGCACAATAATCAGTGGCAGTATCCCTGTTTGTCACTATCACAAGATTCATTTGGTTATTTTGAATTTCAGATTCAGGCTTAAACTGGTATGTGTCTCTACATTCAGTTTTGTTGTAATGGATAGTGAAACCTCTACCTTTCCTCCCTGTAGGTATTTTGTCAGCTTCATCCTTCAGTTCCAGTTCCATGAGAAACTGTGCGAAGCAGCCAAACATGTGGGACCATTGCACCAGTGTGACATCTATCGTTCCAAGGAAGCAGGAGCTATCCTACAGTACGTAAATGAGAGCCGGGCGTGCTTTAGAAATGAATTCCTATCTAAATACACATCTACTGTAAGGTTGCCTCCTTCTGATTCGAGACTAAATGTTTACTTGAGGGTTTGCTCCCTATAAACAGTACTAAAGAAATAGAGTCAGGTGAGCATGATTGACTGAATGGCCCCATTTCATCTGTGTATTTCTGATGTACAGTTTTTCCAAGATAAGGAGGCCTGCATAATAGCCATAATTAAAACAATCATAGCCCATTTCATGAAAGGGAGACGCATAGAAGCTTCAAGAAGAATTATATCAATTTGATATTTTCTAATTTTATGGCCCCTTTTGCTCATTTAGTAGTTTGCTTGCCAAAGCAAGAATATAAAACTTCATCTAAAGTTCCTGGAGTGCCTGCCTGCCCTGATTTGAATCCACGTTCCCGCTGCTGTTGCCTTACTGCTAGAGTAATTATTTCGGAGGCAGCAGAGCTTTGAAAAGACATGCTGGGATTTAAGGTGTGGAGGTGGGGGAAAAGCAATGCAGATGTGTCAGGTCTACATTTAGTGCAACATTTTGGGAGAGCCATTAGAAATTCCTTTTATTCCTTTTTATACATTTATAACATGTTTAGCTTGTATTGGCCAGCTCAGGAAGGGGTTTATTCTCTGTTACTATTAATTCCTATTCCTACCTTGTTAGCAGTAAAAAAAAAAGGCAGATACAGTGTATTTTTATGGGCTTGAGAAAATCCTTCTTAGCTGTTTTGGGACACACAATGCACTTAGTTAATCCATTACACTAATTCTTAGAACTAAAGTTTAAAGTCTTAAAGAAGCTTTCGGAATTACTACCAGACTTCTAACTAGATGTGTAGAATTAGATTTTTTTTCTACTGCTTTGACAAATAATTAATTACACAGTGATGATTAACGTCTGCCTTTTTAAATATAACTATACTACGTCTTAGTCCTTCCAGTTGCTTTATTGTTTTCAGTGTCTTGCATGTATAAACAGCCAGCAGCCATATCACTTTGCAACTCAACTGGCAACCCACTGAAGCTAAGCAGGTGTGAGCCTGGTTAGTACCTGGATGGGAGACCTCCTGGGAAAAACTAAGGCTGCTGCTGGAAGAGGTGTTAGTGGAGCCAGCAGGGGGTGCTCACCCTGCGGTCTATGTGGGTCCTAATGCCCCAGTATAGTGACGGGGATATATTGACCCTTACCAATCTCCTCCCCACTGAGAGCTGATGTGTGGTGAGCGTTCTGGCGCACTATGGCTGCCGTCGCATCATCCAGGTGGTGGTGGAGGGGAGACCCCATTACCTGTATAACGCTTTGAGTGGAGTGTCCAGAAAAGCACTATATAAGTGTAAGCAATTATTATTATTATTATTATTATAAACCATGAGTGACACACACTTCTCACCATGGGTGGGGGTTCTCTTAGAAAGGTCCTCAGCGCTGGCTCCTCGAAGCCCTGGCAGGATATCCTGCAAGAAGCCTTGGGAACAAACCGAATGGATGCTGGACCTCTGATGGCATACTTCAGTCCCATCATCAACTGGCTGAAGGAGCAGAATGCCAATGAGACCCTAGGGTGGCCAGATTTTGAGTGGCGCCCCCCTGTGCCAGAGGGATATCCTGAAGACATAGGTAAGTGGCGCCCTCCGCACTGGTCTGTGTACAGCACATTTAAGATCAATGGGATTTTGGGAACATTGATCCTGTTGTGAGTGTGTGTACATGTGTGTATTTTTCAGAACAATAATTTATATTCGTGTCGCTCAATGCACAGCCCTCTATCCCAACTTCAGTTTCTACATTTGATTGACGTTTGTCCAAATTTAAGAAACATGTGAGACAAGAGCAGACAGCCTATTTTGTACACAGCATTCATTTTGTTATTATAATATTCAGACTTCTTTCATATTTTGCAGGGAATGTTTTTTTTATTTTTGACAAGCATATTTGCTTCCAACCCAACTAACAATTAAATGCCAGTTTTCTGCATTGTAGGGCCATCTCACAATGCATCTGTCAGAACCCTCGTGCACAGTTGGTTTATTTGAATTGCAAGTCTGAGGAAAAAAAATAGACAGCTCTACATTTTGCATACTGATGATCTTGTCAGCCTTGGAAGGATTAACCATAAATCATTGCCAAGCACAATACCATATCAAAGACACCTAAAATAGATCCTACCGGGACATTTTTGTGCTGACAGATACAGTAGATGAGAGTGATTTATTTATATAAAAGTTCAAGGTGTGAAAATCTGAAGGGAACAACACATGAACCACTGCTGTCTTACATTAAAAGCCATGCAGTTCCCTAAGAAAATGCACTCTGTAATGTTTGAAGGCTTAAAACACTTCTTAGACATTACAGAACACAACAGCTCTGAATTCATTAACCTCTGTCCTTAAACTCTCTCAGCTATGCTTGAAATAAAAAAGAGAATGTGCTTCAGGCTTGCTGTTTTTCTTTCAACAGCTTTCAGATTTTATTCGCAAAAAATAGTGTGTCTGTTTGTCAAAAATCCAAAAACTTCTCACGAAGTTCATACAACATACTCGAAGATGTTAAAACCTGTGTGTGATGCAATGGGTTCTTGAATTCCCTCTTCACGTCCCATACTATCTGAGGAAGAGTTTAGGGAGAACAGTCTGTCCCACTGAACTTGAAAACGATTGGGGAAAAAGATTCATGCGGAAGTGGTTTGATGTATTTTTCTTTGCCCTTTGCCAGACAAAATTGCAGATGAGGAAAAAGCCATCGAGTTCTTGGACCAGTACAACTCCACAGCTGAGGTGGTGTGGAATGCTTACACTGAGGCCTCCTGGGTATACAACACTAACATCACTGAAGAAAACAAGCAGACCATGGTAGGAGTTGGGCTGTTTAATTAAAAAGTAGAATACTGCACGAACACAGAGCAGGGGTTCACTGTCCTATTTCTGATGACTGCACTAATCAAGTCTGGTTCATACTGTTTTCAAATTCTCCTGAATCTGTAAGAACAACAAAAAGATCTTGTCTAAAAAGATAATTTAGGTTCTGGAACATGTAGGTGGGTTTTCTATGCAATGTGAAATAAAAATTGCAGATGTTGGTTTGATGGGAAACCTGGACTGCTTTTGCATCCCCAGGACCGGAGACAGGAAGTACCATACAAAAATTTCAAGTGGGGGGGAAAGGATTTCATCCCCCGGTGATTCAGTTTTGTGATCGTATCTCCAAACTCCATGCCGTATTAAAAAGAGTTTATTATCTTCTTTTTGTTTTAGTTGCAAAAGAACTTGGAGATGTCAAACCACACCCTGACATATGGACTGGAGGCACGGAAGTTTGATTACACTGATTTCCAGGATGAATCGGTGAAGCGCATTCTGAAGAAACTGAGTGAGATTGAGCGTGCGGGACTTCCACAGAATGAGCTCAAAGATGTAAGAAGCATTGGAGCTTTAATTAACTCACTAAGTGGATACTTTGACGGACAGACGGACTGATGAGCTGACTTGCACACTGGTTGGATATTATGGCAGATTGACATGACAGACATTCTTACTCACTGGGTGCGTTGAAATGATGCACCAACTGACTGACACAGTGATTGACCGAACACAATGACGCACCTTCTGACTTCCTTCAGACTGAAGGATCAGATTAGCCTGCTGAATAAGAGACACAGGAACGCGATTACTACGGCTTCTGACCATAGGGCTCACTTAGTGAAATGCTCTCTGGCCGATTGGGTCATTCTTGCTGTTTTTACCTAGGAAGGAATCCTAGATGTTAAACATCAAATATTTATTTTGTGAGGGACACAGTAGAATGAAGATGTATGACAATGCAAAGCGGTAGAGCTGGTTTGATTAATTTTTAATAGAACCTGGATGATGACGTTTGTATTTTTACGTTCCAAATGTCAATGTTTTGTCAGCGTTTTGAAATAAAATTGCCTAATAAGCATTTAATGAGTTAATGCATTTAGAACCATTAAACACAAAGAAACATCAGTCATGAAAATAAATCAAAGTGTGTGAATGGGGAGTTCTGAATATAGTTTTTGCAAGACTTCTGTAGAATTTCTGGAGCTTGTGTCTTTTTTCAAGTTCTGCCCTGTGATCTCTGACGCAAGACTTTTTCTCCGTCCAGTACAATGAGCTACTCTCTAGAATGGAGACCACTTACAGCGTTGCTACGGTGTGCCAAGAGGGTCGGCGATGCCTCCCCCTGGACCCTGGTGAGCCCCCACGTCTCCCCCAGGCGTGCAAATGACCCCTCAGACTGGTCTTATTTTTGTGATATGTTGTTGTAGTAGTGTGGACCTGGAGGGGAACCCTCACTGAACTTTCTGAACTGTTTTGAAATTGAAGTTAGTTATATCTCGGGAGAAAAATTGTGTCTGAGCGAGGATATCTTCCAAAGAACACCATTCGGGATTATGTTGGTTTTTTGTATCGCGTGCAGTTGCTTTGAATTATGGGAATGAAGGCTCATTAGCAGTAGCTCTGAATTATCGGTATAAACATTAATTAGCTCTACACAGTGCTTAGGGGCTTGAAATCGTCTAAAAAGACTATTAATTCTATAATTATGATAATCAGAAATCTCTTCAGCTGGCCCTGCCCCCCTCAATGTTATAAAACAGCAAGAGCTAATTAATAGTCATTCCAATAATAAAATCAGGATGGCATGTCCAAAAATATTTCTGCACTGTATTGGGATGTAAGGTAACAGAGACCAGGCTTGGAATGGTTTCAGCCAGTTACTATACCAGATGAATGAAACCCTCTGCATGGTTGTACAGGTCTAGTTGAATGCATATAGATGGGTATGCTCTTGGACTAAACACATCCCATTCCAAATATAACGATCCTGATCCCTCTGCTGCCTCCTCCTGCAGATCTCACTGAGATTATGGCCAAGTCCCGAGACTACAAGGAACTCCTTTTCGCCTGGCAGGGATGGCGTGATGCCTCTGGGAAAAAGATTCGCCAGGATTACAAGACCTACGTGGAGCTCAGCAACAAAGCAGCCAGACTGAATGGTGAGGGCTTGGCTGCAATTCAGAGATGACCAAACGGCCACATTACATCACCAGAACACACTACATTCAGAAGTGTGCTACTCTTGAGTAGTCTGCTCAAAGCTTGTCATTAATGCAGTGGGTGGAAAAAAGGATAGGCATATTAAAGTGCATAATAAAGGTCACAGAGTGGGGGAAAAAATGAAGAACGTGGAAGAATTTCTGCAGCACGTTTATGGGTTATTTTCTCTTTTACTCTTCAGGTCACCCCGACAATGGGGCCTACTGGCGCTCGCTCTACGAGACGCCCACCTTCGAACAGGACCTGGAGAGGCTGTACCAGGAGATGCAGCCCCTCTACCTCAACTTGCACGCCTATGTGCGCAAAGCCCTGTACAAGAAGTACGGATCTGAATACGTCAACCTGAAGGGACCCATCCCTGCCCACCTGCTGGGTAAGTGAGGCACTCAGAAGAGAATCACATTGCTAGGGCCCAGACAGTGGGGAAGTATCACCTGTGCAACACTCTGCTTTTATAGTTCTTCTCATAGGTAAATTATTATTAGAAAATGAAAACCTTGAATTACCTTGGTTATAAAACGAATTGTGTGGAGTCACAATGATGCTGTGCTTGGCATTGCTGCCTTGCAGAGCTGGAGCCCTGGGTTTAATTTTTAGGATGCTGTCGCACGGAGTTTGTATGTTCTCCCTGTGTATGTGTGGGATTTCCTCCAGGTGTTCTGGTTCCTCCCCATCAGTCCAAAGACATGCTGGTAGGTTCATTGGCTTGTAGGAAAACTGAGCCTGGTGTGTGACTGTCTGTGTGTGCCCTGTGATGTCCAGTGTGTATCCTGCCTTGTACCTGCTGCTTGCTTGGATAGTCTACAGCACTCCTGTGACCCTGTATTGGATAAAGCAGTTAGGAAATGGATGGAAGGATATTTATGTTTAACAAGTCATGTGAAAAATAGTTGGATTCATGGATCCAGGTTTAGTGAGTTCAAATACAAGCAGGAACAGCGAGGCTTGCAGAAAACATCAGAGTGTAGGGCCACTGTGTCTTTTGATTTTCATTTCTGCCTGGGCTCTTAATGAATTTGAGTGAATTGATTGTTTAATTAATTGTAATAGCTTATTACTGTCTCTAGGTCTTACCTATAAAACCTGGTAGCCTGCAGTCCTCCAGGACCAGTAGTGAATATGATTGAAATGGACAGTAGCTTATACTGTGCAGAAAACCCAATGCAAATTACTGACAGACTCCATGCATGCATTCCCATATCAGTCAATCAACAGTTACTGTATGTTTACCATGCTGCATTTTTCAAACTGTTGCTCTGGCGCCCCCTAATGGTGGCAGTGTCATTACACTCATAAATCCATGGGTTTTTCACAGGTTTCAACACATCTAAAATAATTAACTTTCAACAGGTAACATGTGGGCCCAGTCCTGGTCTAATATATATGATCTAGTGACTCCTTTTCCGGATGCTGGGCAAGTTGATGCCACCCCAGCAATGGTAGCCAAGGTAAACCATTTTCTATTGAACTTTATTTGTATTTTAATCTCAGTTTAATCCCACTCCCATGTGTCCTTTCACGCTTGCATCAAATAATGCGCCCAAGATACTTTCTGGTTTACATCATCTGAAGGACGTTTTTTTAGCATCAAAAACAGATTAAACCTTTTTTAGAAGGATGTTCACAAAAATCCTGGATACCTTTGCAGTGCATTGCCTGACATTCTGATTACATTCTGATACCTATTAAACAGTTCGAAAACAGAGGAATACATCATTAGTGCTTTGATACAGGTGTTCTGGGGGCAAAGTTACTCAAATCTGTTCCTTGTGCCTTAAGAGTTTTCCACTTTAAATACAAACTGAAGGAGGCCTTTCAACCACTCATCTCATTAGCGTGACAGCTGATAATTGATTTCTGTGCATTTTGTTCTAGATCTCTATAAACTCTTTATGTAAAGAAGTGTCTCCTGATTTCAGTTGTAAATGCCCATTTACCACTTGTATATTTTTGTTCAATTCTCTTTATTTTTATATAGCTGAATTGAGTTTTTGTCGATGTGTATTTCAGGATTTTAAATGCTTGTATCATTTTCCCCCGTGAGACTACCCTGTCAGTGCATGAAATTCCCTCAAGGCCAGAAAATATCCTTGCGTTCAGTCCGGTGTTCCAAGTGGTAACTGGGATGTCATTTCAGGGCTGGGATGCACGGAAGATGTTTGAACAGTCAGACCACTTCTTCCAGTCCCTTGGATTGATTCCCATGCCCCCGGAGTTCTGGAGCAAGTCCATGCTGGAGAAGCCCTCCGATGGGCGGTCGGTGGTATGCCACGCCTCGGCCTGGGACTTCTACAACCGCAAGGACTTCAGGTATGGGGCCTCTGTACACTCGGCTGCATTGAAAGCAGGATTATAGCCTTTAAGAGCAACATATCCCAGTATGCTCAGGCCATTATTCTAGAGGCCATACTCGTGTCCAGAGCTAGCTTCAAATATGGAAAATAAACTACATCTTCCCCCTACTGCAATTTAACATAGTGTTACAAAGAAACATCACTGCTTAGGCAAAATGTTTGAACAGGATTGAATGGCTGCCGCTTGTACTTCAGCAAGGTCAACTACAGTTCATTAAAATGACACCTAGAAAGGATTGTCCTTTGTAGTGTAGTGCTGTTCGTTCATGGTATCCAACCTGTGTATTGCAGGATCAAGCAGTGCACAGTGGTGACGATGGATGACCTGATCACTGTACATCATGAGATGGGCCATGTGCAGTACTTCCTGCAGTACAAGGACCAGCCTGTCCCGTTTAGGGATGGAGCCAACCCTGGCTTCCATGAGGCCATCGGGGACGTTCTGGCCCTGTCGGTTTCCACACCCAAGCACCTGCACAGCATCGGACTGCTGGACAAAGTGGAGAACAACTATGGTAATCATGGCACGGGTTTCTCGCATCTTTCTGCTTAGAATAGAAGCAGTTCCACATGAGGACTATGAGGAATTGACTCAGTAATTTGAAATGTCTAAAAAGGACAAATAAATCTGGAACAGTTTACTCAGGATGTTCATTATGGATCTTAATTCAATTGTAATTTAAATGGATTAATGAGTCCCAAAGGATTCTTTGCATTTTTAAATTACAACAAATTCTATAGCCATCATTACTCTATTATTTTATAGCTGGTGATTCATTAGTGTGACAGGATACGGTAGCTAAATACTGACAAATCAAGTCAGTCTAAGATTGCCCTCTGCTGCTGAAACAATATAGGATAGATGTTTCCTGCCTTAAGTTGTGTATGTGCTGTACTTATACTAAAAAAAGCAAAAGCTAACTCCTAACACTTCAGAATAAGTATTTTTAAGATTAAACATTAAATTAGTACTTCAGTCTGAAATATGTCCACAGTGTTATGGGTTATTGTCATTTTTGTCTTGAAATGAAATGAAAACCTTACCAAGATTATTCCACACACACTTCTGTCCTCTCCTATTCTCATTCCTGTCTCCTGCAAACATATGGATTTAATTTTCTAAGGGTCACCAAAGTCACTTGTCTCTGTTTTGGGGATCTGCTGGGCTGATGACCCTGTGCAGTATTTGCTTTTCCCAGCAGTGCTTTGCTCTTCCACCTTGGTGGTGCTGTAGTCTTTTGATCTGATAATGATGTTGTGTAACAATTCTTGTTAATCATTTCTTGTTTCATGATTAAGATTTCTAGTCCTTAAATGCACCATAGTTTCAACTAATATTCAGTTGTCCTCATAGAGTCTCTTCAGAAATCAAATGGTCTGAAAGATTCAGGTGTTTTCCTGTGCATTTTCTGTATCCATCCATTAGAAAAGTTGTAGCCATAAACTTGCGGTTAATTTGTACTAAATGTGTGAATTGAACTTTGTCCACAGACAGTGACATTAACTATCTGATGAGCATTGCTTTGGACAAAATTGCCTTCCTGCCCTTCGGCTACCTGATGGACCAGTGGCGCTGGAAGGTTTTCGATGGGCGGATCTCGGAACAGGAGTACAACAAGGAGTGGTGGAACCTCAGGTGAGAGTGGACCTGCTGCCCCGCTCCCCTGCTTGTATCTGCTCGTGCACTGCTTTAGTTGGACAAGTGTGAGCAGCACGTGGGACGAGACCAGGAGGGAGAAAATACAGTGGAAATATTTCAAGCATGATCTTTGCCCACACTGGTCATTCAATTAAACAAATCTTGTACTCATCATCCGGCAGCACACTCTGATAAACCTTCCCATGTGTGTTTTTTTATTTTGGAATCACTCATTTTATACGCACATAACTTGGAAAGTGTAGCTGTTTTAAGACAGCTTAACTCTCTGGCATTGACACCTCCACATCTTAGGACACATGAACACACTCTTCTAACACCCACCTGCTGAGCAAACTATCATTTGATACGCAAACCTGTATGTCTTTGCTGGATAGTCGATAGGGGCCTGTCTGATTAATCCCTGCTCCGATACATTTGTATAACTTCCTGCCTCAATTTGCATCGATGATAATTTTCCTTCTGCTGCTGCCAAACCCTTCAGGCTGAAGTATCAAGGACTGTGCCCGCCTGTGCCTCGCTCAGAGGAAGACTTTGACCCTGGTGCCAAGTTTCATATTCCTGCCAATGTCCCTTATGTCAGGTAAATGGTCTCCTTCCCAATACGTATCTATAAGTCTGTGTCCATCTACACTGGCAGGATGAGTGTGGACCACAGGTTTACAGAACAAAATAGAATAGAAGGGAGCTCACACACAATTCACGAGGGACAGCAACATTCAAGAATACTTTGTGAATGTTGGGAGTACTTTAGTAAGGATAACTTGGTTGAGGCTTGGTTAAGGGCCATAGTATGAGGAGAATCAAACTCCCATTCTCATTCCAAGTGGAGTTAAACGAGGAGTAGCTCCAAGGTGAAAGAGATGCAGAAGTGAAAAGAAGTGTTTGTGTTAATCATTACTGAAATTAGCTACATTTCTATATGTTGCTATCCTCCTTGAATTTCAGTTAAGGGATGTGTTCTTGCTTAAATACTACTTACCTCAAGCAAGTACCAGAAAGAAAAAGAAAACACAAGCAGATACTGGAGAGTGCTTAATATACATCAAGGAGACAAAGATTGTGTCCAACTATTTGTGAAATAGTTTGTAGACATTTCATGCAACATTATATCCTGGCAGTGCTGAAAATGATCATTGCTGTTGATAATTCCTGACAATGAATACAATAAAAGAAACACAAATGGGGTGCAATCTAAAGAGAAGCACTGGACAGGCCTCTCAGTGTTTGAATTTTTTAAAAAACAAACCAGTGCTTTTGTCCTTTTTGTCTGGTTGTGTTGCCTATGAGTGACTGGGCCTCTCTGCTGCTCAGGTACTTTGTCAGCTTCGTGATCCAGTTCCAGTTCCATGAGGCTCTCTGCAAGGCAGCAAAACACACTGGCCCACTCCACATGTGTGACATCTACAACTCCAGGGAGGCTGGCAAGTTACTGGGGTGAGTACTGTAACCAACCCCAGGGCTCTCAGGCTAATGTGGAAAACTAGTAAGTAAATATTTGCTTCATTACTTGCTAAGCAGATCTTTTTGACATAGCATTCCTATAGCATTATTTGATCCTGCTTTATTGTCCTTGACAACTCTGGGATTTGTGTAGATTCATTACATGGCGGTTTAAGCAAAGTTCTTTTTCAGGATGAACTAGTATGGTGCAACAGTGTATCAACTGATTTGCATCAGCATGTATGACAAATACGCTTAGATCAAACCTGCCATCAAACCTTCTTGGAATAAGCCTTCCGTTTGGCTACCAACACATTCTCTCTTGAGAAAGATTTTTATGCGGATGCTTTTTTTTTGCAAGGTGCCACAGAATGCACAAGATATTTGGTCTGATGGTTCAGACCACCATTAAATTCAATTTTATGTTTGTGCAGAGACATTATACTCTATATAGTAATGTACTGTGCATACTTGGAGGCACACAGAATTGGGCACGAGGCCATCTGGTTGAGGGATATAAACTGTTCCTGAAGTGGCCAGTAATTGCTTTCATAGGACATTGCAGCTGCTAAATGGAAGAAGCTAAAACAAATGGCAAATGAGACTGACCTCACGGTGGTCCATTTAGTATAGAGTGTGACAGGAGATGGTGGACCACAGTTTGTGATTCTAGATGTTGTCTTAGCTTTTTTTAAATCAACATTTGTCCATTTTTTTTTACCCACTTCCAAAAAGCAGAGAAAACACGTAAACATGGCAAGAAAAGCCAGATTTCCTCATACATGGTCTGCAAATCTCTTGCAGGGATGTCATGCAGCTGGGGTTCAGTAAACCGTGGCCAGAGGCCATGACGTTGATCACTGGGCAGCCCAACATGTCGGCCCAGGCTCTGCTGAAATACTTCGAGCCCCTGATTACCTGGCTAGAGAAGGAGAACAAGAAAAATGGAGACATTTTGGGATGGCCCGAGTACGACTGGGTCCCAGGTAGGTCAGACCAGCACTTTAAATCCCCTTGCCAACCTCAACAAGATGTAAATATCACGGAAAGAGCAATGTCTAAGCTTTTTGGCTTTCAGAAAAAACTATTATTGTGAAGAATCTTTTTTTGATCTAATAGTTCAGATGGTAAAGGGTCAGCTATTTCACCCATTGAACGGACTCTCGCAGTAGCCGGCCTGAGGAAAACCCCAGTGATCCCTGGGTTTCTGTTTTTCAACTCGAGAGGAAGCAGGGTAGTGCGTCGTTCATTATTGTACTGTTATTCTCAACACAACCTCTGCTAAAGGCGCTCTTATCTGGACCCTACTGAGCTGAGAAAATGTGGAACACACCCTTCCTGAGCAAACTGTTCTCATTACTCACAGAGCCACTGCGTGTTGTGCAGTGGCTGTGGGATGGTCAGTTTTATGGACAGCAAGTATATAAATGCTCACTGCTGTGGATTTAGTTTCAGGACCGGAGAAAGGGCCAGAGAAAGTGACCGGATCTGCGGAGGTGAGCTTCCTGGGCATGAACCTGACCAGCGATCAGGCAGCGGCCGGCCAGTGGATTCTGCTGGTCCTGGGGCTGGGACTACTCATTGCCACCATCTGCCTGGCCTACAAATCCAAGTCCAAAAAGAGACAGAAATCCAACTCGGAGCTGGAGCTGAAATAGACCCCCTCTTCCCTCCCTGGCAGTAATTCCCGTTTCCCTTTTCTGTCCTTCTCCCCCCCCCGGTTTTTACAAAATCGGGTCAGACGTGTTTGACTATGCAAATGAGCCAACACAATTTTTTTAATTTATTTGTAAAATTTGGAAAGTTTAAAAAGAGAGGTTTAAATCACTTTTGTTTGTAAAGTTTGAGAATTCTGTATGCAGCTTTTTTAATTTAATTATGATGGAGAAAAAAGAACAGCAGCTGTTTTGCATTTCTAGAATAAAATAACTAATAAGTCTGTGGTTTGTTCTTCATCAGTAGGAAAGAGCTCTGAATTTAGATGTAACAGTGGATAATTATGTGTAGATGACTGATAAGCCTGTGTTCACTTAAACTTAAAAATAATTCAGCTTTCCCAAAAGGACAACAAAATTAAAATTGAAGACTGCTATCATTGCTAAAGCTAAAAGCCAGAGTGGCTCAACTATGGTACCCTTAATTTGACCAGGTTTGGAGATGAGTTTACAATAATATGAAACCCTTTCATATATAACTATAGCCATATGACACTTGTCACTATAGTTTACCGTCATATGCTCAGTTTAATTTTTCTGTTCAATGGTTTTTCCCCTCTGCATTACATGTTTTTTGAGGACTTAATTATCCAGTGACAGCATTTTCCACCATGTGAGATACAGCAGCCTAATTTCAACAAGAAAAATACTTTCATCAAATAACTACTCACTTCTAACCATCGAACTACTTAGAAAGAAGAACAGTTAAATTATACCTAAAACACCATCTAACTACTTACTAATATTTAATAATAATGGCCTTAACTGTTAATGGCCCACTCTTGTTTTGTAAACCTACATGCTCATCTTACAACTGGCACGAGTGAAATACTTACACGATTCCCACTTCTGTAAAATTTAAATCATCAACATGTTGAGCTTCTGCAAGAAGAGATTAACAGCTCACCTTTTTTATTTAACTGTAACAGCTGTAGTAGTAGTAGCACAAGTGTCAACATGGTGCCCGGTTGTTTGCGAGACAATTCCAGAAGAGCCTCACGACTATAATCAGGACAAAGAGGATGGTGAACACAGTGTAGCTCAACAAAATGGTCTTCAGGGCGTAGATGGACTCGGGGTCCGAGAGCTTCCTCTTGACACCTGAGCGCATGGTCACACTGAGCCTTACTTTCGCAGCTACCCTGCCCTGCAGCCAGCAGTAGTAGGTGCCCTTGTCCTCCAGCTGCAGCGGACGAAAGTGCAGGTGGTGGCCGGAGTCCAGGTATATCCGTGTGGCATTGCTGAGCCCTTCCATGTAGCTGGAGCGGTAGAGCCGGACCCTGCCTTTGTCCCAGGCTACGGCGTGCTGGGGCCTAGCATTGGGGCAAGCGAGGACGAGAGGGTAGCCCACTGGACGGGTGTAGTATTTCACTGGGACACGGGGTGCTTTAAGCCCATAGCCCAGGAACTCCAGCAGGGACTTCTCCCCAGGTGATAACGTCGGTTCAGGCGGGCAAGCCGCGAGACAGCGGCGGACCGCCAGCTCCGCTCTCCTCTCCTGAAGCTCCTCCTTGAAGCGCCGGGGGACGGACGCGGACCCACAGGACGCCACCCGGGGCGGGGAGTGCCTGTAGCGGCCGTAGAGGTAGTCTGTCTGCAGGTAGCACAGCCCCACGCGGGTCTGCTCCCCTCGGACCCCGCAGCGGTCGCACACGGACCAGGGCCAGAAGCCCGTGAAGACGCGGTAGGGCCCCGTCCCGGCGGCGCCTCTCCACTGCCCCGGCAGCTCCGGGGAGAAGGACACCTTGCCAGCCTCCTGGACGTCCACGTCGTAGCCATAGAAGAACTGCCCTCCCGCCGTCCCGCACGTGTAGTGGCCCGAGTCGGCCGGCCGCGACCGGAAAATCAAGAGGCTGAAGAGGCGGATGGAGAAGCGACTCCGGATGTCCGACCCCGTCGCGATTTCCGCTGCGTCGACCACCTTCGTGCCGTTGTGATCCGTCAGGGCCGCGGCGTCCTCGCCGCCCAGGTGCTTCTGGTAGTACCACACCACGGAGGACACCCCCTCGGGCTTGCAGCTGCAGGGAAGCTCAATCGTCATGTCCGCCAAGTACGCAGTGTTGTCGAACACCAGGAAAGCCGGGCAGGGCTTCTTCGCGAAGATGGTCTCCTCTTCCTGTACCGCTTCGTAAGCGGAAAGGTGCAAGGGCATCCCCAGGAGAAAGACGACGGAGAACAGGGTTGCCTGCAGCTCTTCTCTGCATTTCATCACAACATCCGATATGGGCGCATGGGCTTAAGCTCTGAAGGTGGAATTAATGTCACATCAGGTTCCTGCAGCTGTCTTCTCGAACCCTCCGTGGTTTCCATGGCGTTTAGAATGTCGAGCACAAGGGCCGAGTTGCCGTGGAGCCGACTAAACTAACTGATCAGTCAGGACTGCAAACGCACCACCGTGCTTTGAAATTGTAAAAAGTATTGATACAGAACAGTTAAATGTACATGTGAAATAATTATAGTACATGCGGTAGAATTAGAATTGGTCACATTATCATTAACATAATCCCAGACAAATGTTACTGTCTCTCTTAAATGGTTTTCAGCAAGATCCTTTTAAATTAAACTTGTCAAAACCTTAGTCCAGAAATGTGGCAAAAGTCTCAGGGAGAAGAGTCAGCACTGAGCTTGTACAGCTGCATCAAGTCTCTTAGCTCTTTTACGGTATTCTTTACCTTTTCAGTCCCGTTGTCCTGCGTTGGACGGAGCAGAGTTTTGTCATCCATGGCCCCTGCAGTGTCTGCTGCCGCCAGCAGTTTCTCAAACAACTGCCGAGAGCCCTCTCTCTCCGTCTGGCTCAGGAAGGCCACGTTAAGGCTGAACCGCTGGGTCTGGGCCAGGCCCCTCAGCACCTCAGTGATACCCACCTCATCCCCGGGGGTGAAGTTTTCAGAAAGGACGAGGAGGAATTCTCCGAGCAGCCCGAACCCGATCTCGGTACTGAAGATCCTCCCCAGCTGTTCCCCGCCCAGCGCCAGAAGCAGACGGTACTTCTCAGCACTGCTCTGCCTGCACCTGCGCCAGTCCCTGTTGAATTCGGCTGCTGTCCGGGGCTGGAATTCAGACTCCTTCAGGCAAGACAAGAGTAGGAATGTCAAACTAGCACCAAAATTCACATTCTGCAAGGAGGATGCAAAACACACAGACAACACTAGTTTCAGCCCTTGTACATTTTGTCTCACAGATATAAGTGTGTCTGTGTGATCATTATGCATCATTCCTCATGAGCAAACAGAAGTATTAATTGAGCAAAATTAATTGAGTACTACAGCTTCACTTTCAACAGATGTAGAAAACTGAGACACAAAACACATTAAAAGAGCAAAAATGGGTACCTACATCCTAAAAGGATCTTGCCCAAGACTTTCCGTTTCTAGCATGAATGCCAAATGTCAACCCCATTTCCCTCATCAGAATAATGCATCACTAAACAATGAAAGACATTCCTGGGGATTCCACAACACAGTGTGTACTGTATGCCCCACCCAATGAAGGCTGGCCTAAAGATGTCAGCCCAGAATGATCTGGTCAGTGTTAAATGTTCAAAGACAGGCAACTTAATGTTTTACCAGATCATTTGGCCAGCATGGGCTAATAAATAGTACCAATCCTGATCAGATGTACCGTATATGTGGCCACATTTACTTGCACAAGGAGAGTGGTTTTAAAAACTAGTTTCTCATTATCGAACCTACAGAATAAAGCAATTTTACTGGGCATTAAAAATGTTTAGCTTCTGAACCACAACAATATATTAATATATTCATACATAACATGCGTTTAGGATACTCAACGTTGTACTTATATTGCAGTATACTGTGATGACACACAAAGAAGATACTGGAACCATTACCAATCACTATTTCACTCCCAAAACTCACCTCTATCCTCCCGTAATCTGGGAGCTCTTTCTGTCCAGATCCCAAGGCAAGTGAGTTCCATGGCTGTTTCCTAGGGGCTCCTGCCTTGTCCTTCCTCTCCAGAGGTTTAAGGTGAGACGCCAACACAATATCCCTGAGAAGAGACAAAGACGAGGACAGGCGTCTTAACTGGAATCATCAGCCTGAGCACTGCATGTCACTTCATGAACACGTGTAAAGGCACAGGAGAAGGCAAAATCCCACATTTAATCAATTTCTATAAATGTACTGTGCCACTAAGTTTGGCAGTAAAGAGATGAAGCGTTAGTTTCCTGCTTGAAATGCTAAACCGTGTTTGCCCACCGACTTGAGTTGCACCACGCGAAAAACAGACTTCAGCCAACTCGCCCCGCAGTCCAGAACTTTCTCCCGAGCGGCTGCACGTCTAGAAGGCGAAAGTCACCCGAACAGATGAAGCCGTTTTACACGCCCTCTTCGTAAAGCACAGGCACACCGAAGCCATGAGCAGCTCCCTCGTCCGCAGGGTCCCTACCTGAACTCCTCGTACGAGCCCACCTGCTGCCGGACGGCGCGGAACTTGGCGTCGTTCTCTCTCTGGTACCGCCGGTCCGCCTCCAGCGCGGCGCGGAGCTCCCGCTCCAGGGCGGCGAAGTCGATGCCTTCGGCCTGCTCCATCCTCAGGCCCGGGACAGCGGCCACTCTACCGGGGGGCGGACAGTGAACAACGGGGCCCCAGTAAAGAGACCGCGGCTCCTGACAAACTGACAGGGGGGGGGGGCACCTTCCCCACAGTGGAAGCAGCACTTTGCATGAACCAAAATATGGCTTTTTTTTTTAAAGCGTCAAAAATGTTTGTTTTGGTTCTCCTTGCACTGCAGCTTTGAATAGTGAATTAAAAACAACCCCCCTCCCCCCAGAGGCAAACCAAACCCGTGTCCTTCAGCTTAGACACTGTCCCTACAAAGCTACAGCACCGTGTGTTAGCCCGTCCTTGGAGAAGTCTGTCAAACCGGCTTGTTCAAGAACAGAACAGGGGAGTTTGCTTTTCAGACTTGAAACAGGTGTTTCATAATTACCCCCCGCCAACGAAACACCGTGCATTTCATTAAAACGGTTAGTTTCCAACAAGCGAAATCCTTTACAAGTCAAATGTTTTTCAAATGACACAATTCTACGTCCCCTGCCTCATCCTCACCTAAGACAGTTATTTTTTGGTTCCAAATATGCTCCAACCTCACAAACCAATATTCAATAAAATAAAAAAAGCGTCGAATATTCACTTTTCAGTTTAGCGTCTCTAGAGGTAACTTCAAACAAAATTTAGAATAAATTGTTGGTGTTACGTATTGTTGAACACTTGTATTATGCCTCGATAATTTATTTAAAACTATTCGAGAACTCTGAAATAAAACAAACTTTTAAAGTACTTACGTTTCACCGACGTTGTTCTCTCCGCGTCGCAAATTCAACCACACAAGAGAAGCTCGTCTCTATGGCAACCGCTTCTTTACTTCCGGTGCAGCAACGCTGTATCTTTGTATATATTAGTGTAACAACAAGCGGAATAAATGCTGTAAAATATATAACATCTTCCTAACTGCTGTGTCCTCTGTTGTCCTGTGCTTTATATCCCTGCTACCTTTCTCTCACTCCTGAAGAAGGCTAAACAGCAAGACGGAGGTCTTAAAGACGTTTAATGAAAACACGCTCATAAAACAGTTTATACGTGTATACCTGTAGGTGTTTTGAAAACGTTTAAAACTCGGGATATTAATATTGTCTTCTGCATTTCTGAACTGATGTTTGTGGATCCTGTCAAGGTTTTGATAATAAAGTGGAGTATTAATTTAAAAAAAAAGTAATACCTAATCGGTTTCGAAATCGTCCGGCTAGATGCAGATCTTCGTAATGCGGGTTCTTATCAGAAGGTGGCTGTGTAGCACTACAGCGCGAAACGAGACAGCAAACTTCTTATTCTTTCTACATTTACAGCATATTCGTACCAGAGACCAACAGATTCTTAATCTTATAAAAACAATTTCATGCAAAATGTGTAATTATCCTGTAACTGTAGCGAATAGGGTTGAAACACTGAGCAATATAAATATTGCTACTGTATGTATGAACATATCAATGTTCCTTTGATATTCCACAACTCAAACTACGGCGTCATCATTTGAGTATTTATACTTACACGGGCACAATCAGTGTGGATGTTATTCACCTGTTTATTAGGTATAATTATGACAGGTTCATGCCTGAGCAGTGCAATAAAGGATGAAGAAAAGTCAAAGTGGCTATTTTATTACAGATTTAGCACAGAAATCTAAAGCACTCACCACCATGCAGTTTCTGAATTTCTGCTCCAGTGGCACGCAGCTCGAGTCCCGCAGGGCTGTAGTGTCTGGAACGATTTGTTCCAGCTCTGCTCCAAATGACCCAATCGAGCTGACCATTAGCTTAGCTGAACAAATTAAACACATTCCGAAGGTTTCCAGCTGTTGCCGATTTTAAGAGATCTGGATCTCTAAGACAAGAGTAATTTATTTAGTCCTGGTCCTGGAGAACACCTGTGTCTTCTGGCATTCATTCCAGATGAGCTTCTAATCATTTATTGCAATGTTCTATTTGAGGCATTTTTACAATTTGCTTCCAGCTCTTTACAAGCAGGTTGTGTCTGGTAATAATAATAATAATAATAATAATAATAATAATTGCTTACACTTATATAGCGCTTTTCTGGACACTCCACTCAAAGCACTTTACAATGTAATGGGAACTCCCCTCCACCACCACCAGCAATATGAGCCTTGTGGTAATGAGTGGGTTTCAGGCCTGCCCTCAGTCAGGTGTGTGAGCTGACATAGGACCATGTGGACGGAAGAAGATTTCTTGTCTTTGCTTTGTTGTCTGATACAATATTATTCGCACCTGTCAGTGCATCTTATATTGGTCCTTTTAAGAGCTGTTTAGTTAGAAACAAGGGACCAGGACTGAGCACCACTGCCCTAGTCCAGGAGTAGTCAACTTTAGCACATCCATGCCATGCCATTACAGGACTCTGAACCACCCCCTGAAGCACTAACTACAGCACAAGCAGCTGGTCTGTATAAATGGAGGTGAGCTCTGGAACAGACAGCCTGAATTCTCGCACTGCTTAGTTGGTCAGGATGTCCAAGAGGCCACTCCACCCAGCTGCAGTTAGAAACCAATCACGGTAATAACCTGTTGTGTCTTTAAGCCTGATATATCTTATATTTGTGTCGACTGAGTATCCATCTTAGCATTCTAATATAGATGGATGAACTAATTTGATTCACACAGAGAAAAAAAATCTATATTTTATAATTGTTTCTCATTTTAGAGCCATAGACAGCAGATCAATAAATCAGTAAGATAGTGAGACCCTTTTCAGCTCCCAAACAATGCATTACACTGGTACTGCATATGATGAACCCTGTGGCTAATTCCTAACTAGAATTAGTTCCGAATTAGAATTCATAACTGTGGCAGATTCATCACTAGAAACTAGTCACAGGGAGAGAAGGCATTATTGAGCTGAATTCAACAATGCATTTGGAAGTCTATGTAAAGCTATTTCTAGTACTCAAATGTCAACACCTTAAAAGAGGTTTAAAAATGCTTGTTCGATTGGCACGTTTTTCAAAAGGAAAATAACCTCAGATGAACCTTGTAAGGTTACAAACAAGGGGAGACCATTGAGCCTCTTTCTCTAGTGGCAGGGATCTCATCCAGCCTCTTCTTGAATCGTCTTAAACCATGTGGGCTGTCAGCTACAGGACACATATAACTCTAGGCAGGGGAAAACAAACCACAGGACGTTTCAATTATTAAAGACGTTTCCCGAACAATTGTCACAGTTGGACACAAATCAATAAAATCAATATTTTTATACCACAAACCATTTTTTTGGGGAAAAAAGCTTCTATTGTGTTAAGGTTTGTGCAGTGCTAGAAAATAAAATTTAATATGACATTATTTAGGCCTAAACAAGAAGAAAACAAGAAATATCCTCTGCTTTTTTTTTTCTAAATCAATACTTGGAAGTAGTTGCATGGGAGCTGTATTTCAGTTTTATAGTTAGGAATAGACATTTTATGAAACCATACACCCTCTTACTGTGGTGCAAATAATCCATTTTATCATCAAATCGTTGTTCCAATCACGTAGCAGGCAGCATTACGGCTGCATTGCAGTAGACAGAATGCAGCTCACTTGTATTCTCCTTTAGAGATCCGCCATGGTAATGTTAATGTTCAGTACAAACCTTTTCCTGCTTTAGACTGAACCCTAGCAATGTGCCCCAGACACCATCTCTGCCTTCGGGTTTGCTATTCGAAGATCGTCTGGCTGGCTTTTGATGAAACTGCACCTGTGCCCACTGTGGAAGCACACAGAATTATTATTTGCATTGTCATAGAAATGTAGGAGCCATATTATATCGCAACAGGATTGCTGACCCACAGAGTACCATGAAAGAACAAAGATTACAATGGGGGGTGGGGTGGGGGGGGCTACTTCCCCCACCACCCTTATTTGAAGGCTGTCAGCTTGTTCATCTAAGGATCCAGGACTCACCCATGTCCTGAAGGAGCACAGGGAATCGTAACCGAGGAATCTCGGCTCAGCAACCCCTCTATGGCTGACGTGGCACTGTCACGTCTGTGCTGATGCCCCTCCAGGGTAGAAAGAGCCTTTTTGCAATGCAACCAGAATGTGGTGAAATACAACCTAACTAGTACTTTACCTAAAACATGCTTTTGCAGAAATCTGCCTTGCTGCTCAGTGCCCCTGCCTTACCTGGTTTCTTTACCATCTGGTCGGTGCTGCAGTTGTTCTGCTTCTTTTGTTCTTTGCTATCCTTCATTTTGCATCTCCTGTGGTCTTCAAGGGGGAACCTAGAGACCTGGTTCTGTTCAACCCACCTTACAGCACTGGCAATAAAGGATTAGGACCAATACAAATGCAATTCAAATAAAAAACAAATGCAACAGTATATCAGTTTTATTTTCTGTCCGTTTCCAGGTTGGACATGAGTAGGATTTGCACAGGTTCTGTTTTTTCTCTTTCCATTGTCATCCACAGTGGTTAGCAAGTACCTAATTAAAACAGCCCGTGACAAGATGAGAATTAATGCTTAAAAGACTGGAATTGTACAATAAAAGAATATAATACTGGGCAGTAAATGAGCGTCTGGCTGGATAATGACAGCAGTTTTGTGTAACAGCTTAATTCAAAAGGAATTAGTCTCTTGTGTTTTCTTGTTGGCAATTGGCAAAGATGTTTTGGAAGCTATTTGTATTGGAGTAATTAGCTTGTCAAATTCTAGTCTGAACAGAACAAAATCAGAGGACGAAAGACATTGCAGGACGCATTAAAAAACTAACCGATAGGCAGATACAATTTGCTTACAGTCAGTACTTTTCAAATACTGACAGCTCGACTTCTTGCTGGATAAAAAAAGTACAAACCTTATAAAAAAAAGGTAGTATATGAAGCTGATTTTCAGAACAAGTGCTTCTTACTGAAGGAGAGAACGACACGGTAATATCCCGTAGCTTAAAGACCCTTCAAGTCAACTGCATCGACTTATAGTTTCAAAGTTTTTTCCAAAGGGCTTAAAAGAGAACAAAACATACATTCCTTCAGTAGAAAATGCTCACAGCATTGCAAGGTTTTGAAACAGAATGTTGTGACGGGAGCAACTGGGGTGGGTGTAAGTCAGAAACCAGACTGATCAGAGAGAAGAGAAGGGCAGTGGGTGTGTGGAGTAGTACAGTTGACCAATTCTGTTGCTGGTGTTGTTTAAATCAATCAGGATGTGTATTCAGGGAAAATGGTATCACTTCCTTGGGGAAATTGGGGAAAATGTCTTTGAGCCCTAAAATTAAAGTCCAGTGTGTTGTGGGTACAAGTCCTGGAGCCCAACTTCAAACATGACACAAAAACTACAGGGACAAACTACAGGGAACATGAAGAAGCTTGCTTTCCGGCATAAGAGAGATGTATTATTATCTATATAATAATAATGTTATTATTTACTGTAGTATTCAAAACTGAATTTCAGCACGTTGATTTTGACCAACTGCTAGATCTGTGATAAAACATTTCCAGCTGTTTCTGGCTACACCACAAAACAAAACCCTAACCCTAATCCCAGTTCTCTGGCAGAGAACCCCTGGCTCACAGTCCAGACCAAACCAGCAAACAGCTGGACAGGTCATCACTGGACCAAGGCAATCCTGGGCTGGATCAGCTAGGTGGAAGGAGCCTCCCCTCACCTCTGATTTCTTGTGCTCTCCTTTCGGAAGAATCCTGAGGAAGCCTTCATCCACAACTGGATCAACAGAGGCTGATGATGAGGATGGTGGGTGGTGGCGGTGATGACGACGAATTAACAACCCATGACTCAAACTGTACAAGAGAGCTGCACTTTATTAGTCACACAAACACAGCAATCATGTACAAAAGAAGCAGTCTCTGTGTTCAGAGTTTTCTCACAAAAAAGCACATTTCTCACAGAATATCATGGCATCCAGACTGATTAGTTATTATTAATGTTATTATGTTTTATTATTCATATATCTCACTACTCTACAAATGGAAGCATCACTCAGATAAAAAACACCATCATTAGTTCATGGAAAGGTCTCACTTCCCTACAGTGTCAGTTTCACATTATTTCCATCTTCTTCCTATTACAGATCACATTAAAAACTCATGCCTGAGCCACTAACACATGGTATAAACAGGAAAAAAAAGTTAGTTTTCTACAGTATTTGATCTTTGAATAAGTCACTTTTTTAACATATAGACAACATTTTCTGACCTCCGCGTGCAATTGCTTGAGATTATACATGCATTATTTTGTGACTTTAATTTTTTCTTTTTAGTAAAAAAAAAAGAAAAAAATGGTCATAAAATTTGGTGGACTCTCTCTCTCTCTAAGAATGATTTTGGTCTATTTACATGTTTTTTTGATGCCATGAGCTTGAACATCCTCACATTCATGTAGACAGCTTTCAAATGAATGACATTAAGTTCATGAAAAAATATGCATATATATGATAGTTTCTTCAAAATTAAAAAAAGCATTCTGCGTGATACATTTTAATACAGTGACTAGAGCAATCTGAAATGTGCTTTCGTGCTAGCTTTTTTGGTGTTGTGAGTTAGGGTTGGTTCTTGTCTCATTTTTCCCCTTGTTCCTCTGTGTTCTATAAGTGAGTACCCTAAGCAGACTTGTTCACCAATAAGCAGCATGTCCTTGTCTCTATACAAACCCCCTTCTGTCATCTCTAAATTTGATAATAAATTCCTGACAGTTCCTGGATATAGTGCTTTTCTTGACAATCCTATCTAAGCGCTTTACAGGTAATGGGGACTCCCCTCCACCACCTATGTGTAGCCCCACCTGCCAGTTCGCTCCCCACACACCAGCTCTCAGTTGGGAGGAGTGATGAAGCCAGTTCAGAGATGGGGATTACTGGGAGGCCTTTGAAGACACCACTGAGCTGGGACCTGGCTCTGCAGGGCGGGGAGTCATGTCTGGGTGGACGTGTGGAGGTGTGAATGTACAGTCAGATACACTGTACATTCCCTGTTGTATCTCCAGTAAAAGCACAGCAAATCCAGAGGGGAACTTTATAGCTTGTTAGAAGCCATAGGGAGTGAATGGTGTTAAGTATTGTAGAACCACAGGGAAGCTGGTTGATTTTGGCAAGTTAGCCACTGGACAATGGCATCAACCAGCATAAATAATGATCATCTTTAAAAGAAAGTCGTTTTTAAAAAAACTCATTCTTTAAAAGACATTTGTTTTTTAAGTTTGGTTTGTATAATATTTAGGTTGTGCATGGTAAAGAACTTCATATTCATTAAGAAACAAAAACTGGCTAGATTAAAATCAGACCTTGATTTTGAGACTGCCATCGTGAAGTGTGGACGTTGGAGCAATTGATCTGTGAGGTGTGTAGGAGTCAGTGGCTGTAGCAGGATGTTGAGGATATGTCCCTCTATTGTTTAAAACCTGTGCCGTTGGTGGTGCGATCAGTAAGAGCCCTTTTCCTTGCCCATCCCCTACATGTCATTGTTCCTATGGCAACAGCAGCATCAGGGCACTGGCTAGGGAGCAGGAAGGAAGGACAGGAAATCATTCACAGCTAACATGCTCCTGCGCTAACGGAAAAGCAGAGGAACAACCAGGAGAGAAGGGGAGACAAAGCAACCTTCATGCTGAAAGTGCAACCAACCCCAGATCGACTAATCAGGAGCTCACAATCCACCAAGAAAGCTGGTAGAGATATTACCAAAGTGCTATTAGTTTGCAATCTGTTTTATAATGAGACATAGCTGTTGACCTGTATCTTGCAAGAAGAGCTTATATTGGTTGATGTGCGACAGAGAGAGCTGCGAGCAGTCCCTCCCCAGGGTAGAAGTGTTTCTTGTGCTGTTTAGCCAGAGATGCAGAAAGAAGATTACAGCAGCATGATTTGTGCTAAGCCGCGGGAGGGAAACAAAGTGCCAGGTTTCGAAAGCAATGCCAAAAAATGACCAAAATGAAAGAAACTGCTTAAGAGGCCAGCTACTTTCTAGCAAGATTTACAGCAGAGAAGAGGTGCATTAACAGTACTAAGGAAGGGCAAAGAATTGTGCTTTGCTGATGGAGACAGTGCAAATTCTGTGGTGTGTTCAGCACCAGGCATGAAGACAGGGCTTGACAGTGATCCTGCACTCCACCAGTGGCTTAATGTCATAGGGGAGCTTTAAGACTGTAAACTGGGGACAGTCAAATGAATAAAGAAAGTTAAGAGAGCAGGCTTCTGAGCCAATAGCATCAGAATGTATCTCAGAATATCTCTCACTTTGAATTCTTAAGCCACTGAAGTCACTACCATTGCTAAACGTGGCCTTTAATGAAGCCCTGTTAAGAGGCTAGCCTGTGCTTTCCTTTAGTTCCACATCAGAGCACCACAGAAACAGCACTGCGCTCCTCAGACCAAGGTGTGAACGACATAAAAAGCAACAAATAATACTTTGGTAAAGGAATGGAGACATGATCACAATAAAATCGAAGCTGCTTGAGGGTAGTGTAGAATTCATACCTTTAAAAAATGCATAAGAAATCTATAAGATTAAATCAAATTTAAAAGATCAACAAAATGAAATCATACAGTCTAAAATGAATTAACCTTTTTATATATGTACATATATACTCAACTGAATATAAAATGTTAATAAGCTCACTAAAAATGTAGTTTTTTTGTGTTAAATTATTTGCTAAAATGGTAAATCTTTTTCAATACTAAAAAAAATCTGTACAAAAAAGGCTTAATTATATAAAACCAATAGATGAGGATTTAATTTTAATATTATATATTTTAATCTATGTATCACACTTTTCTTCACACTATATATTAATTTCATACACAAACATCTGACTAAAGATATATTTATATATATTTATATATGTATATTTTGTTTTGTACTAACTCTTTGTATTAAATCTTTTCTGTGCTTGATCACAGGAGGGGATCCCAGATCTGATCAATACTGGAGGCTCCAGAGGCACTGAGCCTCCCACCTGTCATATTCCACATTTACATTTAAAATGCTCTTAGAACAGCTTTCCCTTCAGATCAGCTGAAAAGTGTTCAAGAAAAGTCAAAGGCATTTTCAGACCATCAGCTACTTTTTACTGGTAATAGAAAATGCATTCCCAAGGGGTCTTCTAAAGTGACTATGAATGAGGGTTCAAAGTGTGCTTTATGTGTGCCATTATATGAATTAATTTGTATAATTTTGCTGCACATTTACACAGGAAGCCAGCTCTCAGTAATATCAGTCATCAGTCATTAAGTGCAGTTACCTCTTGCCACCAGTCCTTTTTGCAATGTTCCACGAGTAATATGACCTTGAATAAAATTTCCAAAGTCATAGTACTTGTGTGTGTAAATAGATCATTGCTAGGTATCAGTGTGTTACAATGCTAGTGACTTTCCCTGGTTTTGTAAAGTTTGTATACACAGACTTCACCCAGTCTATACTGTATACAGTCCATCCACCTGTTTCCCATTCCCCAGGTTTAGACCCTTCTCTCGCATAGTGCAGCAAACCAGGCCTAACCTAAGGGCTAAAGACCAGCAGGTGTCCTACTGTTCCTCCTTCTTTTGCCTCATATTCCACCTCCGATCAAAACTCCCAATTCGATTTTGTGGATTGCCAGGATATAAACGGACAGGGCTCGGCACAGGCAGCCACTCCCTGGGCAGTGCTGTGGCGGTGAGGCCTATGATGGGTCTATGATGATTAACTGTGAGGTTAAGCCGCAAATCAGCTCTGCCTGTTTTGTTCTCCTCAAGCAGAAGAAGAAAACGTCCAGTTCCTGGTGTACTTCTGCCTCGTCAGCGCTGAGCACTGCTGCCCAAGCCTGAGAGAAGGTCCTTCAGGAACGTCAGTGGATAGAGCCGGTTCAGAAAGGCACTTGCCACTTTCAGGCAGACATCAGAACCACACATAACAAGTCCAGCCCCAACTAATGCAAGATCTGAGCACAGTTAACGTACCTTGTACAGGTACCTTAACAGTATCCATCCTTCCATAATTAATATGCTGTAAACTCAACGGACAATAGCACTTGTAAATAGACTATTTTTATACACCAGGTAGGCTTATCACCCTGCTCTAGAACCAATAAATGTAGTACAACCTTGTGGAAGGAAGGCTACCTGAGCAGCTTAGATGCATGCCTGAAAATGGGAAGTTTGCATATACAGTACCTGTATTTCCATTGTTTTAGCCTTACAGTAACAATGTAAAATTTTACATTTTATTGTGTCTGTGCTGCATTAGACCTTGTTAATAGGTTTCTACAACACATGCGAGGGCAACCTAAAAAAATCTTCCCACATCAACACAGGCAGGCCTGTCTGCCACTGGCACAGTGCAGGGTTCTGTGCTTTTCCTACGTTACTGTGCTCTCCAACCCCCACTGAGGGCCAGGGCTCCAGCCATGCAGGGGTTAGATAACCAGGGCACTGGGTTAAACTCAACAGAAAGACTTGGGAAAACTTACAGAAATGCAAGGACAGGTTGCATCAGATAATTTCAGTAATTCATTTATAGGCATGGATAGAATGAGACATAAAATAAGTTCTCACTTGCCTGTAAAAAGGGGTTAGCAATGCACTACCTTTATACAAGCACCTGGTAATCCTACAGCAACAAAAAGGACAACCAATCTTCACAGTGAACCCTGACAAGAAGAGATCATACAATTAACACCAAGAACTGCAGATCTGTTGGTACATGACAGGCTTTTCTGGAAAATAGGACCATCCAGATTCTTTTGTACAACAAGTATTGATTGTCCTTTTTATTAACAGCAAAATCTTCTAAACATGGTGTCTTAAGACAGTGATTCCTGTTTACCTAAAAATATGACGACAGCTATGAAGTATCTACAGTAGCATCTGCTAAAGCTCAATCTGCACTAATGACGACAATGCAACAGGAGGGAATAAGCAGGACTCTCAGGGGAATCATGCACAGAGTCACTTAACAATCAAACTTACAATACTTTCCAACAGGTCCTCTGAGAATTAGTCATAACCTAACGTTAGCTGAGGGGCTGTCACACACTGTGCTGTATGACATATTTTCACTAGCTTTCGTAAGTATTGCTGAAAAGGCACAGAATGTGTGACACTACAATAGCGATTTCATCATCTCTGGAAACCTCAGGTTAGCTTGAAAATTGGAGCAAGACTCCATCAATTAACAAGGCAAGCAAAACAAATGACAGTTCCTACACACATCAGTGGAGCTGTGGTAGCTCAGACGACAAGGGCGTCTAGCTCCTGAGCGGAAGGTCCTGGGTTCAATCCCAGGTAGGGGCAAGTGATGCAGCTCCAATTCCTTCCAGACGGCTCCCAGGTCACCAACTCAGCCTGCTCTCCAAATGAGTACCAGGGGTAACAGGCTGGCTGGAGCGTGATGCTGACCACATCACCTCCACCTCCAGTGTTGGGTGGTTGAGAAAAATGGTGGCCCTTGCCCCCCCATTCCCCCATGAGTCTTTATGGCCTGAAAAGGGGACCTTACCTACCTACCTACACACATTAGTTCTGCTGGGTGCGACTACCTTTGAAAAACCCAGCAACAAATCAAAGAGGACCCTGCAGGGGGCAGTGCGCACTGTGGTCCATGAGGCAAGCAAGGCTGGGCCTGATCGCTGACAGAACACTCTGCAGCTGAAGTGAGGTCCAGCACAGTGATGGCAGGGAGCTGGCTAAGACATTACAAAACACTTAATGTGCAGCTGGGACCCCTGCAGCCTTTGCCAAGCACTCATAGCTCTGCAATTTCACGGGACTGTGCTGGGGACAATATGATAGTCCGCTCCACTCATCCCCCCTGCCTGCTTTCTGAATACAGAAGCCATAAGCCATCATTTTAGTCTGTTTATCTATATCACTCACTGAGGGTGCAATTACAATGGGCTGTACCTTATGCAATACTGTACATACACACCATAGTGCTTGCAGAGCTCTGTCTTTTGGAGCCTGTTTAGGATGAAAATAAAGGATTTTTTAAACTGTAGTTCTGCCAGAAAAATGCTGGATATTAGAGAGAAACAAGACTGCCTGGAAACAGCTCATCAAATACAGTATCAAATACGGTAATCAAAACTCAAATGACCTTGAACTCCCAGAACTGCTTCTTTCTGTTGTTTCAATATTTAATTGATCAAAAAGCACTGAATTTGGCACCTCAGCTATGGAGCTGTGCAGTTTGGCTAATGGCATAAAGGAACCACGATACACTTAATTATCGGTGTTCAGCTTTTAAAAACTGTTCGACTGCACAAATAATGTCAATAGCAGCATATTGCCTTTCTCGGCAGGCGGGGCACAAGACTGTAACAGGATTTAGCTGTGAATCACCCTTGCTCAGTCATTACCCAACCTCAGTTCTGCTCAAATGGAGGCTTAGCTGGGCACGTCTAGGAATCTTGTTACTTGATTCAGAAGTAAACTGGTTAAACTGGAATTGAAAACAAGCACTAGAATTCCCAGACAGGATCATCACAGTTCACCCCGAAGGCGGGACTGGCTCGTCCTGCTCTGTGCAGAGGCACTCCAAGGACACCGGGGCTCTGCTGTGGAGCCCTGTGATTCAGGATAGAACAGTGATTGTCATGAACTCTGTCTGATTTTTCTTCTTCTTCCTTAGCATTAGGTGAGAATCTGGCGTTATTATACATTGTGCTTTTCAGTTCCAGAAAAAAACAACAACAAAGGCTCACAGAACGCCTGCCGTACCCTTCATCAAAAGAGGTCTCTGTGCATCTGGATTCTGTAAAAGGAACTTCTTCACTTCCATTCTAGCCTTTTCGGTAATGCTTTACTGAATTCGCTGTACAATAGCTTCATAATCCCTTCATAATTGCTACACAAGTCATTGTGCATAGTGTTTTACAGGGACATGCAGAAATGACAAAACAACACAGCAGAGAATGCTCCACAGCCGAAATGTTGTGTTTCCTTTCTTCTCTTTTCAGCATGGAACAAACCTTTACCTGTTCCTAAATGACATAACGTTTGCTTAAGAGGTCATGACATGACTGAGTACCATTTCTAGGGATTGGTATGCTTCATCACAACCTGCATGTTACAGTACGTCATTGGCTCAGGCTCATTCCCATATAAAACATTATGCGATTAAAACATCCTGTGTAGATGTTTAACATGTTTAATAGGGATTATGAAGCCAATATGCAGCAACATTGAAGTAAAGCGTTTTTCATAGTTCATATGGCTCTTCAGAGTCACGCAGCAGCACTCAGCTCTTACCCAGGTATCTGAGCACAGTTTCTTAAGGTCATGTTTCTAGTAGCAAACTGTTGTTTTTTTCTTACAACTCTCAAATGACAACCATTTATAGGGGGTGGGGGAGAGTTGCATGTTGTTTCTTTCTATGACCTTTTATTCTTCAGGCAAATGGCATCACGAAATAGCATCCAAGAGTATTTCAGAACAATCATCCCTAAAGCCAGGCTTCACAGAATGAACCAGAAACAGTCCGGAAACAAACCATTTGGATTGCACATGTAGAAGAAGCCACAGGTCAAGACTATTTTTCTTCTCTCTGGGTGGTTGCTTCTGCACACCACAGTGAGACTGAGAGCACTGGAGACAGTAATTTTAGGACTGAAATTAATTCAGACCTGGAAAAAAAATCTGATGCAGTTTGCTGTAGACATACTGTGGGTTTTTACAGAAGTGCAGAGAGGTTATGCTACAGCCTGAAAAAAGCCATGTTTCTAAAGCTAGCACTGCTTTCCTACAGGTTAATGAACTGCTAACAAGTGATTGACAATTTGTTTTCTCATTGCTTGTCTTTGCATGAATAGATTCACACTAAGCGTTATTACACATAAGTAAAATCATCTAAACCGTAGACCAAATTTCATTTTTTGATTATTGCAACCTTTTCTGACTTGAAATACAGTGTGCAGTTAAAAAAATACAATCTGGAAGAGATTCACTGAAATATAGACAAGTTGTATGAAATTTGGCAATTGTGACTACAGTTGCATATTCTGAAACGGAGTTTGCACTGTATTTAGTATCCATGTTCATACCCTGGCTACAGCAGGACCTGGACTGTACTGCAGAGAACAATGATTAAAAAAATGATGGTTTGCACTACAGGTGAAGAGATAAGCCAGTTCAGTTAAAGGAGAAGAAGCAGCAGGCTTGTAAGAAACACACTCAGGGACATTACACAATCCTATATCTACAGAAAGCTGTGCTGATGAGGCAGTATAAAACACACTGAGCTTTAACTGCGTTCCTGGGAACAAGCCGACACAAGGGCAGGGCTGCTGAGTGTCTGTCAGCAGGCACCTGTCTTTTCACCTCGAGTATCCAACATCCAGGCGTCCTGGACATATGAGAGTTGCATCATTGAAGGGGTATCGCAGCCCCTGATAGGGAACGGTTATAGCTTTCTCAAAAACACACCTGGGTTCGAAACCAGGCATCTACTGGGCCAGCACCAAAGAATGACAGCACAGACACAGAAAGTGACTTGAGCTCAGATCCTGTTTCCCTGTAGTCTGGTCCCAGCCTGTGTCAGAGGAGTGCGGTCTGCCACAAAGGTGAAGAAGGAGCAAGAGAGGGATCCGGTGGGCTTTCTTTCCTTTCGATTTTGGGATTGTTGTGTTCTTCTCATTTGTCCCCCGTGCTCACTGAGGGCTTGGGCAGTGTCTTGCTCCCGCGGTCCCGGAAGCTGTGGAGGCCGGCGTACTGGAGGGTGCGGGCTGTTTTGAGGCCAAGCGAGGAGAGGCTGAGTGAGGAGAGGGGGGAGGAGGATGTCGGGGAGGCAGAGGCCGTGGAGGCGGGGCGACCGTTGGGCTGGGGCAGTGGAGCCGAGGAGGTACGCTGTTCCTTCACCAGCCTCCGCCGGAAGGTGGAGGAGAGCAGGGCCTCGGTGCTGAGGCTGGAGGCCGACAGGCTGGAGAACAGAGTCTTGGCCGGGCTGGAGGAGGCAGAGAAGGAGGAAGCGGCTCCGTCCTGGGGGTATTTCTTCAAGCCAGGTGCAAATACTGTAGAGGAAGAGGGGAGGCCGGAGGACGTGGACAGGGAGCCAGAGAAAGTCACAGTCTTGGTGTTGGAGAGGACAGGCTCTGGGACACTGCTGCTGCTGCTACTGCTGCTTCCCAGGGCCTGTAGGCACAGTCCCCAGGAGGAAGAGGAGGAAGAGGAGGAGAAGGAGGAAGGAAGGGAATAAAGAAAGAGAGTAAAAAAAACAAAGTACAGTCTCATAGTTGGGGAAACCAGGTGGGCTTGACGTGGATTGCCCTCCCCATCTGACACTTGGAGAAAGGAATAAGAAAAACAGGCCAGCAGCAGCTCCTTTACAGTGTGCAGGTTGGCAGGTAGGTTGGAGTAAGTAGGCAGGCAGGCCAGGGCCTCAGTTGGGAGGCGGCAAGAATAGTGGAGTGGAAAACATGAGTTCTGTCGTCAGGTGGTGCAGGGAAGGAGGTCAGGCCGGGCAGGCAGGGACGCTCACTGCACTCCCATATAGAGAGGGGGAGACACGGGGGCACAAGGGCACAGGGTCAGGGTGTTGCGGGGTGTCCGGAGATGGAGACAGTGACAGGTGGTGAAGAGGCCGGCAGGCAGGCGGACAGGTGAAGGTTGTGGAGGGTGAGGAGTCAGTGGAGAAGGGAAGGAATGAAGACAAGAGAAGAAGAGATAAAACAAAAGAGAACAAAAAAGAATAAACACAGGAATTCATTAATTCAAGTTAGAATCCACATGCATGATGTTTGACCTCCTTCCAAACATTTCAAGTAAAAAAATGACACATTCTATTAACATGCAACCCATATCACTTAAGACTTTAGTACCAACACCAGTTGACCCTAATTTTTGCGTTTGTTTATACTTCCATCCATCAAATTTCTGATTACTTTATCCAGTTCAGGGTCGAGGGGGAGCTGGAGCCTATCCCGGCAAGCAGTGGGCGCAAGGCAGGACACACCCTGGACAGAACGCCAGTCCACTGCAGGGCACACACAGACACACGCACTCACACTAGGGGTAATTTTCTCAGAAGCCAATTAACCTGCCATCATGTCTTTGGACGGTGGGTGGAAACCCACACGCACATGGGGACAACATATAAACTCCACGCAGATCAAGAATTGAACACAGGGCCCCAGAGCTGCAAGGCAACAATGTTAGGCACCACTGTGCCACCACGCCGCCCTTTGTTACAGACTTAAGTTCTCTAAATGCAGAATACATCTCTCTCAGCATTACAGGATTTCTTTTGTAATGTGGCAATCAGCCAGAAGAAGGCGCTGTATCCACACACTGCTGTCCAGAAATAATTACATTTACTCCATCTTTGGTTCTGTTACACTGTGACCCTTGCCCGCAAGCAGTAGGCAGAAAGTACATTCATTTAAAGTTACAGATTTTTCAAAGATTGCTACACAGCATGTCATGACTAGAACAGCACGAATCTATGTATTGACACTAAATTAGGATTGCCACCATTTCCACAATTAACGCTCAGATAGAAATTCTGCATCTCTGCTATCTTGGGGACTGGTTTCCTCCTTGGTTATTCCACATGCTTGGTTTTTGTGAGGTTATGACATATTTCTGGGGATATACTGTAGGATTCTCTTCCCACACTGGACATCAAAAGCCTGGATTTGCCCAAACTGGTGGCAACCCTCAATGAGCCTCTCTGTGGAAACTTCATCTGTCCAACCACTCGACTGAAACAACCAGAGCTGTGCAATGATGTGTTTATTGCCCACTATTTGAAAAATGCAGATTGTCATGGTTATCTGCAGTGTCAGAATGGATGTGCTGCCCCTCCACTGTCGTGTGAATGTGAGTGCACATGAACACAGACACAAAGACACTGACAAGAGCTTTGCATGATCTCAGATGCTGCAGAACTAATCAGGTCAGATAAATTAATAAAAAACGTCAAAAGCTGTTGCAGGGAGAAGACATCATTATTTCAGTGGAAACCTGTGGATGTGAGAGTGACCTAAAAGCCATGACATGCTGTGTGAGGCTGTTGATATAATTTTGCATCCTTTTTTCCCCAGGGATTCATCACACTGTGATGCTAATCAGCAGAGCACTATTGCACTGTATCTTATTTCCTTTTTTCCCTCATAATTATTTATGCATTAATTTCCCAGCAGTTTTCTGCCTACTGCTTTTAGTATCAGCTTCTCGGTTTGGCCTCAGCCTTACTGACAGACAGAGGTGCTGTGCTGGAGGAGAGAGGTACAGACAGCACGATGTAGGAGTTTAGCGGTGTCGGATTTGCAAGCAGGGTCTACACAGCTAGCAAGGCGACTCAGCAGGACCTTCCTGACTTGTGGCACAGCCTAGGCTTGACATGCGCCTGCTGCCTCTTCCTGCTCGGCAATTAAAGCACACAGGCCTGGTGCAGAGCTGGGACTCTGAATTGTAAGAGGGCTGAGCTCAGCCCAGTCAATTATCACAATCAAGTAGCACCCTTTCAGGACAAAAACGCTCCAAACACAGAGTTTCACATCAGTGAAAGCACCTGCGCTACAGCAGGCAATAAATGCCTTTTGCTGCTCACAGTACTCATTTCCATTTGCTCTCAGAAATAATATAATTAGATCCAGATGTGATGCAGAACAGAAATCTTTTAGGTGAGCAGAAAAGCCTCAATATCTGGTCACAGCACACGTTCAGTTGACACCGAGACACTTAACACAGCCAAGCTCTGCCTCTCCCTCCTTCATCAACAGCAGTGCCCATTGCTCCAACTTCTTTTGGCGTGTCTAAGATTTGCTTCATTACTTCAAATCCAACATCCAAAACGAGAATTCTCTCTCCTGTGCTCTATTTGAACCCGAGTACCCTGTCAGAAAAGCCCTCAAGTCAGCAGTAAGTTGTGTGGAATAGAAGGATACAATTGTGCCTCTTTTTGAAAAGCAGATTGAACAACAGGGAGGTGGGCAGCGTCATCAGAGCAGTCTGTACGCACAGCACAGTACACCAAATACAAAACCCTTATAAAAATCATGTTTGGAAATGTTCATATTTTTATAAGGGTACAGATCGGCATGCATGTTTAGTAAGACAGACATCCCAAATTAGAGGTTAGACCCCTGTGCAATGCACATGCAGCATTACATGGGCACTTGTGTGTTTAAACCTTGGGTTATCAACACTGAAGAAGCAAAATGAGGGATCTTTTCAAAACCTCTAGCCTCCAGTGACTTTCTCAAAGGGGAATCAGTTTCTGAAACATCATAGGAACTCTTTCTGCAAAGCCCAGTGCATTTCTGCAATATGCTAGTGTGGACCACTGTGTATTTCATGACACTGCAATGCATTTTATGATGGGGCTCAAACAGACATGTCCTCCAGCTATGCTTTAGGCATTACTGACCAAAAAGTCATTATTTAGAACAACTAAGATGATTATTTTCTTAATACTCATTAAAGGGTAGTTTTCCAGTTCTATATTAACATTAGTATTGGATTCTTTAACATAGGCAGAGTTTAGTCTTACAGTAATCAAAAGCAAGAGTACTGTTACAGAATAAACTTTGATAATGAAAAACTTATTGGTCATTACTGATTTGACTGTAAATTGCCCATCTGCTAGGGTGAGGTGGGCAAGGGGTAAGGTTTGTTATAGTGGTAGCATTTAGCCCCTGTGGTTGGCCGAGATTCATTTTTCAAATATCTAACTGAACAGTAAACAAACACATGGAAATAACCAAACAGATTAATGCTCATTGTTTTCTAACAATATAGAAATTAAATAACAATAATAACAGTATAAAATCAAAGGCACGTATTCTGGATGCTGTGCTACTGGAAAACTCTGAATGCACAGCAGGAGAGTGAGGCTGAAAAGTGTTTTCTCCTGTGTTGAGACAGTTTTCCAGAGCCCCCGGTGCTCCCATGTCAATACCACCCTCTCCTGGCTTCAGGGAGAGGAGAGACGGGGCTTGGAGTGTACTAGCGTGCTGCGGCACGTCTCTCTCGTGTGGATATTTTTTACTCTGAGCTCCTGAGTAAAATGAGGCTGTTGAGGAGAAATCATTCAAAAGTGTTTGAAGTCAATGCATTAGAGGAACAGTTATTTAACGTAACGGGATAAATACTCACTTGGTCTGTGAGCACAGTGGTAAGCCTATTAAGGACAGGCGTGCATGTGGGGGCTATTAAGGTAATATTGCAAACAAATCTATTGATTATTAGAAGCTGGCTGCAGAAATAGTATTACATCATAAAGCATATAAAGTGGTACTATATCCTGTTCTTTTTCTTTTATCAGCACACTGAAACACCTCTATGTATTTCTATAACCTCAATCAGTACAGTCTGTACTTCCAGGGGATCGGACTTCTGCCTCAGGGAATAGACAGCAGCTGATGCAGTCTATTTATTCCCCTCCGCTAATTCAGCAGAGATCTTTTACCTCCAGGATGGGAAAATGTTGCTCAATAAAGTTAACAACCAGCAACAAAGAGCCTGGAGCGATTAATTCATTCAGGTTTGTTCAGGGTTTAAGATTTTAATGCTTCATACGTTTTAATTGGTATGATTTAAAACCAGAAATAAAAACAAGATAGTGGAAAATTACACAGACATTGATCCAAAAAGAAGCCAGCGTTCAGTGCTTGCCTGATCTCCCTGTGTTCCACATTTTTAAATTATGCCAACTGCAGGTGTTGAATATCACCACTGGGAAAGGTACAATTAACAATTAGGGTTAAAACACAGAGGGTGCACAATGGGTTAGGGGCAAACTTTATAATGGTTCTCTACATCTCTACAAGAAAGGGGTTAAAGAAAAGGAGATTTTACCTTGAACTGTGGCCCAAGTAGAGTGGACACCCACACAGGGCATGGCTAGTGTGTCATTCAGAACAATAAGACAGTCAGTACCCAGTACAGTTTGGCCTGCTCCTACACTAAGCACTGCACATATTGAAACTGAAACTTTATTTTGTTTTAATTTACCATGTTTGAGAGTACCATATCCCTAATCCTAGAGATAACAACAGACATTATCTATATGCTCTAGGGAGAGGATTAAGAAGTGTGATTTGGCCCAAGATTTTGCAGAGAGACAGAAGTCACACAGTAGGCTGATTCAGAATTACCAACCTGCCTTCTATCTCTAGGTAGATTGGGTAGGTTTTTTTTTTTAACAGACAGGAGTTGATTCTGCCCTCCCAGAAATTTGAGTGTAATAATATACATATCTGACAAAAATAATTGCTCCCTCCAGCATATTACTCTCCAGCCTATAGTTGCCTAACAAACTATCTAAAATGAGCTGTCCTGTGAGTACCTTGAATTTAAGGCAGATCCATCACAGAAATGTCCTCTGGGTACTTTTATAATGATGTCTAATTTTTAACCAGGCTTATCTTGCTTCAACAAAGGTAGTCATTCTTTGCAGTCTATAATTCATTCAAGTGTGATGCCCAGTCATGATACTGCTTGTCCATCCAGGGCTGTGCATCTGACAGCCTACAATCTGCGGATGAGCAGGTGAAAAGGACAGGAACTGAAAACTGCAAACAGCTCATCTCTTACAGGGCTCCTTCTCTCTAAACTGCTCTGTGAAAAGTCTCTCCAACACATTCAGGTTGGGCCCTGTCAGAGATTGCAGTGTTTATTCCAGGCTGCAAGAGTATTCAGGTTTACTGCCCTTCAAGTGTATCTCTTTGGAACAGCGGGGCTTTATGTCCATCAACAGAAATAAAGCTGGTAATTCTGGTCCAATGGACAGCAGCTTTGCTACAGAAACAGAAACCTGGGGTGGCTCCAGGAGGCATGCCCAACTCAGCCCTTGCCCATCTCCCAGCATCCGACAGCAAAGTTTAAACATTGCATAAGAAAAGCATGAGATCGCTCAACACAGCTTTCGTTCTTCAAAATCAACCCATCGTGGACAGTGTAGCAAACTGTAGTGGATGAGCTAGTAACTACTGGAGCTGCTTGCCACATCACCGTTCAGTTGTTCAGCTATTAGAAATGATATCTGATCATACAAAGAGCAGAAATGATGCCCCCCAGCCCTGTCTCTCCAACGCTGCCTTATTCTTTCAGCCTGTAGGCTGCTTCACGTTCAGGTTGATAAGACTGCTGTGGCAGTGTTTCCAAGATTTATGGTAGGAACTTTTCATACTTAACCCAGGACAGAAGAGTGCAAATGATCATCTGAAAATGCTTTTAAAACAAACAAAAAAATGTCACTGACACCATCAACGAGAATCTGTGTTCACAGTCAAGAGTGCAGCTTAACCATGGCAGCGAAAGGGTTAGTAGCACACAACATTTTGCACATGAGTCATTGCACAGTCAACAGGATCACACCTGGGAAATAATCAACGCTGTGAAGACACTGGAGTAGTTGATTATCTCAAAAGTGCAGCAATGATCACCAGACAAACTAAGAGAAACCACAGTTAGAGGTATAATAGCACAACCATGAGCCCTGTTCAACTACCAGGACTGAAAGGACTCTGGTGACTTTCCAAAAGGTACCATTCCATTAGTACATTCAATGTTAAATACATACAAATGGTTTTCAAAGGTATTCAGTCTAAGTGTGTGTAGATAGTTGGAGGTAGGTAGACAATAAAGACAGAGAGATCTCTACTTACTGTTGCATAAGCACATTTAAGTTAGCTTCACATACTGCTTCTACATATTCTACAATTTTATTTTTTGTACCCCATTGCATATTTAAATCAAGACATTTATACTGCTTATACAGTACATGCCATCTTGTCTTTTGAATGCACTGGGAACCTGAATGGATGGGACACAGCACAGCGCTACTTTGTGTAAGAGGTGTCCATCTCTCCAATTAATAACCTTGATCTCACTGTTCCACACGGCAAGCTGACTGACTGTCCCATGTTTCTCTTAGTTCTCAGCTATGGCTGGGCTTTAGCAATTGCAGATGTGCTGAAATGAAACTCATAAGCCCGTGTTGGGATTTTCCTGGTGACTAGAGCTTTGCAGATGGCTGACAGGAGCGGTGAGACAGAGTCCGGATTTGAAGTGGATGAGAGATGGGCAGAGAAGGATAGGGGAGTAGGCTGGGTGGTGTGATGGGAGAGAGGGAATTGGGGGGAGTGGTGTCGAGGTATCGTCTGGAAAACCCAGAGGCTGAACCTTCGCTAGGAGTTCAGGATTTTCTTTGCCGCCTGGAAACTTGAGGATCTCGAGGTGCTGGAAGAAATCTGTCCCAAAATCCGCAATCCTGCTGCAGCTTTGCCATGCTCTCCTTTGATGACTGTCGCTTAAAAATGCACTGGCGATCGACCCTTTGTTCCAACGGCTGAGGTTTCCTGGAAATATGTACAAGATTCCTTGTGCATGCAGAAGTTTCCCGTGACAGCCTGTTAAAACAGCTCTGAAGACTGATGGCTGATGGAGACCTGTGTGTGACGCCTTGTCTTACGGTTGACTGGCCCATCGATGTGAGAGAAGGGAAGACAAACTGTGTGAATAGTTCAACACACATGGTCTCCCCTGTTTTCCGATACCTCCTGAAAAGTGGTCAGCGTTCAATCTCCATCTGGTTCCCGGCCCAGGTCAAGTCAATTAAAATAAAAAAAAATAGCTGCCAGTACCAGGAAATGTTAAGCCAGGTGTTGTATATCATGTGGTTTTTAATTGTTTTTTAGGAACAGTCTGATGCCACACAAAACACATAAATCAAAAATCAAAAGTAAATCGGTAAATGAGCAAGTAGTGAAAGCCTGAAGATTTGAGACTCCCTTCTCTTGGTCCTCTGCATCTTTTGGGACAACTGAGAACACCTAAAGGAGTTAACTTGGACTGGCCAGGTGTCTGTACTGGCAGCCTGGGCTGGCTCAGGAAAAGCGAGAGGCAACTGCACAACTCTGAGAAAAATCTTATTTGATCCTAACTAAAGTCTATCAAGACAAGATGGTGCGGCTTGCAGATTCCAGTTAAAGCCGTCTGTCCTCCATCCTGCCTGCTAGAATGTGGTACTGATTGTGCTCCATGTCTCAGACGGACAAAGAGTGTCATTTATACTGCAGCTTGCATGTCAGAAGCACCAACAGCGCATTGTTTAAGTATGTTCAGAGAGAATGTTCATCATGGCAAACAGTTGGCAACAAAGAACACCTTTTATACAAAGTCCTTTTATACACAGCATACAATGGTCCAAAACAGATTATTTTTGTCTAAGAACTTGGCCACCTTTTGTCTATTCTGTAAGTCAAGCAGTTATTGCACACATTGGGCGAAGTTACAGAGAACATGAACCATATCCCCAAGCTCATGTCACAGGGCCAACACAGCAGAAGCCTGTTCTCAAAGAGTCACAGGTTTGCCAGGACTATATGTGAAAGGTTAGCTACTGCAGCCTTGTCCATAGCACTGTTAGGTTTGAACCCATAACCTTCCACCTTCAAGCCCTGGAATCCACCAACTACAGTAAATTTAACCAATTGAGCAGGACATGTCCGATTGGTAGGTGGACTTACTGTATATTCAAGCTTTTTAGATCACTGTGCCTTCCCTTAATTCAGCACCCCCAGTACAACCACCATGACCCATCCTCACCATAAATCTTGGAAATTGCACCAGCAGTGTCTTATTATAGCTCACTTTAATATCAATACAGACTAATAAACCACAGCCCCATCACGCAGACTGTGAAAATTCCCCTATGGATTTAAAAGCATAGAAGTGAAAGAGACCATGCATATTTGATTGTCCCAATAAATTATCCTTTGTAAATGCTAAAAGGGCCATTTCCTTTTCAGAATCACCTGCTTGTTACAATATTCCCATCTGCAACTAAGAATCAAAAGATTCTACTTTAGAAAATGTTGGAAGTGCTTATCTTGATGACTATAATACAATTAAAATGACAAAGATCAAAGCAGATGCAGCTGGCATGGAGATATCAAGTTTTTTTTTGTGCAAATCCAGAACTGAACATGTGTGACAATCCCATTAAACTCCCCCTTTGGCCTGCTTCAACACAACCACGTTAGTACCTAGATCTACGGTGCCAGAGAATAAGCTGAACAAATCCAACAAAGGGATCTGTTCTTGGGAGGGGATCATTCAAGCTAAATTTTTCTTATCAGTGCATTTGAGGGTTGCAGTTAAGGTATTAATCTATGACTACAATGCCAAGACTTTAAGCACATTGGGCATCGTAGCTCTGCCTTGATGTAGGAAGACCGGGTACAACAGCTGCCTGCAGATCCTAGAGTGTCTAACCTAGACATGGCCAATTCACAGAGACACTGTCAAAGATAGAGGAACCTTCTGTTCCAGCCATCTGCTCCACCCTCTTTTTTAAGTTCCCAGGATGCTGCCTTGTATTCCTGGCGTATTCTCCACTTACTGAAGGCTAACCTCCCAATGAATCACCAGAACCTGGATTTGGAAACCGTGTCTGGTTGCTAGACATAATCAAAGAATGCCATGCTGAAAGAATCTCAGATTGTAAAGCAGTACTTACAGCATCTTCATCTCGAGTTTCCCATTAATTGATTAAATGTACCTCCATGGTGCTTCTTCATTACTCAACATACTCTTTTAACACATTCCTGCAGCAGAATTAACTACAAGAGCCATGCGCTGATTAAGGTCTGTCCTGTTCTGTTTAATCCCTTTTACACTTCCTACTCTTCTGGAGTACTGAGCACCATCTCACTCCATCTCTCGGTCTCCCTCTCTTTGTGCATTTAAATTTGTAAAAACATTTTTTAAATTTCAAAATGATATTCTTTTTGTTTGAACAGGGGATGTTAAGAGGTTTCCTAACCCTACTCAGTGTTTCAGGTGTACTTCCCTCGTCTGTTCTTGGTTTGGCTTTCTATACTTGTGGAGCTATTTGGAAATCTGTTAAATGCTGAGCTTGTCTCAACAAACATCTGGCAATAACCAGTGGGCACACACAGAAATGTCAACATTAAACAGAATTCAGAAATAGCTGAAGACGAACATAGCCTCATAAAAAAAGAACCTCCCATCAATAATCTTAAAGAAAATAAAGTTTGGTTCTTGCCCTCGTAGTGAAGTGATTACGATGAATTTCTATGCAACTTAATGTGTCCATTTTGATGTGCGTATTTGACTTCTAACACAATCTCCAGTAATTGGTGATACAGCAGGGAATCTTAGTAGTACTCCAAAATTTATATTCTGTGAAATGTAGGCTAGTTTGCTGCAATTACATCTATTCCATCACAGGCTACACTCCACATTGACAGTGCCCTTGTGAATGGTGCTACTTCAGACAGTGCCATGTCTGCATTGAAATATTGCTTTTTAACAAATGGAATCCAATGTCTAGAAAGGCTGTTTACTGACAGGGCAGTGTCATGCTGTACGGGGAGCTGGAGAAGTACAGCACAACACTATGTTGACCGGCAAACATTCTGTACTGCATTCTTCTTCACCCCTTTTTTTTTTGCAAAGCTGGGTAAATAAGCGTGATACAAAAAACATCAAGAAAAGGTAGCAAATGGCTGCAATGGGTGAACAGTGCCAAATCGCTTCTCGTGCTGCTCCATTGCAACCCCAAGCTCCAAGGCCAAGAGATCAGAGGTGCTAACACTGGACACCACATCAGCTCACCATGCCACAATGATTTCCCTGAAAACACTGCAGCAGTTATGAAATCACCCTGTGTTGCCTGTTTTGGGTTCAGATAATTTCAAGAGCATTAGAACCCGTGTGACACATATCAGAACACACAGGACTGGGAGTTGGCAACTACTCTGCTTGGGCAAACTGCAGGTCTCTTTCCCTGTTAAGCGATATAGAGTGAACATGGTGTCCAGCCAGCGAACCGCCCGCTGTTCAGGGCCTCCCAGCAGGCTGGGTTTGTCAACGGCACAGTAGTAAACACTAGTGACGGTGTCGGTGAAGGCAGTGAGGCTGCCGAGAGGCCTCGTCCGGCAGGGCCTTCAGAAGTGAAATACCTGCTGCTGGCCCTGGATCTTGAGGAAGTCCTCGCGCTGCTTGCCTGCCTTGCTCTTCTCCGGGCTGCTCTGCTGGATGTTCTTCAGCCGGGAGGTGGCGGAGTGGAGCCCCTTGCTGGAGCCGGAGGAGCCCCCGCCCGTCTGTGAAGGTGGGAAACAGGGATGAGTCGAGCCTCCCACCAAAACTGCCTCCTGTCATTACGAAACCGCCAGTTATTGAGTTGGCCATTTTGGTGCCAGTTACTTAGCGGCTGCTCTCTGTCCACAAGTTACGGAGCAAATTCAGCGGGACGGTGTTGCTGAAAACAGCTCGAGTGCTTTACTCCTTCATAACCTAACAACATCCTCCAGGATGAAATCTGTGGGACACCTTAAAGAAATCTTTAGAGCAGGCAGTGCAAGACACTTTCTTGCTTTCTCCTAAAGCACATTTGTTCTACTTTTGTTGTTTTTTTTTAGTCCTGACAGAAATAAAGGGCCTGTCACTCACTCAGTCATTTCCATAAATTTCCTGTCCTCCTCCTCACACCCACGCAGTCTGTATATATCCTGTGCTTCCAGAGATGGCAGACTCTTGTTTTTTTTACATTAAGGCTAACCAGATTTTAAACTCCCTTAGCGACTTGGCCTTTGTACAAATGCACTGAAGCGCTCCTGCTGTGCCAAGACAGAAAATTATTTTATTTTTTTTGTTTCTTTAAAGATTGATTATGAACATTATACTGCACTAATCCTGAATGTAGGGTCCTGTTTTCGCATGCCTACCCTTTTAACTCATGCCTTATGTTTAAACTGTGAGTTTATGTTTAAACTGTGAAGTGACTGGAGGAATATGTCAGTCTGTGCTGCGCTTTTGAACTGTGTTGATCAATCGTTGAGATCTGACTGTCTTTTTAGAATGACATTTCAAAAGCAGACATCTCATTGCCCTTTTCAAATCAAGAGTAATCTGTGATTCACACTGAACACCAGAGTAATTAATAGGGCTTTAAACAAAAGTATGGTGGAGGTCCAACCCTCATCTCCCCCACTTCCACCTGCCTACGTATAAACATTATGCATCTTGCTTACTCACTTGCACATTCAATTTTCTCATCCCTCCCTCCTCCCCATCTCTTCCAGGTGGGGTTCCCCTACCCCTCGTCCTTACAGAGGTTGCTAATGTCCTTAACGAGGCAAGTTACCCCAGTAAAACTCTCTATTTGACTCATGCCTCTTCTCCTCCTTTATAACACGCAGAATTAAAACTGAATTTCTTTATTCAATTCTACTTTATGTATATTAAGGCAATATGCCCTGGACAAATTCTAACTACTGAGTAGGTTCCTCAAGGCTTATTCACACATGTCTTCAGTGCCATTAAGGAATTATTCCCAATGGCGGAAATGAGCAAATATTAAGTCAATGTTGGAGCTGTATTTTTGTAAATAGAGCGAAAGGATAAAGGATTTTTTCTTTATTTTTTTCAAACAACATTATTATAAATAGTTAGACTTCAAATTGACTTACAGAAGATGCAAATTAGGTTTAGCTACACCTGTAACTAAAATAACAGGGCTAGAGAGTTGAGGGGTCTTACTGATGAGACACAGGTACAGTATATAGTAGGATTATATGTGGAATAAAAGGCAGTAAGCTGATAGGGAAGATGGCATCCTCCAGAGGCCAACCAGTAGAAAATTTCAGTCTATTCATAATTTTTAATAACAGCTTAGTCCAATACTATTCATGGTAAGCCAGTGCCTATCCCAGCAGGCAAGGGTATATGCCAACACAAGGCACACCTAAATATAGTAGGACAATTTAGACATGCCAGTTAACCTAGGCAGCAGCCTCTGGACTATGGAAGGAAACTGGAGCATCCAGGGAAAACTAATTTGGCCATAACATAACATGCTCCAGGATCCCATGAGTCCCATGACCCTGGAGCCGCGGAGAAGACACACTGAAGCACTGAATGCCCTGCCATTGTGCTGCCCCAAACTGCACCTCCTCTTGACAATTAACTAACAAGTGGACTAATTTTAATACAAATCAAAATTCATTATCCCGTCTAACCTGGTTTCTCTTGGGAAAACAACTGTTTCCAACACTTCTTTAGATTTTAATTGAAATTCTAGACATTTATTTTAATACTCAAGAAACATTTAATTCTGCTAAAACTTCCTTCACATTAGTATATTTTTTCCTCAACAGCTAAAAGCAAGAACCTTTTGAAAATACTTAATGATTGCACAAGTATTTATTTTAATTACGCAGAGACAGAAATTTAAATGAAAACTACAGCAATGAGAAGATGGGGTACCCATTAAGGATTCTTAATGCCTTTTTCATTAGCACTGTAAGGATTCTCTGAATTGCTCGGCTGTGATGGAAATTCTGATTATGCCGTCTGTGGCAGGGATTGCGCTTATTAGTTCTACATGCTCGGAAATGAGAATCTGGATGATGTATTGTGTACGTGTCATAAATGTTAATGCCTCTCACGGTCTGGTAACCAGCTGGAGCACAGGCATTCTGGCAGAACAGATTGAGAGCTCGCAGCAACCATCAAAGTGGGGACAAGAACCTTGCTTTCCTCCAAACCGCTGCTGCGTTACCTCCAATCGTTTCACCTGTGAGCTCTAAACTGTCAACAGGGGAGTTAACATTGATTGGAGGATTGATGCACCTCTACCTGTCAGATATCATGATCCCACAAGCAAGCACAAGCATCAGATTGTCTGGTTGTGATTGGGTAATTGTAGTCACGGTAGGTTAATGACCTACCCCAGACCCCAACAGATGATGGCTGGACTACAGAGATCACCTTGGACTCAGTTCAGTGCCTGGAGCTTACATAACATACTAAGTCTACAAAGGTGAGGGAGCCTCCCAGTGACAGTCCTGTAATGCATGTTTTCTCACGACTCATATTGCCCGACAAAAGGTTTTGTTTTTAGAATGCAAATCTGTCACATCTGTCATCAGCCTTGAGTCCTAATCTCTCTTATCTATATTTATCATCTCAGTTAAAGGCTCTGTAGCTTCGGCTGTCTAGACAGGCTTAGCTGACGCATTTCCCAAACTCTCTTTTACAGTACAGAGTGCTTAGCTGCAGCACTGTCAGCAACAAGTCCAACTCCAATGAAGTCTGGCTTGTTCTGTGATTGCAGTCGTCATTGTTGCTGTTGTAGCTCTGACACAATTTTGTGCTAGCCCCAGTTTCAATGACACGGGTGGGCCATCATCACTTAAAGCCTCTCTAATCATAAAAACCTCTGGAGGACAAAATAAGCTGATTGCTTGAGTGTTACTGCAGTGAGAGAGACACAGGGAGAGTCATATGGGGCATGTGAGTGCATTAGTCAGCTGTGTGTGTATTCTTTTAATGTGCATCCTAGAAGGATACATAGTTCAGTATAAGCTACAGTTAGTTGTAGAGAAGGCATGGAATCCGGCAACCTAACAGACCTTTTGCTAAAGTATATGATTACAAGGGCAAGAACATGATCAGTCATTTCATGGTGTCTTCTACACATGCTTGATTATATTGTGGTTTTTATTCTACCGCACAATGAAGTGTGTAGTCTGCTTTATTTAACTGCACATATTCCTTCAGTACTTTTGCATTGGGATAAAGGTTAGGAACATTTGCTGGCCTCACTCCTAATTAATCTGCATACCAAAATGCAAACAGACATTGGAATCAGACAGAAGACAGGGGGAGAAGAGTCGATCATTTCAGAATACAGGAGAGCAAAAAATGCTAGATTTTGTGAGGCAAATAAAATCAAGAGACCTCACCCAGATGAGAGAGAGAGATTGGTGAAAATGAAGCCAGTTTATTGATAGACAGGACTGTTTACAGAGTGAAATTAGTAAGATTACACCACCTCAGAGCAGGAGAGAAACAATACACCAATACCTTCTATACAACCAGAAGGCATCCAAAGGTACGCAACCTTGGCTTCAGCAACATGACACACTCAGAAAATACATCAAAATCAGAATAACCCTGTGGTACAGGTCTGATAGGTCTTGGATACTGTGTCCATGTATTAATCTACAAAGCAGGTAGAGACAGCATCCACAGATTAGTTACAGAAGGGGCAGTGTTAGCTCTGCTTATCTTCCGAGCCCAGATGGCACAGGGAAGAGACCCACACGGTACTGTAAATGCATTTCTGCAAGAGGTGCTGTTTGGCCAATCAGATATATACCTACACATTAGCACTGCACAGGCAGTGAGAGCTCTAAAAGTAAATCAGGTTTTATCATTCATATAACAGCTACAATCACTATTCTTTTTCTTTTTTACATAAATATAAGGTACCCTACAGAGCCTTCCCCCATTGTGAGAGCTCAATGGAATGCCAGCTTCCATGTGTTTCTTGGTTTTACTCTTTTTGAATTCTGTTATCTGAAAGCAGGGTTGCAACCATTTCCTTATTTAAGCCAACAACCTCAATGAAAATGATTTTTAGCTTCTTACTGTAGTCTGTAATTTACCCATTATTGTGAATGCAGATCCACATCTGATCTGTGATTTCATGGTTGTTTCAAATTTTTTATGATGAAAATGTAGTCTCGAATTCTTAGAGTTTAAATCAACTAACTGTTTGGTACTGATTCTTAAAATCAGTAAACTGTACAAAATTAATTCTGAGTTCTAATTCAGAGAGCAGAAAGCCAACAGACTGTAGTAATAGAGCTCAAAAATCAGATATACCAAGGAAGAAGGGAATTCTGTCCTTCTGCCTATTTCCCTCTCAAGAAGAGAGACAGAGACTCGAGGGGTCAGAAGATCGGGAACCCTAGCCCCAGAGGAAGAAGGGAGAACTCATCAGCCGAAAAAATAAAGAAGCCCAGGGAGAAACCTTAGCAGCATCCAGCGGTAGGGAGGCTGGCTTTGGTGGAACTGGAGGCTTCTTCCTGGTGAGAGATGCTTGCTCTTGGTCTCTGCTTTGGGACTGCAAGTCTAAGCTCTCTTTAAGTCCACTGGTCTGTTCTGCGGCTCCTGATACTGCGCCCAAGGGTGTCTCGCAGTCTGCTGTCCCCAGCTGGCCTAAGAACTCCTTGGAGAAGAGGTACTCTGCTGAAGGGTGTGTGCTGATCTCCTGCAGCGTACTCTCTAGCTCGCGGATTGTCTCCTCCAAGCTGTCCAGCTGCTGGTACGTGCTCTTCCTTATCTCCTGCGACCGCGCTTCCGAAACGTCGGTGCCCCTGGGCTCATGACCCACCTCCGGGGAATCTGCAGACAACACCTTTCTGCCTCGGTGCTGTTCAGAACCAGTCAGCCCATTGGGCTTCAATGTCACATCATCTACTTCTGCAGGCTGACCATTTTTTCTAGCACCACACGCGGTGGTGGGGATTGGAGGTCCTGAAACCACGTGTGGTGGAGATCTCTGGAGAAGACCATTGGAGGAACTGTGTGTGCTCTTTCCTGATATTTGATCTGCTGCCTTTGCTGGTTCAGATGCCTCCTTTCCCTCACTGAAGGCAACCTGTATGGTCCTCTGTCCTGTCTGAAGCCCAAGCTCCAAGGCTTTGGTCAGTGCCCTCAGCTGTCTCAGTGGTAGTTTGATTCTGGGTTGATTGCCACTAACTGCAGGGGTACTGGGGGTCCTGTGTGACCTCACTGTTCTTGGTTTCGGTAAGGGCTTCCCTGTAGAACTACGAGAGTCAGTGGGGTCATCTTCCTTCGCCTCCTCCATCATTAAAGTCAGCTGCCTGTATGCCGTCCTGATCTCCACCGGATCATCAAACACAAAAATCAGGGGGGTCTTGCTCAGCTGAATCTGAACGTGGAGCTGGGTCTTTACTCCCTCTCCTGTCCTATGAAGCCTCGACACAATCTGGTCTTCCTGTCTCTGGGTGGGGACGCTGAAGACCTGAACTTCCTCCCCTGCCTGTCTGATAATCTTTTGAACCTCCTCGCTCGACACAGCCTCCACCTGACTCTCTGTTATGATCAAGGCCAGCTCCTCCTTTGTACTTTCCTCCACGTCTCCCTCTGCTTCAAAAGACTCCTGAATCCTCAGCTCCCATGGAAAGGGTTTCCGTTGTTTTCCTGGGGAGTTCACAGGAGTAATGGAGACTTTGCTGGCGTCTCCCTGAGCTGACAGAGAACCCATGGAAGTCAGGGGAGACTGAGAAACGTGCGATTCCAAAGTATTCCCATCCTGGGCAGCTCCATAGTCTATACTACCACCTAAAGGGAATTTATCATAGTTCTCCGTGGAACTGGGCTGGATGGTATTCTTTGGAGCTGAACTGGCTGTGATGACTTCATAGTCCAGCGGTCTCATAACACCAGTTCTGGCTTTTCCTATGCTCTGTTCAGACTCCTCCAAAGCCGCAATAGGTGCACTCTCAGTTGGGGAGGATGGGGCTGAAATCCACTCTGTCAGCACGATTCGGGGGACCTGACGGAGGGCCGGACTAGTAAGCTGAATATCCTGTTCCTGTGAAGCAAGAACAGATGATTTTAGCAAAAATCTTAAACCAAAAAATGATAACAATATATACATCTAGCTCATAATAAGATTACTTTTATGTTACCTCAAATATTAAGAAATGGTAGAAAACACATGTACTGTAGATCAGCCTGCTATACTGATATACCATGACGTTTGTTTATCTCTAAGATTATGCCATAAGTGAAAATACAGTAACCATCTAGAGCTAACAGAAACTAGGTGATACAAACATTTCAAATGTTTTGATCATTAACTCCAAGATTCACGCAAAAACATAATCTGAACTGTAAAATGAAATGAGTTTTCTGACTTTATTTAATGGATATTAAGATTTGATATAAGTTTGTTACTATGGTAAAATTTCCTGAAACAAAGTGTCTTCATGCTTCTTCGATAATTACCTACAAGACTTCCAAGACCAGCACCGCATTGGTAAAAACAGCAAATTGTCAACATACACAAAGTGAAGGTTTCTAAAATAAGGCTTGAGACTCTTATTGCATGGATGAAGCCTGACTCTCCAGGTTAGCATCACAATGTGGGCTTTTTCCACTATGAATGGCAAAAAAAAGGTATTTAAATAGCTTTCTCTAAAGGTGATGTGGCAGGGAAACTGTCATGGCCAGAAATCTGTAGAACAACATATATTACAAAACCAGGCTTTGACTTGACACAATGGGTTTGAGATCTATCTTATTTGTGAGATTGTTTCAGGGCTTGTAAAGGGGAACAGCACAATTCTATTTTGTTATGAACGCAATCATGCACAGCTTGGTATTGTAGTTGGATAAATTACATTTGTAGGGGTCAGAAAAGAAGCTGGTATTCAGCCCAGCTGCGGCGGCTGCAGTGGAATTAAAGCAGGAACTGCGAGCTGAAACCAGCCCTAACAGGACACAGAGCTCTGTGAAGCAGGGTGTAATTTGACTGGACAGGCTCTGAAACAACTCTGTTTCCTGCTGGAGTTGTACTGTACTTCTCTGTGAAAAGGACAACCTGACTTTTTGGAAATGCTCTTTAATAGATTGCATTATGCATTTTTTTTTGTATTGAACAGCATCATAGTTTACTATTCTTACTATCTTGGACCAATGTTGTAATATTCTGGGACCATCAGGTCCATTAAGGATTCCAAGCCCTGTCAACCTGCTGTCTCTTCATTTAAAGAAAGATATTTTGTAATTGCTATTTAAATGTTCTGCAAGTGTTGTTACACACTGAATAAGGTTCAAGTCAAGCAACATTTATAATCTTCATGCAGGGATACACAGACCTAATGTTTAAGAAAACAAGAACATCATTGAAAAAAGGGGTAATGTGACTGATTAAGACAGGACAGGGAAAGAGCCGATAATCTCTAGATATACATAATAACTTTCTTTCTCTATACTATCACAAGTATAAATATGGCATGTTTGTGTTTTCTGGCAGCTTTTACTTTAGTTAAAAGCCTCAAATCCAGGAAGAAAAGAAAAACTGCATTAATGCGATAGAGAAATCTCTTAAAAAAACATGAAAGCTGAGATTCTCACCTTGGAGTCCAGTGAGGATGTGCAGGTATGGAGCTGAGCCAGGCAGTCAAGCTCCCCCTGCAAGCTGGTAGTGTGCAGTGCTGCTGAGGATAACTGTTAAACAGGGCACAGCATGGGAGTTTACAAGGTATACTGGGCCATAACCACAGTGTATTCTCCACAGCCTGGTGTGCTTTATTTAACAAGGAAAATAAAACTCCATATCTTACACTATCACAAAGAAACATTTGCACTGCCTTCAAGGACTCTGAGGCTAACATTCTGGAAGATTTATATGACTCTTTTAGTTTGCTACGAGGAAAATACAGCTGCAAAGTAAGATGGGAGTAAATATTTTATGACTATGACTCAAGGCCTCAGATCTCCTTGTCAGTCTTCAGTTTCATCTCATTCTTTGCACGCTTTTTAAACACGAACAAATTCTTTCTGATTCCATGCACTGCCCTGGAGAAAGGTTGCGTTCATGAAAGTGACGGACCATCCAGAAATCTCACGCTATCCAACTGCTGGCTGTACATTACCTTGTATAAAACATCAGAGCAGAGTGCAGGCAAACATGTGCTGGTTATGTTCACCCAGATACAGATCCATGCTGGACAGTGAACTATAGATGTGAGAGATCCGCATCTCCATGTTCACTACCTCACCGTGTTTCAATGACAGAGCATCTTTGATTGTCTGTTGTCCGAGTTAGAGATTACAGTAGGAGCACACAAAAAATGTGTCGTTACCAGGTTAGTATGAAGACTTGTAGCCGTTATGACAGCTGATGGTTTGAATGGGATCAATTAGGCAAAAAGTGAAGATCTAGTTTGTAAAGACAGAAGCGGGGACTCAAACAGAAAACACAGCACTGCTTTGTAACAAACTGAATAGCTGAAGACAAGGAAAATTCCTGGGCAACAGCAATATTTGCTTTGCAGTTTCTGATGCATTATAAAATAGGGTCAGCCAAGTTAACAATCTGCAGCTCTCAACTGAATATGCCAACACTGGAGACAACTGCAGTATAAGACTCCAATCAGTATGAAGTGGCAATGGGGAAACACTGAAAAATCCTATGTTTTGACTCTATGTTCTGTTCAGCAGATATTATATAGGGTGGTGATGCAAACTGTGCACACATGAAAGCAGTGTGTCCTGATTTACAGGGATCACACACAGGTGCTGTGGCTCTTGGCTGAATCCCCCTGCAGGTTAGTTGAGTTGGGAGAGGAAGGAGGCAGAGTGCAGAGGTGAGGCAGAGGGCCTCGGAGGCTGCCGTCCACACAAGCCTGTTACCTTCCTTCCCGGGGCCCCTGGGGGCCACAGCTCCAGGCTGGGGGGGGGCGTGGCTCTGCGGAGGGTGCTGGGCAGGGAGTGGGGAGGGGACACTTTGGCTTTGACTGGGGCTCTCTGAAACACCTGCCAGGGTGGAAACACTGTGAGCAAACAGCAGGAATTAACACCAATCACACAGGACTGCGCAGCACACTGTAAAGGCAGTGTCTTGACTATCCAGGACACTGGAAAGGCCCTGAACACAACTGGGCTACTTAGGCTTGTTTATTGCTAAGTTTTAAGATTATTATGACAGAATGAAAAAAAATAAATGACTTGGCACTGTAATACTGAACTATTCCCTTAAGAGCTACCATAAGAGAATGCAAGATAAATACTGCCCATTAAGCCTTGGTCATTCCCTCAGAAACAGTTAACTGTCTCAGACACTTGGATCATGAGACTGTTAGCAGGTACAAGGCTGTTTAATCTTCATAGCTTATTCTTACACCAATTCTAGCAGGATTAAAAAGGAGAGAAGGACAAAAAATGGCCATTAAGAACCTCAACAGTCGATTAATCGCTGAAAGATTAAACTCTGAAAAAACATTTAGCACAAGGAGGGTCATTCCTTAAGAGCTAGTTGAAAATAACGTATGGCCAGATGTATTTTATTACATGTTGTTCATCAGCCTGAATCACCACGGTGGCCTTGTAAGACCGCAGTGTTAGAGTGACATCCACACTCTTCACTTTGATGGATACAGGCGTTGTTATTGTTTGTGCATGCAGGTGTGTTGATGCCTACATACTCTGCCAAGTTTTTCATTGTGTTTAGCCTTTTACAGCAATAGGGTGCATTGTCCTAGGGCTTGCACCATAAAGCGACTGCTGCATATTCTGTTATGACGGATAATTATTTGGGTTGGGTCTTGCTTCCTATGCCATCCTGTGGCACTGTGTGGCAGTTGCTGGAGGAAGAGAGCATTAAATAAACACAGATCGTTTCGTAGATCATCACTCCATCATTACAGTAACAGTAATTTTTCAGTTCCCTACAGTCCCCTGCACATATCTTGGACAGCTCTTTAAAATGTGTATCCATCCCATAATTTGGTTCTTTCCAAAACTGCCCATACCTCCAGCTCTGCAATGATTTTCTCCTCATCATCCTCGTCCTTCACCCCCGAGGCGATGACAGGGGGGGTGGAGGCCGGCCGGGGGGCTTCGGAGACTGTCCGCCTAAGCTTCACGTGGGGCTTCTGTGCTTCTGTCTCTTCCGACTCTGACTTCTGCAGGTGAGGGAGAGGGTGAGAGCGTCTCCGATCAGGTGCATTCAATGCACATGAAAAGGCATCATTCTCAGACCCTGCACAGCTCATCGGATGATTTAAAGGTCAGGTTTCCAGTTAGGACTGCAACAAGTACTTGCCAAAGACGTGGCAACCCCAGGATCTGAAAAGGTGCAGATCTGAACAAATACACTCGATGCCCAAGGGTCACCCCCCAGTGAATGCTTATTTCTGCTACAAACAGGAGATGTTGTATATTACAACCCAGGGTCTTATTCTCATCAATTCGTTTTTAATGTAAAACCAGGAATTCCTTTTTTGCATGCTGTCCGAGTTCCCTCCCTTGGAGACCCACCTTGATAGTCTTGCTGGTGACAATGACCTCTCCACTTCGGGTGGTGGTGAGCCCGTGGGATGATGGGAAACTGCGGCGGGGTGGAGGGGGAGGGGGCGACTTGGATGGCTTCTCCGTTCGATAGCGGGGTACCGTTAGCTCATCTGAGGGAAAGGCAGAAGAAGAACATAACAATGCAAACAAAATCCTAGTTCCACCGGCATCTGATAGCTCAGAGCACAGAGACCATGTTCATACAGCATAATTCAAAGCCATCGCCTTCTCTACTCAGGGCACTTAAAATGTGAACCCCCAGGTAAGTGAATACACTCTTTCAGTAGCAGGCAAATCTGTGGTTGACACGAGATAGCTGCCTCTTACCTCCCACAAGCAGAACAATCCCCAGTTGAAAACCAGAGCAATGTTCATTTATATCCTAAACCTCCTCATCCTCACATTCAACAGGAATGTTACAAGAACAGGAAAGTTTAAGTTACAGGAATATCAAAATCTTGTGGAATGCAAGCCCATTCTGTTTTGAAGAAGCTTCTTTAATATTTTGGCCATTATGTAGGAGTTAACATACAGACTGTTTCTCCCTAGTCTAATCCACTTTCAACTACTGGACCAATCGCACAGACAGACTCAGACACAAGAGGCTCAGGCTGTCCGGCCAAGTCTCAGTAAGGGAACGGGTGAGTGTTCATTCACTTCAGTGAGGGGTACAGAGTGCTGTCTGAGGGAGGGAAGAGAAGGAGGCTCACCGGAGCCACGGCGTGCGCTGGGCTCACTCTTGCTGGAGAGCTTGTGTGCGATGTGCTGGGGTTTGCTGGGCCGGATCTCAGAGATGGGGGTGCTGCTTTGGGTGGTGGGCGCGGCTAAGGGTTTGGCCTGCTTGGCTGCGAAGTCCAGGTCAGGGATGGCCTTCATGAGCTCGGCCTGGGTCTCCTCTAGGAGCCGGTTAATGTCCTGAGCGCTGTACTGAGTCAGGCTGGCACGCTTCTCCTCCCAGTCCCTCTCGGCAGCCTGCCAGCACAGAGAGACAGAGAGCGGTTTATGGACTCACAGTGGCTGGCAAAGTCCTCCTACTCCATATCATCCCCTCACTCAAAGACTTACACACAGTGTTCTGTTTTATGTTATAAAATTGAACACATTACTGCATCATGGCCCAGCTCCTTAGCCTGGAATGAATGAGTGAAAGTGACACATTGGCTTACGTTGCATTAATAAGGAACAACATATTGCTCCTCCAACTTCCTCTCTATATCTGGAGATTTGCAGATGAAGACAATACAGACATGTACAGAGACAAGGCAAGTGTGCTACAGAGAGTATGAGGGACCCTTGGAAATAGTGGGAGACACAACCCTAAGCACTCAACCTTAACCACAACAGTACAAATTGCAGAGAGAAGTCCATACGCCTATAATATAATGCAGTGAACTACAACAGGGAACACATAATCACACAGAATCTAGCCACACAGATCTCAGCAGCTGTGAGCAATATGCAATGTGAGATGATCCCAACAGCACGTCCAGACTGACCTCCACAGACACAGACTTGTCCACTCCTCGGCGGCCCGACAGCTCCTCCAAGGGCCGGTTCTTGAGGGGCCCGTGCTGGGGTGAATCGTGGTGGGTGCTGGAGGGGTTGAGGCCAGGGCCGCTGTGAGGTGTCCAGGACGAGAGGCTGGCACTGCCCCCCAGGTCGCTGAAGTTGAGAGGTGGGCTGGTAGGAATATCGAAGTCTGTGTTCTTTGGGAAGTCATCAGTGTGTTTCTGGGACTGGCTGGCAAAGTCCTCCTGGCCCTTCCATATTCCCTCGTTCACCTGCCTGTTTCAACACACACACACACACGTTCTGACTGTATCCCTGACTTCCTGAGGTTGTATAGTGTGTCAGAGCATTAGTGGACTGGTGGCAGCAAGTATGTAGACATCAATTCCTAAATGATTATTAGTATGTTAATGGTTCAATGATGGACAGTTGGTGAATGATAGTCTGTATGTCTGTGCATTAGTGCATCAGTTACAGCATGTCAGCATTGGTGTGTCTTTAATGATTAGTTTGTTGGGGCAGCGCACCAGTGTTAATAGGTCTGTAGGTCAGTGATGCTCAGTGTGGATGTGCTCTAGTACCTGCGGAGAGTCGTGAGAGTGTCAGTGATGCCCAGTGTGTCAGTGTGGATGTGCTCTAGTACCTGCGGAGAGTCGTGAGAGTGTCAGTGATGCCCAGTGTGTCAGTGTGGATGTGCTCTAGTACCTGCGGAGAGTCGTGAGAGTGTCAGTGATGGTCTTGCAGCGTTTCAGCAGTGCATCCAGTCTGTGTGGCTCCTCCTTGAGGAACTTGACAGCTTCCACCTCTACCCTGAGGACCACTCGCATCTTACTCTGCAGGCTGGGGAACTGGTCTGGGAGAGAGAAGGGTAAAACTCAACATACACACGGGAAAGGAGTAGGTCAACTTACACGTAAAAGAACACGTTTTTGTAATAGTAACAAAGACCACAGAACTGCGTGCTACCAACTGTGAAAGTGTCCCACCAACATCTGTGCACAGAACTACAAGAGTGAGCACAGAGGGACAAAACAGAAAACAGCTCTTAATGATTTCTTTTTCAATATATAGGCTAGAGCAGAGAAGCTTTGTCCCATCTGTGTATAAAGAATCTGTGATGTCTAATATGTGCGGTAGATGAATTGGGCAGAAGACGTGTTGCTGACGTAAAGGCAGGGTGTCAGGCTTGGCCGTATCATGGTGGCAGGAGTTGCAGCCAGCATTGACTTACTCTTGAGCTCAGTGAGGGTCTCTCCCAGTTTCCTCAGCACCAGCGCCTTCTCCTCCAGCTCCTGCACAGTCACCAGCCTGTGATTCACTGAAGAGTCCTTCTGGATCTCCTCTACTGACTTCTCCAGGTCACTGCAGCAACGCACACAGCACAGGACTGACACTCACATTCACATGATTGTGCACAGAGCATGTGAAAAATCCACCACACTGAAGTATGATTTCACAATGAGAAAGATATTGCTAGAAAATAAAGAGTTATTTTGTACTTCGACAGACTGATCGGGCGGCAGGCGATGCAGTATTTGTCAAGATGTTTTTCATTCATTCACGCTTCACTTTGTATTCATGTCTTAGCGGATTCAGAGCACAGATCATCACAATTGGTCACTCAGGTAACTAGCTAAGTAAAGCTTTGAAAACAGGGATAATTTAAACCTAATAAATCAAGAAGAGGGATCAATGAAATCATTATGCTAATCCAGAGGAAGAGAAGGCCCGAGAGGGAGCAGGAGTGAAAAACACTGGTTTTGAGTGACACAAGCAAAATCAATATCTGAGACGTGGAAAGGGTGATGTGTGGAAACAAGTATTAAAATTCAGGATTTGACATTTATTTAACCGTCTTCACAAGACTATTCAACAGAATCCCATATTGAAAGGGATAAGCCTATAAGAGATTGAAAGTGCTGCAGTCTTTGTGTCATGAGTATCCGTATCAGCACAGATTTGGAAACAACAGCACTTCGCACTGTGTGAAAAGTGGGGTGTCTCTCTCAGTGCTGATGCAGTATGACTGTTGGGGTGTCTCTGTGTGGAGTGTCTGAGTGTCTGTCAGAGTATCTTCACTCATCCCTGATGGCTATCCCTTTGTTGCGGTATCTATAAAGTACTCACTGCAACTGCTGTATAATGAGCTCCTCCTCGTTGAGATATTTCAGTCTTTCTTCCTCTACCAGGAGGCGCTGTCTCTGCAGGGGGTCCTCCTGCTTGCGCAGGGCGTCTGTCACCCGCACACTGATCTCCGTCTCCGTCCGCTTCAGGAGCGACCGGACAGAGTCCTGGTTCTGGAGCTGCACAAGCCAGACACACCACGGTCAGGAGGTGTTTTAATTCTCTTTTCATGCACTTCTCACCGAATCTTTGGATCAAACATTTTCTCATTTTCTCTTGTAATAGTAACAAAGACCACAGAACTGCGTGCTACCAACTGTGAAAGTGTCCCACCAACATCTGTGCACAGAACTACAAGAGTGAGCACAGAGGGACAAAACAGAAAACAGCTCTTAATGATTTCTTTTTCAATATATAGGCTAGAGCAGAGAAGCTTTGTCCCATCTGTGTATAAAGAATCTGTGATGTCTAATATGTGTGGTAGATGAAGTGGGCAGAAGACGTGTTGCTGACGTAAAGGCAGGGTGTCAGGCTTGGCCGTATCATGGACTTCTTTTCATGCAGTTCTCACCGAATCTTTGGATCAAACATTTTAGCTTACAATTCCCAGTCCCATTCATAGAATTCCACACAGAGTGAAAATCCACACGCCACAGAGCGCTTATTTCAAAAACCAGTGGTAGATGCTGCTGGTCCTGCTGACCCACACACCTGCTGGGTTTTGATCCGGCCGAGACCTCAGTTACACACTCAATCCCTTCATTGTCTTAACAGTAAACAGATTAATTTGAACTCTTTGTTCCTAGTTTTTAAACATGTTGAAGCTTTAATCCTTGTATTTCGTAAGTGAAATAACACCCTACGTTTAGAAACACACAGCCTGACCCGAAACCAGCCAGATCTCCCTATTCTGCTATTTTCAAGACACTGCTGTGTTTCACACCAACTACGGCTGTTATATTTGGCTCACACTTTTATTTTAGAAATCTTTACTGAAGCAATTTGAGTGAACTACAGTATCTTGCTCAAGGATACAACAGCAGTATCTCACTTGGGATTCGAACCTTCTAGTTTTGAGCCCAGCACCCTAATCACTACTGCTGCCCACTGAAGTTTTAAACACTCAAGAATGTGGCTTTTGGCTCAGCTAGCAACGACAACACTTGCTCTTTATTTTAAATAGCCTCCTGAAGAAGAGCATCTTGATGCCTCTCGCTGTTCAGTGAATGGTTTTTTAACTGTGGTAGGAAACTGGACCACCCAAAGGAAATCCACTGAACACGAGGAGAATGTACAAACCAAATGCAAGTAGCACCCCAGGAACTGAACCCAGGGCACTAAGAATGCAAGGCCCTGGGCCTATTCTAACCACTGCACTACTATGCAGGGACTGGGATACATGTTTCTGAAACTATGCATTAACTGTAGGTAACTCTTAATTTTGAAAATAATTAAATAATTTGTGTGTATATATAGAGTTAATGCTCAACATCTGTAATTTTCTTCATTTTAAATGTACGGAAATATAGCTGTAATGAAACACAAGGCTTTTAAACTAAAGTTGTTCAACATGGTAGCTATCTGACGGCTCTGAAAACTTAACAATGCACAATTTTTTCCACCTGCAAAAATGCTAATAGACTCCTTAAAATTAAAATTAGATTCAGCAGCTGTGGATGTTAGATTTAATAATCGCCACCCTTTTGTGTGAATGTAACAGAGCATTATCAGAACGGCTATAAAGACATGTCTCTCTCTCCCCCGTGTGATTAAAAAAGCTGCGGTGGCTTTCAGAATGAAACCACTTAATAGTGGAAAAATGTGCCCATTAATTGAAAGTTATTGTATTCAATAGATAAGCTCCTTGCTTCCTGCCTAGACGCGTAATACAATTAACAGGTATCATAGTTGACCTTATAAGGCCCTTGCTGTGGTAACATCTCCATGTCTATACTAGTCATTCACATAAATATTGGCACGCAGTATTTTAAAGGTTATGTCATCATTTATTGAGTGCAATACTGTATGTTAAAATATGCCTGTCAATAGAAACTCTTATACCTTTACTGAGAACTCCTAATCATTCACAGTTAAAATATTCCCATTACAAGGTACCCTTATTTGTACCCGAAGTATGTAAAACTTGAATTAAAGTAAAGTTTCTGCATCAATAACTGGATTCATACTTTTTTAATAAACAATAACCTTCAAGTCTTCATTCTAATCTTCCTAAGAAGGATGGCTTTGGCTTTTGCATGTTTAAAGTGATAAATATTGCAGCAAATGAGTCTGGCTTTTCATGTGTGCTGTGGTGCCTGTTTGCATGCCTTTGCCTGCCAGTCTTTCTCTTTACGGATGCATGAGTGTGTCAGTCTGTGGAGCTTGGTCTGAAGAGGATTATTCAACTACTGAATCTGTCCTTCAGTGTGCATATCTGCAACTGTGCATTAGCTAGCCTGAGCTGCCAGTAGAAATTCTGTCACATTCCGCTGTATTTGCATGTGCATTTGTCTGTGATGGCATGTAAATCACTGTGTTTCTGTATGATCTTCCCTGTGTGTCTGAACAGAGGAAGGGGTGTGTCAGTATGTGGATCTCTGCAGTGTTGTCTGCACTGCTGCTCCCCAGATAAACAGTCTTTCAGTACCTGACAGGCATGCTGAGTATATCCCTCCAAATCTCACCTCCTTCATGACTTCAGTTATTTATTTCAAATAGGATGCAACATTTTTCCAGGAGAGAGTATTACAGTATTACAGCGAGAGTGTGCACGTCATCTCAGACTGTCCTAGCAGCTCAGTTTGAATTTCTATGCGCTTACAGGCCAGTGAGCTCTACTGCGGTTTGCCCTCCCCCTTTCCTTTCTTCGCTGTTGTGCCTACAGGCCATTCCACATCCCAGTCTTTCCATCTTGGATCTCTCACCAGCCCATGTGCGAATCAGAATGCAAAGCACAAGGCCTTCCTAGTTACTGTAGGAACTCCAACTGAGATGTGTGGAGTCTGTGATATGTCATTAGCTGACTTACCATCATTGCCCAAGTGTCAAGCAAAACATGAGTGACCCCTGCAAGGATTCCCTAGGCTTGAGTCAGCCAGGGTACCTATATCTCGCTGCAAAGCAATCACCTCCTGATCCTCCCAGGCACATGCAAGCTAGCAGCATTGTAAGTGAGAGAAACGTCGCTTGTCCGGCAGCCTCTAGTTCATCTGACTGGCGCTGTGGAGCTCACAGTCAATCTACAGACAAACGCCTATAACAGATCAGCGTGTCACAAGAGAGCATGAACAGGTCCCCTCCCTGAGCAGTAGAGGTTTTGCAATGGTGAACCAAGATGATTAATAATAGTTGCTTCCAAATTGGAAGTGAATTAAAAAGAAAAAAGCACAATCACTGCATCTTTCACAAAGTTCTGACCATTGTGAACCATCTGAGCAGCATGAAATCACATAGCCCCATTCACTGCCTCCTCTTTATCCTTTGTGACACACTAACGTCATTCAGCTCAAGTCACTGCCGCACCCAACTTCACTCTTAGTCTGGATCTTTAAGGCTAATCCATACTTCTTCTTCTGACTCAGTCCCACAGCTCAAACTGCTGCTCCACACTGCCTTGGATAGAATCTAACCTTTTAAAAATGAGCCTACATTGCCTCACTCCCACTCCTAAGCTTGCCATTCTCCACTCCACTGAGCCAACCTCAATCTGCTCAACAGGGCACTTTCTCACCAAAAAACAGCGATCAGTGCCACAGCCTGAGCTCCCCACCCAGTAAATACAGTAAAGCTGTGAGCACACTGCAGGCTGGAGGGCTACAGTATCAGGCAGTGTGGAGAGAGCTGGTGCCTTCAGGGCTCAGCTGGGGAGTCAGCTGGCAGCTGTATGACAAATGAGGTAGGCTCAAGTTGGCTGCAGAATCCTGGACAAGGAACTGTGAAAATGAGACCCAAAGTGCAAGAGAGATGCCAGATTGCTGTTTGCTTAAAACTGCAGTGGAAGGTTTTATCATTTAAGGCACATTTTATACCTTGCAAACCCTGCAATGTGTAACACCATTAGTTGATTACTACTGTCTTCATTCACACATTATCAGAATGTGATATTTATATCTCTATAGAATTCACATGCTACAGTTCCAAAATCAATCATCAACTGAGAGCTATTAAGTGCAGCTACTGTACTTATAGCATCCTTCAGCCATAGATAATCTTACTTGAAATGTCAATTATATCACAAACATGGGATGATAAAAAATACAAGGCAGAAAATTATCGATAGGTCAAAGTGCTTTGATTTATTGTTTGACTCATTCATTGACACACAGATCTGTACTACCTCTAGTACCACTATTTCTCTTTGATGAGGACAATAAATCCTAAGCAATGTTCACCACTTAAAATGCATTAAAGGCTGGTATCCTGACTCTGCATCGTTTTTTGAAATATCTCCTTTGAAGATGAAAGGAGCTCTAAATTAAATCTCTGACAGCAATGTCACCTGCAAGGCAGGTTTAAGTGTTATTCGTTGGGAGATCTGATGTTATACAACAAAAATAATTCCATAATAATTCCCATTTTCTTCCAAAGATCTGGAGACTCTGTTTATCAGGGGGAAAAATGACCCTGTGCTGCCTGCTCAGTGAGCTGGCCCTGAAAGCTTGGTCCTTGAGTATCATAAATTGGTTTGGGTGCATTTATTCATGCTCAAAGTCTCGTCAACAACTCCAGTCTGTAGCTCTTTCCTTGTCCCAGAGGGCAACTGATCCTGTGAGCGAAAATTAAACTGCTATACCTGAGAAGTGTCCTTCATGAACAAGAGTATCAAGGCTTGGAGACTAAATACAGTGTAGGGGAACAAGGTTTTTTTTTCGAGGCTGAAAAGAGACACAAAAAACCTTTACTTGTTCCTTTGCAGCCTGCGCATGCTGCAACATCTACCAACTTCAACTAAATACAGTGTAGTGGATTATAGGGAAGGGGATCTGAACAATCAACAACATCCACAAGGTTAGAAAACCCCTTCAATTCTAATCTAGGTTGTAATAACATACAGGTGTAGAACTCTTTCTAACAGAATGTGCTTCATATTAGAAAAAAAAAAGAAAATAATCACCAGCAACTCACACAGAATGTCTGGAAGAGAGATGTTAAGATTTTTGTTCTAAACTTCTGAGGCAGACTTGCGTGAGCCCGAAGAAATGCGAGGTGCTTTTAAAGCTGAGTGACCTATTCGCACAGCTATATCATGAATGATGTATGACAAATACAAGGCAACAAAAAATTTCACATTTCTATGGACAACAATAGTAAACACCAGAGGGAGCTCAATTTGACTATCTGTTGTGCCCATGATGGCTTGCATGCATTCTTCTGCATTGGACAAATTCTAATGATTTTAGTGTTGGTGCACACTGTGTTTGCATCATTATATTTATGGGGACTTTCTACTGAATCTTACTGAGTGTTTAAGACCCCACTCGATGAAAATCCAAGAAGAGTGAAAATATAACCAAAACAAATATTTTGGCATGTTTACAGTCAAATGAAGATGTCACCCCCCTACGAACCATACTACCCACAGTTCCATTTGTGTTTGTAGTGTGTACCCAATTGCATTCTTCTATGATACACTGTTTCCACTAAATCGATATCAGAATAGGCTGACTGAATAGTAAAAGTATCCTTTATTGCTTTTAGTTTCATTGCTTTGTGCCCCTTGATCCGAGCTATACTGAACGGGGACCCAAGCACTTCCGGTATGAACTGGCTAGAAGGCAGCTGTGATGTCGCATCTGCAGAGCCACTGTGCAGCTCACCTGCATCTTGCGCAGCTGGGACAGCTGGTCCCGCAGGTCTGTGGCGTTCTGCTGCAGGTCGTGCAGGTGGAGCTGCATCTGCAGGCGCGTGACTGCAGTGGCCTGGGTGGCGCCGGCCGGGGGAGGGGGCATGGCCGCCCCTGCGCTTGGTGCGGAAGGCGTCAAGGCTGCCAACCAAACCAGAAGACAGGCGTTCTTCAACCGTATCCACCGCAGCGCACTCCAACACAAAGTTAACATCCAGGCGCTGTGCGTCTAACACTCATATAGCCACCCAGCTAACACATCACACACATAAACAAGCAGGCTGTTGGTTTTTAAGTATCTACATATCAGCTACCCACAATGTTATTAAAATATACACATAAGCACATTCACATTGTACTCTACATGAATATATTTAAACAACCTGTTGCAACAAATAATCTAGTAATCACCCACACAAGGCCATATTCACAGCGTTTGCCAAGGTCGCCCATAGCAAACCTTTTTTCCCCTCTTCAGGGATAAAAATCATGAATAAGAGAGATACAAAGAGTAGTATTAACAGGACTTGCAGTGTATTTAAGGGCTTACTAGTGTAAATGAGCATTGAACAGATGCTCTTCTAACACTCAGCAAATGATTAAAAAAAAACAACTTTTGTTCTTAATCAAATCGAGTCAAACGGTTGTAAATATGGCTTGTACGGTCAGCCACTTCACAGTTCACACAATCAGAGCCCTGTGTGTTAGTCAAGGAAGCAGCAGCACAGACATCTACAGGAGCCCATTCAAGCCAATGTTTTACTAAAAGAACATCAAGTGACTGGTAAACCGTTACATAGATTTTCCTAAAAAAAAAAAGTGTACTTATTAGTTACTTCCAAACACGTCAGGAGTTACCAACCCATGAATTATATTGGGCTCTTTAGCTGAGGGTTTCATATTTCATATTATTCATCTTGTATTGTAATTCCCCTGAATTGACACTTTGCTCTGTCCATGCCTCAGAGAAGGGAGCCCAGAGCTGTTCTATAACACACTGGGGGGAGGGGTGGGGGTGGCTGGTAAGGTATCAACACACAGAAAGAGCGAAGAAAAAACACCTCCAATACCACACAGTGGGTTAGTGGGAAAAGACAATACCTTTTGTTTTCAGCCGCCCAGCTGAAATATAGAAGGCATGGATCAATTAAAACAAATCATAATAAAGAAAAATGAAATAATGAAAAAGATAATGATCCTGCTTCAAGCCAGAGTCTGCTCACCCTGTCACAAAATTAGCAAGTGCTTTGAAACAGTTGTCTAAGCAATATTGGAAATTGCTACTTAGGGATTGTTCAAAGGCTGCTTAGCGGTCGATGCGAATACTGTTTGTACTGCGATGGCTGATGAGCTGTGTTTTGGAATATATAAGAATTCCTACAGGATCTCCAGGGCACAGCAACAATGACTGTCAGAAATAGCTTATTTTTCCAACACCACTTCTCCAACCTTCAAACATCCCCATAACACACAAACCAAATTTGTTTAAAATTTTCTGCCAATACATGGCGCAAAAGTTAAATGTACAAACAGATTATAGGGTCACCTGAATAATTAATTTATAAAGACTAGAGAAAACCCAAAAGTGTCAGAACACATGATCATAATACAAAATCAATGCAACAATTAAATTAAGGGCTGAGATCAATCACTAAACAGGTATATACTGTTTTTCTGGAACTTGATCATGTCAGAGACTGCTAAAAAGCCAAGCAGAATGCTACTGAACTGAACAGGTTTCTTATTACAAAAGGGTGAACACACTCTGCTCCTCAGTCCTCCCAGCACCAGCAGCAACAGGGGTGCATCTCTGGAAAATGACTTTCCAATCAAGAGAGAAACAATAACATAAATGGGTTAAGAACAGAAATCCACTGAAAAACATATTTCAATAATAACACTTTCGGAGGCCAATCTCTACTGAGAATGTTAAAATAGATCTCTATAATAGATAGAACTACATATGATTAATTGATGGCTCACTCCCTACCTATTTCTCTATGTAAAACAGACACTGGAGACTTCTGCTAGATAGTATCTTTCCTTAGGCTATTCAGGTAAGCAGGCTGTCTTCTTATTTCCTGTCCTATTAGACGGTGCTATTTATCTAATTTTTGCATGACCTGTATGAACAGGTGCAACACGAATTTTGACAGATGATGAAGTAGAGAATTAAATCAGGTCACGTGGCTGAGCAGTACCGAGGCTGGAACGATTCTCCTGCCTAAATAAAGACTACTTTGTCCACATCTCTCTTCCCTCCCATCCCTGCAGAACTATGCAGCGCCACAAGTATTAGGCACCATTCGCAATTTGCTTCTGCTTTGTTCCTGCAGGTCCAGCTGGGGCTTCTCTGAACAGCAGCCCCAGAGGGCTCACTTACGTCAAGCCTGTCCTTTGGATACAGAAAACCAGAGGAGAGAAGCGAGAGGCGGCTGTTCTCGATTGGAGCCGTGACTGCGTGTCTGAGACCGGGAGAGTAAAGGAGGGGAGGGGAGAGCATGAGGAGAGTGGAAAGGGAGAGTGTGGGCTCGGGGGACAGGATACAGAGAGGAGGGGGTGAGGGACACAGAAAAGAGAGAGAGGAATCAGAAAGGGAAAAAGAATCAGGTTGGAGCCAAAGGAAACAGGAGATCAGATAGAGGCAGGAGAGATGGAGAGGGAAGAGGAGATGTGTGAGAAACCAGGGAGGGATGGGCGATGGAGTTGGGGCTCTACAGAAACAGAACAGCTCAGTGTTGGTGTAGCCCGGTGCCTGTTTGCACTGGGACATACCACACCAGCAGGAGGAATGTGGGGAACACACGGGCCATTCACAAAGTCCTCTGGCATGGGAATGTAAAAGGTGTGAGAGAATACAACTCCACCTCCAGACTGAGACTGAAGTGTCAGAGGAGGAAAAAAAATAACCATCAAACAGCGGATTGAGATTTAAATCCACTTTTAACTAAAATATCATTAGAAATTAAGAAAGATTACTAACAACAGGATTCATTTTAACCCTTGTTGCTGGTTTGTTTGCTAGAAATGGACTGATCCAAGGACCTGGGGAGGTTTCATTCTTTCTTGGGACTTTAGAAGTCCATTGAGTCCAAAGGATCCCCGAGCACTCACTTCAGCATGACTGAGCAACTTATTCCAGACTCCCCAAACCCAGTAACACAATGCTTTAATGTCAAATGGTTTTCTCCTGAATTTCCACCATTCTCCCTTGCATGATGCTGTTGATCCTGATGATGTCCGCTGTGTTCACTGTGTGAATACCTTTCAGAGCTTTGTTAGTGGCACAGCCAGCTCAGCAGAATACTGTACTTCAGGTTCAGAAATTCATAGATTAATGATAATTCTCACAATTTCATTCTTTCTGTTGGCATACACTAGTAACGGCTGCATGAAAGATGAAGAACTGAGCCCAGCTAAACAACGGTAGACACTGTGAGTACTTCCACTCCCATTCTAAGCAGGAGACTAGGCTGATTTCCCGCACAATGTGGCCCTGCTGGAGATATGGGTAAGTACCGTATGTCCTTTGGCAAGCAGCAGCAGGCACATTAATAATGTCTACAAAAGCCGATAGTTTGCTGAAAGGTGTAGTGGATGGTCTGTTTAATCTGTTTTCATTCTGATTAGACAGGAAAGTAGTAACAAGTCTGAACAAGAGGACAGTGTCTCCAAACAGTAAGCTGTGCTCTGCAATACTGTGTTATGTTATTCCCGAAACGCACTGTACTATATGTTTGTGGCTGAACTGCAAATTTGATCACCAAAAGGGTGGACAAGCACAAGATTATGTTTCATTTTCTATAAAGCTATTCATAAATATCACAGTCTCATGATGCTGCCATAATGGTAGTAGCTGGTCAAGTACACTAATTCTTCTTATGGATTGTTACCACACAATATTGATCGAAAAAAATTCACCATATCTGGAATTAAAGCTCACTGAGACACTTCAGGCTCCATACTTGCGCTGCACTTTGTTCTGACACTTCTGCTTCCTCAGCTGTAAGAGGTTTTTCAATTCTCACAGCCCACTTACCCAAACCATTTCAAGAATGTAAAACTATGACACTCTTCTTTTGAGTCTTCTGAAAATGTCTAATCTAATCATTGTGTTACATTTTGTAATGCCTTTTATGGATTATAGACAATTGGTATATAATGGCTGTACTTCTCGGTAATCATGTAACTGCACTGTGTGTTTAAAAGTGAACACTTCATCCACGCAATGTTCTGGAGGCAGGACTTACTTCCAGTCCCTGACCCGTCGCTAGCTGTCTCTGTCTTCTCTCTGGAAGAGAAAGGGAGCAACAGTCAGGATTCCCTTCTCCTGTCCAGTCAATACAGGTATTTGGTATGAAGCATTCACTATCTCGGGACTTGCTGCCCCATTCAATGCTCCATCAACCCACTCCTTTCTTTTCCACTTCATCCAATTCAGGGTCAAGGGGGAGCCGGAGCCTATCCCGGCAAGCAATGGATACAAGGCAGGGTACCCCCTGGGCAGGACTCCAGTCCATCGCAGGGCAGACACACAAAGACACTCACACCAGAGCCAATTTTCCCAGACACCAATTTACCTACCAGCATGTTTTGTGACTGTGGGAGGAAACTGGAGCACCTGGGGAAACCCATGCGTACGTGGAAGAACATACAAACTCCACACAGACAGCACCCCAGGTCCGGAACTGAACCCAGGACCCAGTGCTGCGAGGCAGCAGTGCTGACCCCTGCATCACCATGCCGCCCATGACAGCTTCAAACCTCACTAAAATGGACCACAAAATCAGTCCCCCAAAAATCGGATGTACTAACGTTCAGTTTATCCTTACATGTCTCAGGCAAATAATATGTGTCTGAATCCTCTTCTGTAATTGTAAAAGTACTGTTGACTGTTATCCATGGATCCTTTGCAAATGAGCCTGCAGTTTCAATATGTGAATTAGGAGACGCAATCTCCTGGTTCATTAAATAAAAGAACAAATTAATTAAAGCGGAATTATAAGCTGTGAGGGCTGCTCCAGCAGAGATCAGCCAGTCATGTGAGGCGGTGGGGAAAGGAGGGGCGGCTGCTCTTACGTGCTGTCGCTGTCCGGCCCTCTGGTCAGCACACTCTGCACCAGGCCGGTCAGGCTGGCGATCTGCTTCTCCATCGCCTCCATCCGCTCCCTGGCGACAACAACAAAGCTCAGCTTAAACTGCAAAACAGGCACTTGCGTGTATTCATTTCTATATTCTATTGACTCCTATTTAGTGCTTAAGTCCCCACTCAAATGAAAATCCATGACGAGTGAAAATGGAACCAAAATAAATATTTTGGCATGTTTAGAATTAGAAGAAAATGTCACTGGGTTTATTAAAAAAAAAACTCATTTCCATCGTGGGGGGTTGGGTGCAGTGTCTGTCAGGTGACACTACCTTTGTGGGGACATATTCTCAAATGTTGTGCCCATATTGACAGTGATTCATGCCTACACAAACACACGGAAACACACACTCACGTACTGCCAAACCCAGACTAACAGCAGCGCTAGAAGAGCCACATTACACTGAAAGACACACACAAACACATGCGCATTGTTTTGTCTTCTCAGGGCAGAAAACGCATTTAGTCAAACTATGCTCTTACTGTCAAGTTAAGCCTGAGCAACAGAATCGAATCCACACTGCGATTATGGCCACTAATTCAGAGATGGAAGAATGATTTTCTGAGATAATCCCACATCCAACACATGACTGTGTCTCAGTCCTCACCTGAGGAGGACTGCAAGTTACCCTCCAGAGGTTCAATGTCCCAGATAAGTTGTGCAAATAATAAAATTGAAATCAAGTCAAGTTAAACAGGGCGGACCAAAAACAACACAGGGCACCTGTCTCTGTTTAGGCAACCACTGCATACCACAAAACTCAGAAGCAGTGTGATCATTGACAAATACAAAAGTTGCCTCTGTCTTGAGCATGATGGCTATTTTTAAGATTGTGAACCTAAAGGGATGCCTGAATTGTTTTTTGTCAAAAACGCCACTCTTAACTTGCACGCACATGGCTGCATCGTGACTGTATTACAGGGCTGAATGTGTGCAGACGGCCAGCAGGCAGAAGACTGGAGTTGCTGAGGCCTCTTACCGGGTCTCACTGTCGTTGGCGGCCTGGGGGGAGTTGTACCCGGGGGTGCCCCTGCCCTCTCCACTGGGGCCCCCCGGCCCGCACAGGGGGTCTGAACCCGAGCCGGAGCGAGATTTGGGGCTCTCCACAAACACGGAGGAGGACGCGGAGTCCTTGCGGAAGGACTGCCGCACCGGGGAGGCGCGGCTGGGGGGGCCGGAGTAGGAGTCCCTGTCGCGCAGCTGGACGTCCGGGATCTTCTGGGGGGAGGAGGGAGGCAGGCGGAAGCCCATGCCCAGGGTGGAGGCCGACGCATAGGAGTCGGAGTAGAGGGGCCCCCCGGGCTTGTACAGGGCCTCCTCCAGCTCGCCCTGCAGCGCTGCGGCAGAGTAGGTGCTGAGTGAGCGCACGGAGCCTCTCCGGTACAGCCCCCCGGACACGGGGAACGTGAAGGGGTCCCCGATGGCAGCCAGGGACTGCGTGGAGGCGATGCTGAGCCGGCCCTCGTGCACCAGGCTGTAGGGGTCGGCGTACAGGCCCTCGTTCTTCATCAGCACCATGTTCTTGCTGGACACCTCCTCGTCCGGCTTGACGTCCCGCCGCTCCAGGATGGCGCTCGGGGAGGGGGAGAGGCCGGCGGGGGGCTGGCCGGACGAGGGGTGGTGCGCGTGGGGGTGCGGGGGCCCCGCGTAGGACGGGGGCCTCCCCCCGCTGTAAGAGAGGCGGGAGCGGGACGGGGAGCCCGAGGGGGGGGAGGCGGAGGACGAGAGGTTGTTGAGCCGGCGGGTGGGGGAGGACTCGCGGGACGTGTACACCATCTCCCTCTGCAACACAAGGAGGTGGCGAGTTTAGCAGGCCGAGCCGCTGGACAGCAGGCAGAACTCGGAAACGGCACAAGGGAGAAGCTTCCTATTGAGCTGAGGCGAGCTGGGCGGCCGCACTACTGATCAATACAGGCAAAGGAAGGAGGCTGGAGTAGTTTGCACTGTGCTTTGCAATAAAAAAGCAAGACTCAAAGGGTCTTATACATTATCCAGGACACCATAAAAAAATAACACTCACTGATTTTAACATTTTGTATACTGTATTATACTGTAGGTTGAACTACAATGGAATTGGCTGTACATTGTTTTCATTGAACACCAAACGGTTCCTTTCTTCAGGAGGCTGACTGCAACACACACAATACGTCTGGCACCTACAAGAAGGTAGAACCTACAAGGACACACACTGGGCTGCAATCCAAGACTGCAGCGTGTCCTCGTGTCAGGGAGCCCCTCACCCTTAGATCCCCATTGGCAAGGTGGGCCGTAGGGTAGGAGGCGTAGATGGGCTCCTTGCGGTAGATCTTGATGATGCTGCGGTCCTGGATGTCCCGGACGTCCTCCAGCTCGTAGAAGACGTTGCGCGTCTCGTCTTTGATGAGGATGGCGGTGTTGGGGGACTTGAGCATGCCCATGGTCAGCTTCTGCGGGAACATGTGCACGATGAGGGCGTGCAGCGTGTCCAGGCTGCTGAGCTCGTGGGTGATGTGCACCCGCCGGGTCTCGTCGCCAAACTGGAGGAACAGCACGCCTGGCGGGAAAGGGACAAGGAGTCAGAGCACGCCGCTGGGAGATCTTCGGCACGCGTCTCGCTCGGATTTCATTCCACGCTTCCCTTAGGCGAAATTAACTCCCCACCCGAGCCAGCAACACAACACGTTAATATCTCTTTAAACGCACATAAGCTCCGGTTCTTGTGAGATTAGCACATTTAAACGCTTTTTCAAATTGACTTCTGGAAAATGAAAAGTTTAAATCCGTTTCGCGATACAATGCAGCCAAGCATCACAAAATAGCTCCTACGATGCAAAAGTAGGGATCCCAAAGGGTAGCTCAAAAATGTATTTTTAATTTTCTAATGATTCGTCTACAAATAGCGCACCAGCAAACAGCAATAAGTGAGCATTGCTGGAAATGCCTGTGGCTGCGTCCCTGCGTGAAATAACCACCAGCAGGAGGAACGGCAGGCGGAGAGACTCCAGAGCCGACAGGGCACGCCGGGCCCCCCTGATGAGTGCCCACCGCCTCACCTGGCGAGCGGAGCTTGGTCTGGCTGGCGGAGCGCGACAGGGGCAGGCTCTGGCGAAAGCGGTTCATGCGGTTGAATCCGAGCGGGATGTCGGCCTCAGACATGGTTTCCAGGGATTCGGCGGAGGCGAAGGACAGCTTGCTGGCCTGGTCGGCCAGGCCGGACTGCGTGGACTGGGAGTGGCGAGGGCTGCGGGTCTGCAGGGAGAGAGAGAGGTTAGTGCTCAGCAGGCGGCAGCATTTATTACATTTATAGCTGGGGGTCCCTCTCAAGCTCCTGAGACGAATTTTGATCCCTTCTCTGAGCACAGAAGCTGTGAAGAACAAATACTGTGAGCGGGACCCCCACCCCCAAACCGCCCCACTCACACCCTGAAACCCTGCCGATGGATCAATTTTGAGCGCCCCATCAAACTAAGCACGTCTATAACTATATCTTTGTACAAGGAAATATTAATGAACACATAAACTGTTTTAATAAAAGCAGCATCTAGGCATTAAAATTAGCCAATTATTATTTTTTGTGCATTGAGTTTCTTCTTTTCAGTGTTAATTGGATAGTTTTCTGCTAAAGCTTAGGGCTTGTGTTTATTTTGTTCATTATTATCCACAACTTATCAGATGCCCTTATCCAGGACAATATATGGGATTTTCAATTAATTACAAAGGAAACAGCAGACTAGATTAAGAGCAAGTATAGTAACAAATTAAATCGAGAAAATTGTAGCACGATAATGTCGGAAAAGGTGCAAAGCAAGAGCTGCGTAAAAACAAAAATATGAAGTAGCAAGTATTAAAACAACTGGTGGTGGTGCAGGGGATCCCCATTACCTGTAAAGCGCTTTGAGTGGAGTGTCCAGAAAAGCCCTATGTAAGTGTAAGCAATTATTAATTATTATAACTGCGCACACATACAGTCAGTGTGAATACAAAGCTGAAATGTAGTGTCCCTGAATGTGCCTCATGTTTCCTGTGAAATGCAACATGCAGCTTACATTATCATATTTTTGTAATGTTTTTAAACAATCAATACTCAAACAGTGTTCACTTCAGTAGTAATAAAATGGCTGTTGTCAAAAATCAAGATGAACATTCTCTGTGGAGGTGTAACAAAGCACAAAGACACGTTAGCATCTGTCCGCCAGCCAGGAGGAAGAGAAAGCAAAAAACATCACCAGTTTGTTTTCCTGGGATAAGTAAGACATCAGTGCAATTAAAGCCGCGATCTGCTGTGCTTTAATGGCCCTGGCGAAGAGCGTGGCGTGCAGTGTGCAGTGTGGAGCCGGCGCCAGGCTGTCAGGATGGGACAGTTCTGCCTCCCCAGTTTGAAGGGTCCGCTGCTGTAGAGTTTGCTCGAGCTGCTGTGCTGTGTTTAATGAACTGGCTCAAAGATCCCCATAGTCATGAATTTTCCAGCTCTGAGCCCACAGTAATGAGCTCCCCGAGTGCAGTGTGATGACTATTAAGATTTCGATGTGGCATTGTCTGCATTAGCCCCGTCAGATCTACTGTATGCAACTAGGAAAGTTTTTCGACAGAAACTCTCCTACTTTCTTCACCTCCCATTCACAAGATAAATATGAAAATCAAAAGGCACACATGCTATTCATTAACAGACTAAAAGACAAGAATACAAAGCAAAGCTTTTCTTTGGCATAGCTCTTTGTAAGTAAGAAGTTGAATATTATCAATTGCTCCCAATTACTTTCAAATGAATGACTCTGCTCTGACTCAGACAGCACCTCCCACAGAGTTAACACAGTCAGTGTGATCCATCTGTTGTCTTTAGCGGAGCTATCATTGTGATGAAATGCTCAGTGTTTAGATTCCTGCCGAGCCTGAGACGTGTCCGTATGACGACATGCGACTTTTAAACACATACAACACATTCTAGTCGAAGAACATGCTCCTCCTCATGTGAGCAAGAACCTGCACGCATACAGTACAGCAGGGAAGTACAGAGGGGTGGTAAAGGACACTGCTATTCTTACCTTGAACTAATTTTGCTCTTTGTTGCTCTCTAGTGGTTATCAAAACTGAAACATAGAAACCTTTCAAAAACGCATTACTCCTTTTGTCTATTATTATTCTTACATTAAAACTTTCTTATACTGTAAGTGCACCAATATTGCTCTTTTTAATATCTAAAATCAGTCAAGTTTGGATAGTACTACCTGAGTTGTACACAATACATGAGTAAAATATTGTAGTTTATATGGACTCAGTGTCTGTGGCTATAAGCACATACAGTATATGGTTTTCACTAAACATTTTACAGATCATTTCTATTCTTTCCAACATTAATTTAACTAAGTACAAATAAAGTAGATGTACTGACTATGTTATGGAAGTAAACACATTCTTACACACTGTGCTTTATAATTAACACATAGAATACTGTACAGAAACTACTACATTGCCATGCTACAACATTTCATTACAGTGGCATTTATGCGTCATGATGTGCCATTCTGTAACATGTTTACTGCCATATTGATTTACCACAGCTCTTCATAACAATGAGATTTGCTTGTAAGATGTTAAAACGTGATAACTAACCTTTATAATGTTCTGAACAATCCTTTGGATTTTTTACAACAATTCCTGAATTTCAGGGCAGCTCCTCAAAGCATGTACTGGTTTGCCTTCTTCTAAGTTTCCTACATGTATTAAATTATACACTGCTGCTCATGCCCTCAGCTTTACACAGAAATGTCTGTATAATTTGTCATAGGCTGCCTGTGCTACTTTTTTCCACCAGCCTCTAATGTTAGCCTCAAAGCACCAAGACTGCTTATTGAGGGCACCCCAATGTTCTGTGAACTGCTTAGGCTTATTAAGGACTGCATTCCCTTTTCCACACTGGCAAACAATACAGGAGGCTGCAGCAATATAAAACAAACCTTGTAATACCCCATGTATTACTACATGTCAAGGTGGCTGGTCGACTTCAATTTTGTGTGATTTTTCCCTCCATCATTTTTCAGTATAGCAGCCTGGGAGTCACTGTGGCTTATTAAAGACTACCCCCTCCCCTCTTGCATCCCCTTTACCCCACAGACATTATCAAAGTGGTCTGCAGAGGCCAGAAGCAGCCAGTAACAAATGGCCTCAGCAGCCAACACCATGCTGTTCAATTCCCATTTCCAAGACGAGCAGTGGGCGCACCATTCAGCTCGGCTGAGACTGTTATAGGGAGGCACAGCACTGACGGATTACTTTCAGGGTGCTTTCTAATGGGAGCCATTTATTTCATTCGTCTCTGCTTACTCACAAACTGTTCAGCACACACAGATTTCATATAGGACCTGATGAAAAAAGGAAATAAAAAACAACGCATTTCCTGCTTGCGCTGGACTGTTTTTTTTTCCCCCTTGCTGTTCGGATCTAGCTCAGACTGATCTTGTGTTGGAGTAGCATGACAGCACCAGGCAGAGCAAGGAATGGAGTTTGTCACAGCACAGGCAGGCAGAAGCTGAAGAGAAGGACAGTTTTTATTATTCTTTTTCCTGCCCTGAGCTGAGAATTAAACATTTCAGGGTGGAAGAGTGCAATGTATGTCTTACAGATAGCTTAACTGCACACTACCAAGATAGATAAATAACAATTAACCACACTTCTGGTTTTATGAGCCTCTAAAAATGCATAAAAATATTTAATATTTAAACAGGAAAGCTATTACCAATATAAAGTTTTACTGATTTAAGGATTTGCTCTGAATGGTGCATGCTGATGCTTTGTCAAATATTACATTTTGTTTTTTTGTTGGCTAATTATCCTTATGCTTAGCAATAGTTTTGGTACAGAATATTTTTGCAGCAGCAAGTAAGAAAGCAATGGAATGTAATAAATTCTGCTGAACAAAAGGATGTTTGCTATCCTCCCCAGTTGACACACACCCAGATGTTCAATATGGGCATTCTCATGTGAAACCTTGCGCAGCACAGCATGAAATCATTTTGCTCGTTTTTCTTTCTAACGGCCTCTTATCTCAACACAAAACAGGCAGATCCTTTGGAATGGTCGCATGCAAACGCAACAGAAGGATCTTGGAAGAGCTGATCAGAGGATGTCCCTGGAGGAATCTGCAGGGTTCGGTGTGATTAAGTGCCTGAATGCTGCGTAAGAGCAGTTAAGGAGAGCCACGGTGATTATTGATGGTCATGCAGCCATGCATCATCAATTTATCATATTACTGCACCTTACTTTCATTTCAGTTAGACAATGAATCTTCATTTAAGTCCACTAATGGTGAGAAATTACTGGGAGATTCTCTTCCCCTTTCCCTTCTTTCAGATCTCTGTCTGCAATGTATGTCCATCTCTCTGCTCTACCCATAAAATGCCCACAGCTCTGGCACGAGAGACAACACTCTCCCATCAAATCACCACACCTTGTCTAACACTTGTTCCACTTCCTTCTTATTTAGTCATCCACAGCTATTGCTCCGTGCCTTTAGAAAATAGTAGCCCAGGTCTCATCAGTTTCTATTAAAGGTCCCTCTGCCCTCTTGTTTGGACTTTTCTACCTTTTCTTCTGTTTAAAGTGCATTACAACACCGAACACGATGACCACGCAGAACAAAACAATATTCATGGGGATTTTTTTCCCTCTATTATTTTCTCCTTGAACACGTCAGAAAATAACACTTTCCAGAAATAAAACATGCCTTTTTCTAAACAGCTTTCCAACTCCCAAGTGAAGTCCTGACAATTTCACAACAAAAACTACCCGTCATTCACTTAAATTCACTTAAATGAGGCACCCAGCAGTGAAAGACAAGGGGAAGAAAGTCTCATCCTTTGTCTGCTCCCATTTCCTTTCCCTGGTGGTCATACTTCTCTGAAATGTCACCAATTATCGGATGAGTCAACAGATTTCTTCAGAAACTTTCACTAATGTGTCATACCCTTTACAGTTAATGATCCCCCCACCAACTCCCGATGCTCTAAGAGATCTCAAGCAGAAAGAGACACAGCAGCAAGTTTAAAGAGTCAAAGCAGATTAAGTCGGGAAAGGTCACAGTGCCTCCTACCTGAACTGCCAGCATTTCTTTTTTTCGGTCTCCGCTGCAGATCTGGCTGAAACTCAGTGTGGGCATATGTGTTTGTGCCTCTGTCTGTTAGTTTGTGCTTATCTGTGTGTCCACAGTTCTCTGTCTCCACAGGACCACGTGACGGTGATTTTAATCCAGTCTG